ATGTATTATAAACAATAATACAATTGCAGACACTATAATAACAATAATAATAACAATAATAATAATAATAATACAGATAGAACTAACAGAACAAATACAGAACAATATAATAACTAACACATATCATGGTTGAGTAATTATATGTAACATATTGGATTCAGTGGTTACATGTCAGATATCACAATTACTTATTGGATACCAAATATAATACACATATCTAAGATATACAGATGAGTACAGATATACAAAAGTATAATGAATAACTACAAACCAAAAAACAATGCTACAGAGCATATAAACTAACTACACACAAAAGAATAATGTTATAACGTGTAAATACTGATTACAGCACAAGACAAGTGCAAAAATTATAATTATTAAACAAATGATACTACTTTACACATTAATACAATTGTGTAAATGTATACTAACAATGAATGAAAGAATTATATCTCTAATATACTTGAAACAACACATTAATACAACTTAATTATGCAGAACGTGTTATCACAGCAGTTGATTATATAATAAATTTCAAAGTTGCAACAGCAACATCAACTGTACAGTGTATATACCTTAACAAACAATTATTAAATTTACATTGTGACAATGTTTTACCTTTATGATCTGTTATGTCTGTCTGTAACTTCTATTGCTTAGTCAGTGCTTAGTCTGTGAATTTTGTTATTCTATTTTTTGTAGCATCCATAGTATTATACTTTCTGTTCCATTGTTTATATTTAGTTATTAATTTTTTGTGCATATTATCCATTTTCTCCCCTTCAATTCAAGAAGGTATTTCTTTAAAGAATTGGATATTTCTTTAATGTTTATTAATTGTTGTTATAATATAATATTTATATATAATAATTGTAATTGCTTTCATGGTTCGATTTCTAATTATTAGTATTTTAAAGCTGTGTGTAACATTTGTTATGTTCTATAATAAGTAATTTAAGTAGTATTACTATTATATCTTTGTTACCATTAATGTTTGTCAAGTTATATAATGTGTATTTTGTTTGTTATAGTAGATAAGTACACATTATGTATAATATACAAGTTTTGTTTGCACTCGTTATTAATAATTGTTCATAACTATGAATGAATATTTTGTTTTTGTGTTGAAAACATATGGTAATTTGTTTGTTTCTGTATAATATTCATTTAATAACATTGTAATTATTATTTATGTAGTGCTTTTAGTAAATGTGCTGAGTTCTATTAAGTACACTTGTGTCTGTTATTACCTATTTTATATTATACTGTCTGAGATAATGGCTTAAACATTTTATTAATTTATTTAATCATATTATATTATGATTGTTTTTGATCATAATTATTATAATAATGTGTTTGTAATAATTATATTTGTATTATTCATTGTAATAGCCTTATCAGCTTAATACTTTACTCCTACAAGCTTCATTCAGTACAAAGCAAAACTATGTTGATCAGAACTAAATAACAGAAGTCAACACAATGTGTAATTGAACTTCAACATTAAATAAATAATGATTCTACTATGAAACAAATGCTCATACTTGGTGAATAATATTAATATGATAATATAATTAACTTAACAGTGTTTAATACGAAAATAAATAATATACAGATGATTATCACATTATATAACAAAATAATTCATCAATTCAGACTATAGTTCATAGATAAAAGTGATGAATAACAAAAATAATACTTTGGAATGTACATAAAACAATAAATAATATATCTATATGATAATACAAATATAATTACAATATAATTCACAACTACAACTGAACAATACACAGATAATAACTATATAAACAAGTATGGAGCACATACATATAATTAAATAAAACTATTAAATCGATTCTTGTATGAACAATTAATTTGCCCTCACTGTACAATTAATACAAGTATGAACAGCATTATAATACTATGAAATACATTGGATAGATACTAATAGGTATATCTATACAATGATTCAAATAAAATAAATAAAACTGATATATAAAACGTTTTACCTAGCAAACCAATTAACAAATAAAATGTTGAACAAATACTACAATTGTGCATAGCACTAGATTAACTAAAGAATGCTAGGAAACAATTATAGTAAACATAATCTGATATATCACTTATATGTGGATTGTGTTACAATACATTATTCTTCACAAAAGAAAAAGCAAAGAACAATAGCCATAACATACACATATATATATACAATACTATGATCACAACAATTCACAATAACATTGTTAATGATAAATAATACAAACACATGTTAGTAATGATTTACAACAGATAACTATGTTGGTTATTAAAGAAACAATACAACAGATTGTATAGTTACTCAGGATGCATTAGAAACAATCAATAAACAAACATAATGTTAATAAATTAATACATATGTATAAATGATAATGTAAAGCAAACGAACAAACAATACATTCATAATATAATACATATATGATGCACCTAGACACATAGCAAGATGCCTGTAGCCAGACATAACATCTATGCAACAAATATACATTAGTATAAAACCTCATTGATCTCAGAATGAAGCAATCTGGCAAAAACAAATATTATTATTAATATTACAATATACAATTGATGTAACACTTCAATCCAAAGACATAAATCAGCTATTGCTGAATGCTTAACACATATACAAATGTAGACGAACACAGACAGCAATGATTAAAGAAGGATATTATTGCAACATTGAATATACATTTTACTAGTGTGATTCATTAGTTTCACTACAAAGTAAAAAGGAAATTACTAGAGTACTCAAACAAACTTAATAACAAACAATATGTCTGAATAACAAACAATAAAACAAAACAAGCAATTGCATTTATGATTTAAATATGCACATATATGTACCTATGCATGCTGACAAGATTCTGCAGGTCTCTGAAGCATTTACAAATTATTTAATAACATTTACAAACAATCTATTATGATAATAATGCTGTTATTGAACAATATATTATGAACAAACAAACTAATTAAATATACTTAATCAATATAACATTGGACAAACTTAACACAAAGTGGATGACATTTGGAACAGACAGTACACAGAACAAACAATGCATTACTATAATGCTAATAATATTATTATTAACTACATCAAGTTATAAACGTGTTACACGAATGAACAATTGTACAATACAGTTATAATGATTAAACTATCTATACATACTACAAGCAAACATCTTACAAGTCTATTTGACCTAGTAAGAGTTTGAAGGGGAGTGTTAAGACGAGACTACACAAGAGTATGTCTCAGATGATATAAACTACATTACAAGCAATGACAAACAATGATGGAATACCTTCCATCATACATTCTACATCTGAGACATACCTACATAGTATATATAGACTAACTAATCAACAGACAATGAAGTAAGCTGCGAGAGAGCGAGCCGAGTCCACTATCCCCCCTCTTTGTGTGATCCCTCTAAGCCTCTCACATAACCTCTCTTTCCCCTTTCTTAACACAATCCTTACGAAATTTTCTCCATCCCATGTTCGCGTGGGTTCATGGAACCTCGTTCCGTGTCGAATTTCTACACCTTTACGGATGTGCGCTATGTACGGCAAAAGGATGCATGTCTATCCGTTGTACAAAACATGTGGTGCCTTGATGGATTTATCGAGGGTCAACGAACTTGAACGGAGCAGCTCACCTGGACAAGTACAAATTCCACATACCCATAATGCGCTCTGAGGCTCATCAAACGTCCTGAGCTTCTACTTGGAGATTCTCATCTCTTTTCAAACAGTTTGTCATGAATTTTACTATACGTTTTCATGTTCCAATTTCATTCGGATTTGGGGTGCGTATTGTATTCAGTAGTGAACCTCCAATACCAAATATTACTGGTTTGTAAGCTGTCCCAAGTGTGATAAAACACACGTTTGATGACTTGGATATGTTGGCGGCTCACCAGAAACACTTGATTTGTCGATACTGGAATCAGAAAAGCAAAGTCAGCAGCCGATTGCCATTCCTGGGTTTCTTCATGCTTACTTATCATGAATTAAAGCATATATTGTATTACAGTATTAGTAATTATATGTCACGTGAAACGTAATGGGTATGTTCTTGACGTTGAAGATTCAGAAATGTCTTTGCAGTTCTCCATTCGCTGGCAAGAAGAAAGCATTGTTTATCGTCCAATGATGCAACAGAACTTATTCACACTCCTTGGGTTGTATTCTGCTCACATACTCTATTGGTCATCAGCCAGGCTTGTCTTCTTCCAGGGAAAAGTTGCTACATTCCGGCCAAGTGCTTACATTTTTCTCGTAAGGCCTTCCAGTATCTTCCTAGCACCAGAAGCCCTTCTACTATACCTCAATACAATGTACGGATAAATACTGTTCGGCATGCAAAGAATGCAGGTATTGAAGTGATGGCCGTGGCTGGCTCTCTCACAGAAACTTTCGTATAAGGAGCTTCTTGGATGCTTGCCTCTTCTTGACTACTGTGCCCACCCCCCCCCTTCTTCCAAACCATTAAGCTATAATTCTTGTAGCTACCTGTAGATCTACGCTGACGCAGATGATTTCGCTGCGGGAATCTCCTAAAATTGAGGATCATGTCCAATATTACTTTTTGTTTCTCGTTGGAATAAGCACTGCGGTCGTGTCTCTTTTCAGACTTATCAACAGCTGGAAGCTTGAGGTAGGTGTCATATACTCGCTGAGGGGTCTTGTTGATCGGTTTATTTATCAGGTTAACGTACCCCTCGAAGGCTCCTCCTCATCGTACATAGGCGCATATGACTTTATCACAGACACCAAATCCATACTCAAGCGAGCTTATGATAAGGTATGTTTCTAGTTTGGGGGACGTGCGTATGGCTAGACTCATTCAGACCAAATGCTCAGTACGGAAAGGAAACATTCAAGATCCCTCAACTGAATCGGTACATCGTCATAATTAACAAACGTGAAAACATCGAAGACATTAGGAAAGCTCCAGACGATAAAGCCTCTTTCGATGAAGCGGTAGCTGAGGTTTGGCAAGACTTCTCTTGGTGCAATTATTGCTTTCTGAACTGTATATTCCACAGGACTTTCAATTCCGTTGGACGTTTGGAGAGAAACTCGCGAGAGATACCTACCACCTCGTTCCAATCCGTAATCAGTTGACTCGTTCTTTGGTTTTCCTGTTCGATGGTATTTGCGACGAGATTATGTGTGCCTTTAATGACCTTATTCCGATGAAGAGCGACGGTACGATATCGAGTTATTATTCATGCTCGAGTAACAGTAAGTGACGGGATGACCTTATTAGACTGGGTTGCCATCCCGGCGTTGGATACAATAAGGAATGTGGTATGCAGAGCCAGCAACAGGATTTTCGTTGGCGTCCCTCTTTGTGAGCCACGACTTACCCAACACGACAAGCAGTTCATACCTTTATTTCCTCTCTGTAGGCAGAGATCCAGATTATATTGACATAAGCATCAATTTCACTATTGATGTCATGAAGACCGTGTATATGATTGACAATACCCCTGTACTTTTGCGTCCGTAAGTGTTTCAATGCTTAACGTCACAGCCAACCTGCTCACGATTGATTTTCACCCCATAGCCTTGTCGGTGCATGTTTCAGCCCAACAGCTCGAACTGTCCACAGAGCCATGAAGCATCTTCGCCCTGTATTTGAGGAGCGATTTCGTATGTATGACGAAAATGGTGGAGATTGGTCAGGGAAACCGGTGAGAAATAGCTAAGTTATGCACTGCTCAGGAGGTTAACTAGGCGAAGGTCGACATGATTTCATGGTTGATTGATGAAGCGCCAAACAACCGAGATATTCGGGATCTCGTAATGAGGATGCTGCACATCAACTTTGCTGCTATACACACGTCCTCGAATGTAAGCTATATCTCTCACCGCAGCATCTTTTGATTCGTCTTATGACCTTCAATACCAGAGTTTCACTCACGCTCTATTCCACCTTGCGGCAGAACCACGATATATTGGCCCTATACGAGAAGAGGTCGAGCAAGTAATCAAGGAGGAAGGATGGTCGAAAGTGGCAATGACGAAAATGTGGAAACTCGATAGCTTCATGAAAGAGAGCCAACGGATTAATGGCCTTATGCTAAGTAAGTCTCAATTACAAATACGCTCGTAACTCGTATAACAACGACTCTTTCCAGCGGGTCTTACTCGCAAGATAATGTCCGACTTCACGTTGTCGGATGGAACCTTCCTGCCTGCTGGCACATTCGTTGCCGCAAATTTAACAGGAGCGCATTGTGATGACACTCTCTACCCAGACGCAGACAAGTTTGACGGATTTCGGTTCTCGAAACTACGCGAGAAAAACTCGGAAGAGAGTGTAAAGCACCAAATGGTCAATACTAGTCCGGAATATTTAGCATTTGGACACGGACGTCATGCTTGGTAGGTTTATGCCATCTTGACCTACGTTATGCTTGCTTGATATGGTCCCTATAGCCCTGGCCGTTTCTTCGCGGTGAACGAGCTCAAGGCAATGATGGCATATCTGATTTCGAATTATGACGTGAAAGCAGAGGTGGAGGGAGTGCGACCGGAGAACGAGTACCATCGTACACAATTGACGCCAAACTCAAAGGCCAAAGTCTTGCTCAAGAAACGAACGGATGTATAAAAGACTACCTATCGCCATTCTCCGTGCCGAATTATGTCAAGGATATGGAGCTCGCACGCAGGATGACTCGATGTTGTGTAAATGCAGAAACCTTTGTATGAGTATCTCGGAGTCTTATGCCGATGAGAATGACAAAGATGTGCACAGTCAAGCGCTGTAGTGTGTCATCTCGTAGGGCCGTACTACAACAGGGCTCGGAAGATCGCGAGGTACAACTTTATGAGTATGAGATTATCTACATGTTTACATTGTGTATGTATTGGTAGGTTTACGACACACATTGCAATCCGATCACGTGAGATTCGATTGATAAAATGTTCTCGATTGACACCTTTGCTCTTCCTCATTCACTGACGCAGACCGGATAATATATCGATCGCTCCGTCTGACCATGGAGCAAACATTATGCGCGCCTCCTGTAAGGCACTTTAATTTGTTTAGCCATTGGGTATGGACTTACCTTCTTAAGGATCAGGCTGCTACATCCCGGCTAGGTGCCGATATTCCTCTTCTCGTAAAGCCTTTATCACGTTGGCAACTTATGGTCCCTTTCATTTCACTTGGATATGAATGTACGAGCTCCTACTGTACGTCATGTCATGCAAACGATTGTGGAGATTGAAGCAACAAACTTGGCTGGCACTCACGAGTCCTTTTGTATAAAGAGCTTCCTACATGCTAGCTTTTCATCGACTATCATCCCATATCCCTACTACGTGCAGGGACCTGTTTTATAACGTTGCGCACATCTGAAAACCTACCCAAACACAGATGATGTTGGTCCCTGAACTTGCTGCTAAAATTGGGGATCATGCCCAATGCTACTCCTTGCTTTTGGTAGGGATGTGTTTTGCGGTTGTCATAATTGGCAGGCCTAGCAAGGGCCGAAATCTCAATGTACGCCTCCACACACATGATGAAGGCTCTATTTAACCGGATTCGATGTAGGTCAACGTTCCTCTTGAGGGTTCCTCTGGAGTGTCTTCGTATGTTGCCGCCTACGATTTCATCACGGGTGCGAAGTTCATATTAAGAAACGCGTATAAGAAGGTATGTATCCTATGAATTTTGTACATACATAGTCTCATCTAAGTATAGTATGGAAATGAAACATTCAAGATTCCTGGAATGAATCGGTACACTGTTATAGTCAATAAACGTGAAATTATCGAAGAGGTTAGGAAAGCTCCAGACGATAAAGCCTCTTTTGCCGAGGCAATGATTGAGGTATGGCATGAACCTCTGTGCAAGTTTTACTTGCTGAACGTGACATTTTACCAGGATTTCGCTTTCCATTGGACATTCGGAGAGAAAATAGCGAGGGATTCGTATCATTTCCTAATCATTCGTAATCGGCTGACTCAGTCTTTGGGTTCGCTATTGGACGACGTCCGCGACGAAATTACGCATGCATTTAATGATCTCATTCCATTGAAAAGTGAAGGTACGATAGCGGGCTATTGCTGATACTCAAATTGCAATAGATGATATGGCGATCATTCTAGACTGGGTTGCAATACCTGCATTGGATATAACGAGAAGCATTGTTTGCAGAGCAAGCAACAGGGTTTTCGTTGGCGTTCCTCTTTGTGAGTCCCGGCTTCGTCGCATGACAGTGTGTTCATACTTTTGTTACTTTTTTAAAGGCAGAGATCCAGAGTATGCTGAGCTAAGCATCAACTTCACTATTGATATCGTGAAAACAGTGTACATGGTCCAGGACATGCCTGCTTTTCTGCGCCCGTAAGCGTTTCAGTGTTATGAGTTATAACTGGAACCTCTGTGATTGATTTTCACTCTATAGCATTGTCGGTGCTTATTTCAGCCCAACAACTCGTAGTGTCCGCAAGGCCATGAGACTTCTTCGTCCTGTATTTGAGGAACGATTTCGAATGCATGACGAAAATGGCGGTGATTGGTCGGGGAAACCGGTAAGGTGTAACATGCTTATTTCGTCGACTGGGCCGCTGACCAAATAAAGGTCGACATGATTTCATGGCTTATTGATGAAGCACCGAAGAACGAGAAGCGAAACTCGGGAACTCACGATGAGGATGCTACATATTAACTTTGTTGCCATGCACACGTCCTCGAATGTTGGCTATATCTCTTATATCGTAGCGATTTACTGACACGCCGCATTGCATTCTACTATCAGAGTTTCGCACATGCTCTGTTCCACCTTGCGGCGGAGCCACAATATATCTCGCCTCTGCGGGAAGAAGTTGAGCAGGTGATAAAGGAGGAAGGATGGTCGAAGGTCGCGATGACAAAGATGTGGAAGCTTGATAGTTTCATGAAGGAGAGCCAACGGATTAACGGTGTCAACTTGCGTAAGTTCGTCTTGACTGCGTGTGTGCAGCCTCGGACTTTACCATAACTATTGGCCAGTATCTTTAAATCGCAAGATAATGTCCGATTTCACCTTGGCAGATGGGACCTTCCTGCCTGCCGGCACATTCGTTGCTGCGAATGTGGTGGGGGCGCACCGTGATGACTCTCATTACCCAGATGCAGACAGGTTTGACGGATTCCGCTTTGCGAGGTTGCGTGAGCAAAGCTCTGAGGCGAGTGTAAAGCACCAAATGGTTAACACGAGTCCAGAATATCTGGCATTCGGACACGGACGTCATGCCTGGTGCGTTCATATACTTTATACTTTATGTTTAAGACTAAATTGACTTATGCATACTTCATAGCCCCGGCCGCTTCTTCGCAGTGAATGAGCTCAAGCTGATGATGGCATATCTGATTTTGAATTATGACGTGAAGACCGAGGTAGAAGGAGTGAGGCCAGAGAACGTGTATCATCATTCTCGATTGAGCCCAAACCCAAAGGCTAAGGTCCTCTTCAAGAAACGAAGAGAGGTATAAGGTTATCATCATTCGCCATACCAAATCACATCAGTGATTTGGGGTTCCTTTCATTGCTGCATATCAAAGGATCTTGTTATAAACATGTAAATACCTATTATGACTGCTATAACCTTCTGAAAGTTGCATATAACCAATTCAGCCTCGGTGCCGCACGGAAGATCTAGAAAGTGCAATCTAACACAGAGCGCTGAATGTCACGACAAATCTTAGGGTGGACTTAAATCGATTGGGTGACTTCGATATGACATTGATATAAGTGGTGCATCACTGAACACATTTGGGAAACCTCGGCATAATTTTTTTTGAGTTTCATTCGACTCCATGTTTTCGTGAATATCGTTGCCCTTCTGGGAACCTCGCTCTACATCGACTGACCCAATTTATAAAACGCGAATGTGCGATGAATGGACAGGCTACGACAATACTGCAAAAGTAATGTCTAGTTGGAGTTATCAAGCTCACTGCTGTAAGAAGTCCTCAAAAGAAGGTCTGATTAAAAATAAGACCGACTCGGATCGAAATGTACGGAAGTCTACTGTCAACTTCAGGCTACAAAGTACATTATGTCGAGAGCAATGAAGGCCAAGCTCCATCACACAGCTTTAACGATCTCTGGGGCTCGCAGTTTGCCCCAAACGCACCCGAGAAAGTCATGCTTCGGCCATCATCAGAATCACAAACAAAGTCTACCAGAGACACCCAGTAGGCCTATATTCTTCAAAACCAGTTCATTTTACCAAATAAGATCCGAGTAAATCCCTTTCTTCTTGATTGTAGGATGGTCAAAATACATTTCTTCCTGTTTACATCCATGTATCAGAGAGAGAATAAGTGATGTTTGGTTTTATTTATACACTTATCACGTGAAGTCTGACCACAGTAATATCTTCTGCAGATTGAATCATTGATGCTTTTGCGGCCGTACGTTGGATACCGAATCCCGATCACCCCGTACGACAATGGATCAAACATTATTTGCATCTTCAAGACACTCTATTTTCGAATTCTATTGGTCACCAGCCAGGCTTACCTTCCGTAGGAAGGTAGCCACACCCGGTCAAGTACGGCGCTCCTCTTGTGATTTCTGGAATACGTTGGGGACATAAGGGCCCTATTGTCCTGTTTGGACATGAGCGCACGATTTCATATTGTAACATGTGTCATGCAACGATTGGGGAGATTGAAGCAACGAATCTAGCTAGCTTTTGCAGAAGAACTTCTGTATAAAGAGCAACGAATCTAGCTAGCTTTTGCAGAAGAACTTCTGTATAAAGAGCACCCAAGATGCTTGTCTCTTGTCGACTAGTGCACCATATCTCTACCACTTAAAGATCCTTAGCTATGAACATTACACCAACCTGGAAACCTACCCTGATACAGGTGACTTCGGTTCCGGGATTTCATAAACTTGAGGACCATACCAGAACCTACTCCCTGCTTCTGGTTGCAATATGCATTGTGCTCGCCTTGCTTGTTAGACTTAGTGAGGGCCGAAAGCTTAATGTATGGTTGCCCATTTATGATGTGGAGTCTAGCTAATCTACTCCTATATAGGTCCCTGTTCCTCTCGAAGGCTGCTCTGGAGCCACCTCATCATATGTTGGTGCCGTCGACTTCATTGCAAATGCGAGATCTGTCTTAAAAAACGCATATATGAAGGTTTGTATCTTTTGTCTGTGAACTAGGCGCATGCTTATTCTCGTCTCAATACAGTATTGCAAAGGGACATTCAAGATTCCTGAGATGAATAGATATACGGTCATAATTAATAGACGTGATCTCATCGAAGAGGTCAGAAAGGCTCCAGACGAAACGGCTTCTTTGCTCGTCGCAACGTATGAGGTTTGATACATATTCTCCTGATGCAAATATTTCGAGTGTAGTCACGCATTTGTCTCAGGACTTTGGGTTTCGTTGGATATTTGGAGAGAAATCTGTATCAAACCCATACCACTTTCATGTCGTCCGTAACCAGTTGACTCGTTCTCTGGGCCAACTGCTCAGCGAGGTTCGCGATGAAGTCATGTGTACATATAACGATCTGGTTCCGAAAAAGAGTAACGGCACGATGAAGTTTTCGTTTATGGTTGGGTCGCAATGACTAATAGTGCGATCACCTCAGATTGGGTTGCCATTCCTGCATTGGATTCTGCGAGAAAGCTTGTATGCAGGGCTAGTAACAGGATTTTCGTCGGCGTCCCGCTTTGTAAGTGCCAATTTAGTTGTGTTATGTCTGCCGTGACTCACTTGCAACTACAGGCAGAGACCAGGAGTTCATGGAGTTGAGCATCTCTTTCACGCATGATGTCATGAAGTTGGCGCACATTATTCAAGACGTGCCGTCCATTTTACACCCGTAAGCATCTCGGGATTATTAGTCATTATCAGCAGTGCTCCCATCTCGAAGCACAGAGGTCAATCTCACGTTTAATTCTTCTTTAATTTAAAGCATCGTCGGTGCATACTTCAACCCAACGACTAAGAGAATACGTCAAGCCGTGAGACTCCTTCAGCCTGTACTCGAGGAGAGATTTCGTATGTACGACGAAAATGGCGATGATTGGCCCGGAAAACCGGTAGATGAAACCACTTAATCCATTCCCCCAAGAAGCTGACCAAATAACAAGGTTGACATGATCTCATGGCTCATTGAAGAAGCACCGAAGAACGAGAAACGAAGCATTCGTGATCTCACGTTGAGGATGCTTACGATAAACTTTGCTGCGATACACACAACCTCCAATGTGGGCTTGATCCACCTAAATTTCAGCTTCTACCTCTTCTTCTCAACGAGTTTGAATATTAGAGCTTCGGCCATGCCCTGCTTCACATTGCGGCAGAGCCCAAATATGTCGCGCCTATTCGGGAAGAGATCGAACAGGTGATCAAAGAGGAGGGATGGTCGAAAGTTGCGATGGCGAAAATGTGGAAACTCGATAGTTTCATGAAAGAGAGCCAGCGGATTAACGGTGCTAACATGTGTAAGTTCGTCTTGACATATAATCGCGTGAGTACTTAAATCGATACCTCCTTCAAGTATCGGTGACTCGCAAAATACTTTCTGACCTCAACTTATCGGATGGGACCTTCCTACCTGCCGGCTCATTCGTCGCCGCAAATGTGGTAGGAATGCACCGTGACGAATCTCATTATCCAGATGCAGACAAGTTTGACGGATTCCGCTTTGCAAAGTTGCGTGAGCAAAGTGCTAAGGAGAGCGTTAAGCATCAAATGGTCAATACAAGCCCAGAATATCTGGCATTCGGACATGGACGTCATGCCTGGTGCGTTCATATACATCCTACTGTGTTGCTTAGCTCCAGACCAACTTAGGACATTCTTTGTAGTTATGGTCGCTTCTTCGCAGTGAACGAGCTCAAAATGATGATGGCATGCCTGATTTTGAATTATGACGTGAAGGCTGAGGTAGAAGGCGTGCGACCGGAGAATGTGTACCATCGTTCTCGATTGAGCCCAAACCCCACGGCTAAAATCCTGCTCAGGAGGAGGAAGGATGCATAAAGTCAGCGTGTGAGTTCCTGATACACGAGGGGATGCGTCCCGATTGCGTCCATTAACATTCATGAAATAATCTCATATAAATTGTATAAATATCTGAAAGTTGTATGTTTTATTGCTTGATCGACATGTACAAAATAAATTATACAGGTGTTCCCGTTGCTTCATGTAACACAGGCTTTGTCGTACACGTGCAAAGAACACGGAAGATCGCCTGGCTCGGGACAGGAAATCCTTAGTGTATCGAGTTTTTCATTGAACGGTTGCTCATGTGGCTATGTAAACAACACTCCGGCCGACGTATATCAAGTTAGATATAGATCTAGCACTCGGCGCTTTCCGAGATGTTCCACCACAGCAATACCATATTTATACGCCTAGATAGACGACCACATGGTACCACCGGTAAAAACAGATACGGTTCGAGCTATCATCTCGTCTTGGACACCTTCCCGCTCGCCAATGATAAGTATCCTTAAAGATGCAACTCCTATCCAATATTTACTTAGGGTGATTACCGGTTTAGTACTTGCTTTTGCCGAAATTGGAAAGAAAAGGGGCAATTAAAAAATGGTACAAATAAATACAAATATTGTGAATATGTGCCGACGTCTACACGCCTCTATTTATTCAAATATTGCAAAAGACGTGTTTGCAAACAAATGCAAACAAATGATTTGGACTAATTCTGACTGGAATATATAAATAAAATTTCATTGATAGTATATACAAACACTTCCAGCTGTTAATGAATGCCGGGACTAGAAATAAAATCTTGAATGAAAATGACCGACTTGAATATCTGCGCTTTACCACATTAAAATTTCGTTCTTTTCCTCTTACTCGGTACCCAATCGTTCTGACACTGACAAATATCTTTCCCACGATTCAAGTTGCGAAGTTGAGAGGAGAATGGATGAATAGAATTTTTAGCTATCTTTTCAATATCATAGATAGGATAGGTACGTAGAAAATATACAAAAAAGTTAATCCACTCTAAAAAGCAACACCGACGTCACGATATCAATTACACAAGATAAACGCACTACGACCCGCGTCTCGTAACTCCAGCCCAAAGGGAGAAGACTCGAAGGTAACGAATCATAACAAGCGTAATATAAAGAAACGGAGAGATAGGGAGATGGAAGAGAAACGGACGAGGAGCACTCAGAAAATAACAGCAGCAATCTTCTGCCCAATTGTCCGAGGCGGTTCCTCCGGAATCTCCGTCTCCTCCATCGTCGGGATACCAGTGACGAAATCCATATCTTGTGGTTTCCAGAACTTCGTACGCTTGTAAATCTTCCAGCCGAAGTATAGCAAGAAGAATAACGGGATGTCGAGGTAGGCGACGAGGAAGTCGGACGCGTTGAAGTCGAAGAAGACTGCGAAACCGTTGATGAGAATGAACAGTATACACCAGAAGACACCCCAGTAACTGAGATAGGGCTGCAGTCCGCTATAGTATGCGCTCTTTGTTCGGTCGAAGCCTTGTGCCTTCTTACCGCGATCTGTTAGGATGGTTTTAAGTTGAGTGCTCAGAGCAGGCTAATAGGAGGAAAACTTACAGAAGTAGATGAAGGTAAGGTTGATGGATAGCCAGGTGAAGAAACCAGCAACAGTCGTCAAGTTGACGAACCAACTATAATATAGCGAAATCAGAAATCAGTAACGAACCTTCAATAGAAAAGAAGATTTATCGCTCGAACGTACTTGAAGACCTGCTCGGACGAAGCTTGTGTGTTCATGAACGCAAGGAACGCAAAGCAACTTGTTGTCAGAACGGCCACAATGGGGAGGCCATTCTTCGTGCAATACGAGAAGATCCTTGGTGCCTGTCCACGAATAGCCAAACCGTACAAGATACGCGATGAACAGAACAAGAACGAGTTTCCAGCAGAAAACGCGCTCGTGAAGACTGCACCATTGATGATGTGTGGGAGGACCTTGATACCCGCGCGATTGAACGCGATGACATACGGCGACTGTGCAGCATTGTCCGCGACCGAGAGCAAGTTGCCATCATTGAACGGTATGAGCAAACCGGTAATGAAGATTCCGAGCATGTAGAAGACAAGAATCCGATAGAACACTCGGCGAACGGCCTTGGAGATGTTCCGACGTGGGCTCTCAGTTTCAGATGCGGCGATTGCAACAAGCTCCATTCCTTGGAACGAGAATGCTGCCTGGACGAGTACGGAGAGGAGGGCGAGGAACCGACCAAGTCCGACCTTGTCGCTGGATACCAAATCCGACTGAGCTAGCGCACCAGGGTTCTTCCAGTAACGGAACCCGATACGTTGGTGGTCGGGTCCTCCGCCAAGGTCGACGACGAGACCGGTGATGATAAGGCCGGTGATCAATAGAACTGAATATAGATCAAAAGAGAAGTTCTAATCGGTTCTATCGTCTATGAGGGGAACAGAATCTTACTTTTGATGATTGAGAAGAAGAATTCAGATTCGCCGAACCATCGAACACCAAAGATATTGATCAAGCAGACGCAGATACAAATAACGGCTGTGTAGATTGGTGCATGTCCTTCCTGATAAAGGTAATCTGTTAAAAAATACACATTAAATCAGCATCTCGCAAAAAATACGCACGTCCTGATCCCAGAAGGTAAGAAGAATCTGAGCGGCGGTTACTTCAACGGGAACCGTAATAGCGTTCGACTGTAGCCAATGAGTTAATATCAATGTATCATGAAACATCTATCGCTGATTACTGACGTAGAAATAATTCCACCCAACAGCGAAACCAAGTGCAGGGTCTACCCAACGAGCGGCAAAGTGCGGGAACGTTCCAGAGATCGGAGCGTGCGCAGTCATTTCACCGATTGCGCATAGCGACCTTTACGTTTACAGCTCAGCCATAATCGCGATATCAAATTAGATGGAATGGAAACCCACGAGTATGCAACGGAACCAACCAGCGCATATGCCAATAGGGCGCCGAGTGGGCCGGCCAGGTGCAGTGCTTGACCAGAACCGAGGAACAGACCTGTGCCAAGCGTTCCTGCAATCTACAAGCCAAAAAGGGCAGCGTTGAGCATTGGTACGATATACTGAGATGGGCGCGCGTAGTGGGACCACATGGTCACATGTACTAAGCAGAATTATACTCACGGCGATCCTGTGAATTGCATACAGTCAGAATAAACTCCGGAATCGAATAAGCGAATGGCAGCAGGAGCATGCGACATACATTTGCACATGGCGCTGTTTGAGTCGACGCTGCACGCGATCGAGGTCGACGGCATCGAAGTGGTAGCGCTCGTCCTCAACGACTGGAGAGAGAGAGGAGAGGTAGAATCATTAGATGGCATATTTAACGCAGCTTTATGCGCACTTACCAGCAGCATGTGCGGTCGCGTCGCCGAGTCCCTTCTCTAGGGAGACATTGTCACTGTTCGAGTGCAAATCCTTTTCGTCTTTCTCGTTATACATCGTGAGGACCCGATGGAGAGACTGCTCTAGCTGCTGTGCTGAGAGACGAGTCGAGTGGGCAAGGCGCCAGGGAGGCGTAAGGGAAGGGAGGAGAGGGGTGGAGAAAAAGGTCAGCCGGAGCGTAGTGGGAGCTTTATATGTATTTGGAGTGCAGGGAAGCACATTTGGGTTTGTACGATAAGGAAAATTGAGGAAGCACGATAGGTTTGTATGTTTCCGTTCCTTGTATCGAGATCGGCCACCTGGGAACGAATGCTCGATTTCTGGCCACGCTAGTCCTTATCACGCCTGCCGTCGCCTGTCCATGAGCTCACGCAAAAACGGATCAACGAAGCTGATGCTCCGGCTCCCTCCCCAGGGTCGTTTGTTCCACCTTATTTCCTCCTTCCAGAGCCTCTCCCACTCTTCCCTATGCTCTATCCTCACCTTCATCAACGCCAAGTATTCCAATCGCGAGAATATGTGTGGTTTTACAAGTCTGGATTGTACGATCGGTCCTGCACTAGCCGATGTCCAAGCAAAATTTAAGCTTCGCTCCCGCGACAGGGATCGGCTGTGGCGATGCCAACATAGCCAGATATATCGGGAGAAACTCCGCCGCTATGCCTAATTTCTTCTAACGGCAGCTGCCATATAAGTCAGAAACACCTATCATTCAGGCGGGGTCGCTTTTCTGCTCGACGTGCTAGGTGAGTAAACGGCGGGTGGACCAGGTCTGCAAAACACACTCAGCACATTCCGCAAAAGTCCGAGGTACACACGTGCCAAACGCGTCGGTGTCGTTGATCCCCCGTGTGACGGAGCCAAAATCAATGCACTCAATTTGCTCGTGATTGTTTTACCGGAATACTCGTTTACATTATCTGGAGCGCTCTTCCCAACTTATGGTACGTCAAATGGCCCCAACTTACACCGATCGAGACGACTTGTAGCCATCTATCTCCCAGACACGTCAGATTGTGGGGTTTAGAGTCGGATGACTTCATCTCAAGGCTGTCTTCCCAAGAAATTACAAAAATAACGGTTCCACACGAACCGGCGCTGGAAACGGGACCAGGAACGGTACTGATAAGTACTTATCGACCCGCGCGCCGCCTACATGCGCACATACGCAGTTGCCCGAATCCAGGTCGGGTCTACAAAACTATTAACCCTGCCTACCCCGCATTCTTCCATCATCCCTACGCGAAAATGCTACTTACCCTGAAGTACTTATCGCTGCTTCCATAATTTTCCTGTGCACACGACCAAATTTATTTTGTTTGCTGTGATTGCGGATTGTTTGGAGATGCGCTTTTGATGCGCTTTTTGCGCTACGTTGTTTAAGCGAGGCGACACGACGGGTCCGAGTGATGGTGCTCGCGTAGCTGGCGGTAACCGCAGCGTGCGTAGCTAGCCCATGGGGTTATACTGTTCACGACAAATCTTTCTACTTCCAAGCAAATGCCTTTTTCGAGCTCCATGCATTCAATCATTGATACTTATTTGCATTCCAGGAATGAATCGAATGATTGGTATCACCTCGAAAACTCATCCGTCTTCGGTGTACAGGAAACAGCACAAATGCCTCCCATCATAAAACCAACAATCTATCAAAGCGTAGTGGCACGTTACCGCCAGTCCTAGCACGCAGGCCTATACCGGAGCCATCACCAGCTTGCATGCGCGCACGAATCGCTGTCATGGGTGCCGAATAGGTCAATTGTCGACACTGGTTCGAGCTCATGTCGTTGTTGCCTTGACGCCCGAGGGGAACGAGGCTGAAACATCTAGTACACCTCATAACTCCAATAGGCATGGTATAGGACGGGACTGTACTTTTGACAGTTTGCACGCTGTCTGTCTACATGCCTTCAAACCCTTTTATCAGCTTGATCCTGCCGGTGCCTCTTTCGTAAATGGCAAATCGAGGAAAATCTCACAAAGCTTTCTGGTATAAAAGCACTTTCAAGACAGCTTGTCGCATGGCTCAACCCTTTTGGGATGGGATGCTGCAGGATCGTTCTGTTATCCTGAACATGTTCCACGCTACTTTGCGGTATTACATACAAAACATTCGGGCTGCTCTACTCCTGCACCTCCAACTTGTTGCTGTTTCATAGCTTCAGGAACGAATACAGTTCCGCTGGGAATGTTGGGAGTTTTCGACACCTCAATGTCCAAGCCGCTGAATGTCAGACATGGACATTGTTGACACGCCATGGAAAAGTAGTAAAAGGCTGCGGAATTGCTCGTATCGGTCCTTGATTCCATTCCTCCATATCAATGCACAGGTCTACCGGGAATCCAGGATACAACAAGGGCCCTGCCTTTCAGCTGACTTCCCTACTGACCAAGGTCAGTATGTAATGATCCTCCCGTCCCGCCAATTGAGACTGCACCCTTTTCTGGTTTATTCTTACCCACTATCCAATTGGTTTGGTATACACTGAACGTATGCATTAACGCTGGCGCGAAATACCCTTGATCAGTTCAATTCTATATCGGTGACTTGTTATTTGAACGGGAAGATATCCCGAGACTGGGTCCTTTGTTTTCTATCGGCGAAGGGCGCTATCTTTGTAAGTATTAGGTTTTTGCCTCTATCTCGATTCAAGCTGAAAATTTTCAAATTTTCACTTCCATTGAGTTTATATCCGTTCCTTGTTTGTACTTTCACGAGTGATGAACCCGAAGGCCTTGCTTTCCCCGTCCTTTCAGCGCGTCGAGGCCAGATCATCTTAGCCCTTTCTTAGCGCCAGTATCACGTTAACGCACTTATGTGCCCACTAATACATATCAGTCTTCAACCACATGAACATCCGGCGCGGCGCCATGAAACTGCACAAGGATCACAAATTCCAAAAGGCATGTCAATTATAGACGCCGAACGCCTGGCGTGCACCGTATCAGGATCAATGTATTTTCGTTCGGTACTTTTAAGCTTCCTCTCTTGTCAGGTCTTTGGTGCCTAGCTGAATAGTTAGGAATTACTGAAAGCATATGATGCTTCGCACGCCAAGAGCAGGATTGTTTGGTCGCACACTAACGCCGTGATTCCAGCGCTTGGTCTTCACAACTCAGGTCGAGCTGGAATACTTCTGCTTCGCTGTTCTCAGACTGTCCTTTCTTTATCCCGTCCACTCTGGCTTGTCCGTTCCAGTATGTTTTAAACATTAGGGTAGCACCGATTCTTCCTCATCTCGTGTAATAGTAGGCGTCTCAATAGTAGCTCTGATCTTCCTGTGTACGCAGTGAAACAACAGGGCATGATGATATGTATAGAATCCATGGCTATAATCCATATACAGTTGAAAATGTCTTATTGCATAACGTTGGGAGAGGGCTAAACCCAATGCATTATACAATTTATGCATTATGACAATACATTTTGGCTGAGGACCTGAGTTTTGGTCTGGCCAAAAGTCTATGCATTATGCCATTTATGCATTATGATGTGATGCAATAAGACATTTTCAACTGTAGTGTTTCGGTTCACTCAGCTAATCTCAGCGTGTTCTGTAGTCCTTGGTTTCCTGTCCTTGAAAATGCCAATCTTCTGCTCTCTACAGCATACAGAACAACAGTGCAGTATATAACATTACTTGACACGTTTAAAACATTGACTATGAACACTTCAACTTTCTAGTTGCAACAAAGATACTCTGAGGATTGGAGCACTTTTACAAACATTTACTTACAAAAACAAAAACATTTCAACGCATACTGATGACATGGAACTCCAAACCCTTTGGCCAACTTCTGCATAGTGAATGGGTGGCGATAACCTTATACGTCCGTTCGCTTCCTGAGCAGGATTTTGGCTTTGGAGTTCGGTGACAATTGATTACGGTAGTACTCGTTCTCAGGCCGTACTCCCTCTACTTCCGCTTTCACGTCGTAATTCAAAATCAGATATGCCATCATTGCCTTGAGCTCGTTTACTGCGAAGAAACGGCCTGGACTACCGAAATGGTTTCAGGACGACATAGTGAAGGTCAACACAGCACGAACATACCAGGCATGTCGTCCATGTCCAAATGGAAGATATTCTGGACTAGTTTTGACCATTTGGTGCTTTACACTCTCATCCGGGTTCTGCTCGCGCAACTTTGCAAACCGGAATCCGTCAAACTTGTCTGCATCTGGATAGTAGGAATCGTCATGGTGAACTCCTGTTAAATTCGCGGCCACGAACGTGCCAGCAGGCAGGAAGGTTCCATGCGACAACGTGAAGTCGGACATTATCTTGCGAGTAAGACCCGCTGGAAAGAGTCGTTGTTATACGAGTTACGAGCGCATTTGTAATTGAGGCTTACTTAGCATAAGGCCATTAATCCGTTGGCTCTCTTTCATGAAGCTATCAAGTTTCCACAGCTTCGTCATTGCCACCTTAGACCATCCTTCCTCCTTGATCACTTGCTCGATCTCTTCCCGTAAAGGCGGAATATATTGTGGTTCAGCCGCAAGGTGGAACAACGCGTGAGTGAAACTCTAACAGTAAGCGCCATGAGACGGATCAGAATGTTACTACGGTGAAAGGGACAATATACCCTACACTCGAAGATGAGTGAATAGCCGCGAAGTTTATGTGAAGGATCCGCATTGTGAGATCTCGAATATTTCGGTTCTTTGGCGCTTCGTCAATCAGCCATGAAATCATGTCGACCTTCATTTTGTCAGCATGGCATGTAGCGCCTGCATAAGTTACATCTCACCGGTTTTCCTGGCCAATCATGGCCATTTTCGTCATACATACGAAACCGCTCCTCAAATACGGGGCGAAGCAGCCTCATTGCCTTACGGACACTTCGATTCGTTGGACTGAAATATGCACCGACAATACTATATAGAGTGAATCTCAGTCATGAATATGCACGCTGTGACACTAAGCATTGAAGTACTTACGGACGCAAAAATGCAGGTGTATTGTGAATCATGTACACCGTTTTCATGACATCAATAGCAAAGTAGATGCTTAGCTCGGTATACTCTGGATTTCTGCCTACAAAAGAGATAATATGGGCATGAATTTGAAATTCTGGCTGGATCACTCGGGACACACAAAGGGGGATGCCAACGAAAATCCTGTTGCTAACTCTGCATACGATATTCCTTATCGTATCCAACGCAGGGACGGAAACCCAGTCTAATAGGGACGTCTTGTCACTTATATATACTTGGATAAAGATAGTCATTGCCAACATACCATCACTCTTGGGCGGAACAAGGTCTCTAAATGCATGTATAATCTCGCCGTGGACGTTGTCGAAAATCAAGCTCAAAGAGTGAGTCAACTGATTACGGATGGTTGCGAGATGGTAAGTATCTCTCGCTACTTCCAATCCAAATGTCCAACGGAATGCAAACTCCTGTGGAAATTTACAGTTCAGAAAGTAGACTTGTGCCAACTGAGGTGTACGCCATACCTCAATCCCCGCCTCTTCGGAAGAGGCTTTATTGTCCGGAGCCTTCCTAACCTCTTCGATGACTTCACGTTTGTTGACCATAACGATGTACAGATTCAGTTGAGGGATCTTGAATGTTCCCTTTCCATACTGAAGATTTGATCTGAATGAAACTAGCTACAGGCACATCCCTCAAACTAGAAACAGACCTTATCATAAGCTCGCTTGAGTATGGATTTGGTGTCTGCGATAAAGTCATACGCGTCGATGTACGATGAGGGGACTCCGGAGGAGCCTTCGAGAGGTACGTTAACCTATGAATGAATCAGTCGACGGGATACGCCGGGAAGTGCAGGATGTTTACTTCGAGTTTCCGGGAATTGACGAATCTAGAAAGGAATGCTACTGCAACGCATATTCCGACGATTATAAGAAGCAAGTAGGATTGGACACGTCCCTCAAGTTTTTCAGGTTCTAGAGGTGAAATCATCTGCGCCAGTATGGATTTTAGACAAGACTTATCGCTCAGGGGCTTGAGAGTAGTGACGGAGATAGAGGGATAATCGAAGAGGTGTACGCATTTGTGGAGCCCAAGCAAAGTCTATACAGAAATCCCCGTGAGAGAGCTCGCCATATTCGTTATACTAATCACCGTAATCGTGAGCGTGCTGTCCAGGATAAATTCGTCCTTGCATGTTGAAATACAAAAGAAGGAACCGCGATACCCAACATGCCAGGAAGCTAGGCTCTTGCTGGCTTTACGAAAGGGATGTGGGCACCTGGCTAGAACTTGGTACTTTTCCTTGAAGGTGAGCCTGCCCGATGACCAATTGAACAAAGAAGCAAGATATAATCCAAGAAGTGCAAGTAAGTTTTTCGCCATCATTAGACGAGCAGCCGATGCTCAGTATTTGCCAGCTATGTAATTGAATGGAAGGAAGTGCCAAAAAAAGACCGATCAGGTTTCACGTGACACAGTAATCACTGCCGTAATTAATTAGGAGGACACATGATATAATTCCGGAACCGCCACTCGGACAGTGCTCGTTTTACTGTGTGCCATTATAATACCTTGGAAGCAGCAAGGCAAATTCCACTTTATTCCACGAGTCCCTTTTTTTCTCTATGGTTATGTTTCGCAATCTTCCGTTCTCTGTACGACTCAAACCTTTAACATGATGCTCTCCAAGATCATTTTGAAACTCTGCATTCCCGCCCCTTTGACCAGCACAGCTAGACTAAAATGCATGACTTCAATTTGTAACGTTGAAAAGAAACATTTCCGTGATATACAAAACCAGTCGGTCATGTAGCGATGAATTGTATCGTCGAGATTCTCATGCGATTCCGCATCGCGAATAACGGCTTCCTTATGCATCAACTCGTTTCTTGAATAGCACCTTAGCCTTCGGATCTGGGCTCAATCGAGAACGATGGTATACGTTCTCTGGTCGTACTCCCTCCACCTCCGCTTTCACGTCATAATTCAAAATCAAATACGCCATCATTGCCTTGAGCTCGTTCACCGCAAAGAACCGGCCAGGGCTACAATATATGTATCAAATTAGTCTAGAGCTAAGAAATGCAGTAAGCTGTATATGAACACACCAGGCATGACGTCCGAGTCCAAATGCCAGGTATTCTGGACTCGTGAAGACCATTTGATGCTTCGCACTCTCCTCAGAGCTTCGCTCACGCAACTTCGAGAACCGGAAACCGTCAAACTTGTCTGCATCCGGATAATGAGATTCGTCACGATGTATTCCTGCAACATTCGCGGCAAGGAACGATCCAGCAGGCATGAAGGTACCGTCTGGCAACGTCAAGTCGGACATTATCTTGCGATTCAACGAAACTTGGTAATAATTTTGGTAAGGCACGGAATGCATACATACATTCAAGACAGGCTTACCCAGGTTGATACCATTCATCCGCTGACTCTCCTTCAAGAAGCTGTCCAGTTTCCACATCTTCGTCATCGCGACTTTCGTCCATCCTTCCTCCTTGATCACCTGCTTAACTTCTTCACGCAGAGGATGGATGTACTGTGGCTCTGCCGCAAGATGAAATAGGGCATGAGTGAAACTCTGTTTTTCAAGCGCTATTAGTCCGGGTAAAATTAATGATGGTGGAAGAGATATAGCTTACGACTGCAGACGTATGTATAGCCATGAATTGTATGTGTAGCATCCTCATTACAAGATCCCGAATAGTTTGGCCATTTGGTGCTTCATCGATAAGCCATGAAATCATGTCGACCTTTGAGTTTGTTTGGTTAGCCTCGAATGTGTTATGCGGGGAGGAGTAACATCTCACCGGTTTCCCCGGCCAATCATCGCCATTTTCTGCGTACAGACGGAACCGCTCCTCGAAAACTGGTCGAAGGAGCTTCATGGCCTGACGAACAGTTCTAGCTGTCGGGCTGAGATACGCACCGACAATGCTAGAGTGTCGATCGGTCATTTACCTGTTATCTGAGCCTTACAACACCGAGACACTTACGGGCGCAAAAAAACAGGTGTATCCTGAACCTTGTATGCCGTTTCCATGATATCAATAGAGAAATTGATGCTTAGCTCCATAAATTCTGGATCTCGGCCTACACAGAGAAAACAAACTTTAGAATTGGTGAGTTGTGCGAGGCAAGTTGCGACTGACAAAGAGGAATGCCGACAAAAATTCTGTTGCTGGTTCTGCATACTATTTTTCTCATTAGATCCAAAGTAGGTAGAGGAACCCAATCTAAAATTTTCGGTATGTCATTTCCTGTAATCCGACTAGTAGCAGTATAATTATCGTACCACCACTGTTCGTAGGAACAAGGTCGTCGAAGGCACACTTGATCTCGTCACGGACGTCGTCGAACAGCACACCCAAAGAGCGAGTTAGCTGGTTACTGATGGCTGCGAAATGGTATGAATTTCTAAATGTGTCCTCTCCGAGTGACCAATGGAGTGTAAGGTCCTGGGAGAATGCGCCGCAGTTTAGCATGCAACGTACGTGAAAGAGTGGTCCATGCCATACCTCAATTACTGCCTCAGCAAAAGAAGCCTTATTATCCGGAGCCTTCCTAATCTCTTCGATAAGTTCACGTTTATTAATTATAACAGTGTACCGATCCATTTCGGGAATCTTGAATGTCCCGTTTCCGTACTGAATATTTGAGTTGAATGAGACTGGTTACATGTACATGCTATAGGAACAGACTTTCTCGTAGGCTCGCTTAAGGGTAAACTTGGCGTTTGCAATGAGATCATACATCATGAGATAAGACGAGATGATTCCAGAGGAGCCTTCGGGAGGTACGTCAACCTATGAATAAATCAGTTAGTAAGGCTCATCAGCGAGCACAGGACACTTACCTCATGCTTCCGGCTGTTGATAAGTCGAGAAAGTGATACGACTCCAATGCATAAGCCGACAATAAACAGGGAGTAGTATTGGACACGATCCTCGATGTTTGGAGGTTCTCGCAGTGAAATCATCTGCGTCAGCATGGGTTTCCAGGTGAGCACAAGGATTATAGTTTAGGAGATTGAAAGTAGCGGGGATGTGAGATGACAGTGAAGAAGAGGCAAGCATCCAAGAAGCTCCTTTATACGACAGTTCCTGTGAGAGAGGCAATCACGTTCATTGCTCCAATACCCGCACTTTCTGCGTGCCGAACAATATTGATCCGTGCACCCGTGTCTAAATACAACGAAAGAGACCCCGCTTTCCCAAGATACTAGGAAGATGATAGATAGCTTTACGGAAGGCAAGTGAGCTCCTGAGTCCTGACCAGAATGGACTAGCCTTTCCCCCTGGAAGAAGGCAAGCCTGGTTGATGGCCGATAGAATATGCGAGAAAGATACAAGTCAAGAAGGGCAAGTTATTCCAGCTGTATTATTAGATGAGCAACCAATGCCTAGTACTTGCTAGCGAACGGAGGAAGTGCAAAAAATAACAATGCATCACGTGATACGGGTTCTTTGCAATTTGCAAACATATTCGTAAACCTGTAAAACGTAAGGATGAAGGAATGCCAGGATGAAGGCCTCACGGAATAAGGGAAAACATACAAAGAGTTTGATTTTGTGCAATGGATTAGTTTGGTGGGAAATACAAATGGAGAAAGATTTATTTTTGAGCATTACAATTCCACGAATGGGCTTCGATCGTTGTCCGTAATCCAAAACATCGATAAGTATTTCCGATGAGCCGCCAAAGTAACTGCAGGCGTAATTTATACATGGGACCGCTTGCAAACCAAAAAATTCACGTATTGAAATTTCGCGAAAGAATACAATGCGCACTGAAGTATGAATGAATGCAGAACACGAAAGCATTTCAGTGATATTTACAGCGAAATTTCAACTTGGGAACCATACCATACCATCTCCAAACAGAAGCTCAGGACCGTTAATGAACCTTGGAACCGTTAGGGGTAGTGTACATAAACTCTGTATTTGCCCAGGTCAGCTGCTCTTCTAATATTTGATAAAGTCACCAACATTTGATAAATTCATCAAGGTATCACGATTCACTGGACTACTGGCACGTTTTTTCTACAATGTGTAGGCCATAAAGTGGAGATCCGATAACTGGAAGAATGTACTTAACTGCTATCCACAATAGAATTGAAGTGTATGTTTAGGTTGCACATGATTTATTACCATTTTATTGTCGCTTTAACACGTCGGAAATATGTAGACAATTCAGGTTCATACCTAATCCCTAATTTCCTTTTACTGTAAATCTTTCGCGATCTTTCGCACTCTTTTCGAAGCAAGTCTTTAACGTGTTGTGCTCCAAGATAATTTGACTACTCGCGTTCCTGATACATTGACCAGAACAACTACGAAAAAATGAGCAACTGCGATTTTTATTGTTTACAAAAAACATTCCCGTGATATATCAGGTCATTTAATGTGTAGCGATGAAAACAAACCCCAAATCTCCATGCGATCCACCACCGCGAATAACGGCAACCTTATGCCTCCGCTCGTTTCTTGAATAGCACTTTAGCCCCTGGATTTGGGCTCAATCGAGAACGATGGTACACGTTCTCCGGTCGCACTCCCTCCACCTCCGCTTTCACGTCATAATTCAAAATCAGATATGCCATCATCGCCTTAAGCTCGTTAACAGCGAAGAAGCGACCAGGACTACAATGCAACATCAGAAAAGCAGCACATGACAGCAGAGCATGATAAAAACAACGCACCAGGCGTGACGTCCGTGTCCAAATGCTAGATATTCTGGACTTGTATTGACCATTTGATGTTTCACGATCTCCGCGGGGCTCTGCTCGCGCAACTTCGAGAACCGGAATCCGTCGAACTTATCCGCATCTGGGTAGTGAGAATCGTCACAATGAATTCCTGCCGCATTCGTGGCGACGAATGAGCCTGCAGGCAAGAAGGTACCATCTGGTAATGTAAAATCTGACATTATCTTGCGATTCAAGGATACTTAAAAGCGGAGTTTCGGTATGGTACAGAGTGGCATACAGTCAAGGCGGACTCACGCAGGTTGATGCCATTTAGCCGTTGACTCTCTTTCATGAAGCTATCGAGTTTCCGCATCTTCGTCATTGCAACCTTTGACCATCCTTCCTCCTTGATCACCTGCTCAATCTCTTCCCGTAAAGGTCCAATATATTGCGGTTCCGCCGCGAGGTGAAATAAGGCGTGAGTAAAACTCTGGTATTTAAATGCGATCAGGCGGATGGGAAAGTCGTTACAAACTAAAAGATGGCGCCCACGTTTGATGATGTATTCATGGCGACAAAATTTATGTGTAGCAGCCTCAACGTAAGATCCCGGACGCTTCGCTTCTCGTTCTCTGGTGCTTCATCGATTAGCCATGAAATCATGTCGACCTTCATTTTGTCAGCATGACGTGCAACGCTTGCATATGTTACATCGCACCGGTTTCCCTGACCAATTATCGCCGTTTTCGTCGTACATACGAAACCGTTCCTCAAGTATAGGGCGAAGGAGCTTCATTGCCTGACGGACACTTCGAGCCGTTGGACTGAAATATGTAGCGACGATACTGTGTATTAACATCAACCATAAACCGTTTCATTGTGACTCTTAAGCGTCGAAACGCTTACGGGTGCAGAAGCGCAGGCATACTATATAACATGTACACCGTTTTCATGATATTAACGGTGAAATTGACGCTCAGCTCAGTATAATCTTGATCTCTGCCTATAAAATGTAACTAAAAGCATGAATTTCCACATGTATGTTGAATTGGGACTCACAAAGAGGGGTACCAACAAAAATCCTGTTGCTGGCTCTGCATACGATTTTTCTCACTGTATCCAGTGCAGGAACAGCGACCCAGCCTAATATGAACGCAATATTATCACTGTAACTCGAGTATCCATTATAGTTGCCATCATACCATCTTGTTTCATTGGAATCAGGTCATTAAATGCTTGCATAATTTCGTCGCGGACGTCGTCGAAGAGCAAACTCAAAGAGCGGGTCAACTGATTGCGGACAATTGCGACATGATATCTGTGTGTCGCGAGCTTCTCTCCAAATGTCCAACGAGTCTTAAAGTCCTATGGGAATCATCAGTTCATTAGACAGCGCTTGCGACAAAGAGGTCCATTTCCTACCTCAAATATCGCTTCATCGAACGAGGCCTTATCGTCTGGAGCCTTCCTAATCTCTTCGATATTATCACGATTGTTGGTAATAACCGTGTACCGATTCATTTCAGGGATCTTGAATGTTCCGTTTTCGTACTGAATGATGCACTGCGTGAGAAATAGGAGCATGCAGGTTTCGTAGATTCAGGACAGACCTTATCGTAAGATCTCCTGAGTATAGATTTGGCATTTGCGATAAAGTCATACACGTCGGCGTACGATGAGAGAACTCCGGAGGATCCTTCGAGAGGTACGTCAACCTATGCACAATGAATTAGTCAAACTCTCAAAGGGCCACAGGTAGCTTACTTCAAGCTTTCGATTCTTGAACTGTCTGAAAACGGTGATGATCGCAGTACACATCCCTATCATAAGGAGGGAATAGTATCGTGCAAGATCCTCAACTTTAGAGAGCCCCAATTCCAAATTCACTCGCGCCAGCATCGGCTTCCAGTCGGGAGAGAAGCTCATAGCTCAGGATCTTGTAGAATTTTGCTTGAGTATGAGAGATTCGAGCGAGAGTGAGGAAAATACAGCATTCGGAAAGCTCTGATTTATACGACAGAGTCCGTGAGAGAGCCCGCAGACTCCGTTACTTCGTCCTTCGTAGTCATTTCACTGTATAGGTTGTAGGTTATGCTTCCATGGTCGAATACACCGAACAGCCAATAGGATGCAGAAAAGACGGCGTTGTAAATAGTTCTTGACTCAAGAGCGTAAGCAGAATTTACATAAGTTGCAGTCTGAACTATCTATGTCTGGTCTTTTGAGTATAGTAGAGAGCTGCAGCAGACGCCGAGCACATGTGCCGAAAGAAAAGAAGCAAACCTTTCTAAATTCAAACTCGTTTGTCGGTCCGCCCTCACGTGATGATTTTCGGACGGCTTTCGAACGACTTATGAGATGATCCTATAATAATTTGAGTTGGGGCTTATGCCAAAGTATTCTTCGCGATGTATTTTCCTACATAACATTCGGAAGTGTCCAGTCAATTTAACATTTTTCTTCAACCCTAGTATCTTAAACTTATTCCCTACCGTCAAAAAGTCTACTGTCCAGAGCATGGTCTTTACTTACTAGTAATGAATTATGGTGTGCATGTGGTGTTTTGCAAGAATCGCCGTCGTTCATACACAGCTCCTTGAATTATTACCGATTAATGCCAGTAACTTAGCTGTTCTCATACCCACCTTTGTAGGTAACTTGATTTGACTTGCTCATCCTTGCCAGCAGCTGTCTTCAAAACGTCAAGACAACCCTAATTTTCTGCCTCATCTCATGTGATAACAGTGCATCAAGGTAGACCAGTCTCTTCCATGAAGGAAAATATATAGCAGAAGCAAGAATTACCTTAGAAACCATGTCTATGAGTGAGGTGAATTTATGGTGCTTCCAAGTAGGATGGGTCCAGACATCATAAGGTATAAGACAGCTTAATCCTTGTCTAGATGAGCTACTTCAATAGGCCATGATTCTTGGTTTAGAATATTCCGAGCTCAGTGCATGACAATGTTGCAATATTCATGAAAGTCGGGCATATTGTGAGACTTCCGATTATGTGTCTTCTCACTCTTCTGACAAAGAAGAGACCAAAACTGGTTGTATACGAGTTTCTGACATGCATATCATTTTTGCGAAGCATTCATGCGCTTGTACAAAAATTAATATATATTGACCAAATAGAACGCCGAATTCTTGACGTACTTCTAAATGGCAAACGATTACGACTTTACGCGTCCTTTCGTTTCTTCAACAGAACTTTGGCCTTTGGGTTTGGGCCCACTCGACTTCGATGATAGACGTTTTCTGGTCGAACTCCTTCCATCTCTGCTTTCACATCATAATTCAATATAAGATGCGCCATTATCGCCTTGAGCTCGTTCACTGCGAAGAAGCGGCCGGGGCTATGAAAAAGTGCATCGAATCAATGTGATGTAGATAAACGCGAGATATAACCGCACCAGGCATGATGTCCGAGACCGAATGCTAGATATTCCGGGTTCGTATTGACCATTTGGTGCTTTACGCCTTCTTCTGAGCTTTGCTCACGCAATTTCGCGAATCGGAATCCATCGAACTTGTCTGCACCTGGATAGTAAGATTCGTCTTGATGCGTCGCTATCAGATTTGCGGCAATGAATGTGCCCATAGGGAGGAAAGTTCCGTCCGACAAGGTGAAGTCTGACATTATCTTGCGATTCAAGGTTACTTAAAAATAGACCTTTGGTGAAATACATAATTGCGTATCGAGGCAAGACAAACTTACGCAAGTTGATGCCATTAAATCGCATGCTCTCTTTCATGAAACTGTCGAGTTTCCACATCTTCGTCATTGCAACCTTCGACCATCCCTCCTCCTTAATCACCTGCTCGATCTCGTCCCGTAACGGGTGAATATATTGCGGTTCGGCCGCAAGGTGGAACAGGGCATGAGTAAAACTCTAACATTCGAACGCGAGCAGATGAATGAGAAAGTCATTGCGATCTAAGAGATGGCACTCACGTTCGAGGTCGCATTCATAGCAACAAAGTTTAAGTGTAGTAACCTTACTGTGAGGTCCCGAATGCTTCGCTTCTCATTCTGTGGCGCTTCATCAATCAACCACGAGATCATGTCGACCTTCATGTACTCAGTCTCCCACACAATTCATTGAAAATGTTATGGCATACCGGTTTCCCTGACCAATCATCGCCATTCTCGTCATACATACGGAACCGCTCCTCAAGTACTGGGCGAAGGAGCTTCATAGCCCGCCGGACACTTCGGGCTGTCGGGCTGAAATATGCACCGACAACGCTGCAGAACAATGTGGTTCATAAATACGCCAATTATCACCTATCACACTGAATTACTCACGGGCGTAAAGGAACAGGCATATCCTGAATCATATATACCGTCTTCATGGTGTCAATAGCGAAATTGACACTCAGTTCAGCGAATTCGGGATCTCTGCCTTAAAAACGCAATAAAAAAATGAATATCCAACCTTGCATGATAAGCGAGACTTACAAAGAGGTACGCCAACAAAAATTCTGTTACTCGCTCTGCATACGATATGTCTCATCGTATCCAATGCCGGGATAGCAACCCAGTCTAAGAAAGTCGTTACATTATTCATTTAGGTTGTAACTCGAGCGTTAGTGCCCAAGAATCGTACCATTACTCTTGGGAATAAGATCATTGAAGGCTTGGATAATCTCATCGTAGACGTCGTCGAACAGCAAACCCAAAGATCGTGTCAGCTGATTGCGGACGATTGTGACATGATATCTATTCCTTGCGACTTTCAATCCGAATGTCCAACGGAACGCAAAGTCCTGTGGGAATGCGCAGCTGAGTATACCATATATTCACCAAAAAGATGTATGCCATACGTCAATTATCGCTTCAGCAAAAGATGCCTTGTTGTCTGGCGCCTTCCTAATCTCTTCGATAAGTTCACGTTTGTTGATTATAACGGTGTACCGATTCATTGCGGGAATCTTGAATGTCCCGTTTCCATACTGAATGGTGTACTGAATGAGATTTACACAGTTGAATATCGTGGTCTAGGGACAAACCTTCACATAAGCTCGCTTGAGCACAGACTTGGCATTTGCAATGAAGTCATATGCGTCGACGTACGATGAGACGACTCCGGAAGAGCCTTCGAGAGGGACTTTTACCTATGTAGAATCGATCAGTTTGACGCCTCAGTGTCGTACGGGAAACGTACTTCAAGCTTCCGCTTGTTGAAAAGTCTGGAAAGAGAAACGACTGCAATGCACATCCCTGCCATTAAAAGGTAATAGTACTGGGCACGGTCCTCGACTTTAGTAAGGCCCAACGCCGAATTCATTTTCACCAGCATCGGTTTCCAGTCAGAGAAGAAACTCATAGTCAAGGATGTGGTGTAGAATATTTCTCGAGATTGGGAGAGTTGAACAAGAAGCTGATAAACGGAAGGCCCCGCTTTATATGAGAGGACCCGCCGACTCCGAGGCTTCGTTCGACGAAGTCAATAACTGAGTACAGATCTTATTTTACACTGCCATATTCGAATTCAATGAGCAGAAACAGTTTTCCCGATAGATTCACAGGGCTTCACGAGACCAGACGTCGGAATTGAATCTATTTGCATTTTGCAGAGGAAGAGAAGTCGGTCCGACGGCTTGTCGGATTCAGACAGGCCATAGTGCAAAAGGTATACGACACAAGGGTGATAACGGCTTCTACGTAAGTTCCTGGTTAGGCACCTGATTCTTGGTCTTCATATGAGAGAAGCAGGGGAAGTATGAGGGATGCACCGCTGCAGGTCGAAACGTTTCGTACTGTCGTTTAGGGACCTGAATGGATTAGCAAATCCACACGGATCCACACCGTGGATAGTTTATTCCCACGGATACCGTACCACGGTAAACATTCCCACGGTAACCGTGGATTTTTGTGCATCCACGGCACTAATCAGCACTGCTCCGTTTGGCAGGCTGACAAAAGATATTTGCCTTTGTAGAGTAGCGTCAATCATTACAAGAGTCTCACCTGACTTGTTTTCATTTACATAATTTTGTATGTAATCAATTTCAACATACACCCGGAAAAAAAATAAAAAAATAACTCCAATTATATTTACATTTTCCCACCTGAATAATACTTATTGTTATTGATGTATAGTATATATTCTTATGAGTTACATGTGAAGTAAGTGTTAAAAAGCAAAGTAGGAATTGTTACAAAAAAAAAAGACAAGTACTAAGATACGCGTCTAATAAACTCGACAAGCTGTGTGACTCACGTGATGTAACCTTACCTTCCTAATGCAGCCTCCACAATGAGCACGAAACTCGTCCATCCAGAGACCCAAAACTCAAAAAGTAGCACCATCGATTTGTTGTATTAAGCCTTCTCTACAAGATGATGGAACAGAATTTCTTAAAAGTGAATATTGGCTGAGTTATTTTGCAAACTATGTTTTTTGCTCTAAATGCTGTAATTATACTTTTCCAGCAGTCTGGTAAATTTTTTAATTTTTTCCTTCAGATTTCGCCACCATTAGATAAGGCTATATGACAAATAATTGCTATATTTGTATATTACATAATAACATTTATAATATATAGTATTTGTCATAATGATCGGATGGTGTAATCAACTTGATAAAGCTACAAAATTATAGATACAGACTGTAATGGTCAAATATTTTATTGTTGTAATATTTAATTCTATCTGAAAATAGGCAAGATTCTCTTCTCTGTATTATATAGAATCATCTTTGGCTGAGGCAAAACTTCAAGTCGAAGTTACACTCTGAAATTTCGCCGTAAGGGTCCTTCCTAATTTGGTAAGCGTGGGTTGTGACCGTGACGTGACTAGCTTGTCGAGTTTATCAGACGCGTATCGACTCTTGACTTTTCGCATCCGGGCCCTGAATCCCACGGCCCAATTAGGGATGACCCTGACTAACCACTTATGTAATTCTAGTATACTGTGGCCCTTGTCATGAACAGAGTGAGAAGTTAGGAGGGGGGTTTGGGGGGGCTCTGCCACCCCAATTAGGTTTAGGATAAGTTTGGGCTGTTTGGCTTAGGTGTTAAGTTGGGTTTTAGTTAGGATTGGGGGAGGGGAATATTTATTTTCTTAGGAAAAGTACTTTATTTTGACTTAGTGAAATGTGAGAGGAACTACATGTGGCCAATTGGAGCTAACTAAAAATGGGCCGTGGGACTCAGGGCCCGGATGCGAAAAGTACGCGACTACGCGTATCTTAGCAGTGTGTTGCCAAGTATTTTTACAGTGTCGTGGTACAGTTGAAAACGTCTTATTGCATAACGTTGGGAGAGGGCTAAACCCAATGCATTATACAATTTATGCATTATAACAATACATTTTGGCTGAGGACCTGAGTTTTGGTCTGGCCAAAAGTCTATGCATTATGCCATTTATGCATTATGATGTGATGCAATAAGACATTTTCAACTGTACACCGTGGTTACCGTGGGAATTTTATCCACGGTAAAGCTGATCCACGGTGTGGATCACGGATAGCACGGATGGTAACCATTTCGGTCCCTACTGTCGTTGCCAATCCGCTTCACGTGACACGTGATGAGATTCAGGTTGTCTTATTAATATTATCTAACAACATTCATTACTTAATTCAATCAAATGATTCCACACAGAGTCCTCTCCACGGCCTCTTACTTACTAGCTTTGAATGATGGTATGTATGTGGTGCTCCACATACTCCTGATTTTCTGTGTCATCTCATGTAATAGTGTTGCAACAACTTTAAAGATACACCTCTAATTTCTTACAAAGGTAAAGAAAATGAAGCCCTCCAATTACAAATATAATAAGCCCAATCATCTTAGATATAGAACAACTTCGATTCCACCAGGTGAGCTGCTTCAATAAGCCTTGATTCTTGACTTGCATAAGGCTACCACAACATCATTTGTAACATCTCTACAGATTGCTGGTCTGCTATTCATTATGCCTTTCTGGTGGCAGGAGGTTACTCACTACTAGTGCAAACCAATGTTTACTATATTTCGAGAATGTTTACAGGACAATTTTGAGACTATGGCAGAATTCTGGGATATTCGACTATATACATACCGATTCTCTAACTGGAAAGAAACAATATGGTTAGCATGACTTCCCGAGAATTCTATCACTTGTCGAGAAGCATTTATTAACATGCACCAAGTTAATTTTATATACATTGGTCAAAATGGAACACTAATTTCTTGATGTATTCTCTGAATAACAGACGATGACGGCCTTATGCGTCCTTTCGTTTCTTGAGCAGAACTGTCGCCTTGGAATTCGGGCCCACTTGATTGCGGTGGTATTCGTTCTCCGGTCGCACTCCCTCTATCTCCGCTTTCACATCGTAATGCAAGATCAAATATGCCATCATGGCCTTGAGTTCGTTCACTGCAAAGAAGCGACCGGGGCTAAACAATGTACCTAGTAAGCATAGCACATACTCGGATCAGCACAGCGTATTAACGTACCATGCATGACGACCATGTCCGAATGCCAAGTATTCTGGACTCGTGTTTACCATTTGGTGCTTTACTCCCTCCTCGGAGCTTTGCTCGCGTAGCTTTGCGAAACGGAATCCGTCAAACTTGTCCGCATCCGGGTAGTGGGAGTCGTCACGATGCGCTCCTATCACATTTGCAGCGACGAATGTGCCGGCAGGTAGGAAGGTCCCGTCCGACAAGGTCATATCGGACATAATCTTGCGAGACAGGGAAGCTTAAAAGATGTTGTAGAAAGGGATCCACAAGCATAGGTATAGTCAATATGCGCTTACTCAGCTGGACACCATTGATCCGCTGACTCTCTTTCATGAAGCTGTCGAGTTTCCACATCTTCGTCATTGCAACCTTCGACCAACCTTCTTCCTTGATTACTTGCTCGATCTCTTTCCGTAAAGGGCCAATATATTGTGGCTCTGCCGCGAGGTGGAGCAGTGCGTGAGTGAAGCTCTGGTAATTTAACGCAGTGAGACGAAGTAGAAAGTTGCTATGAAATAAGAACTGTGACCCACATTCGAGGATGTGTGTATAGCAGTAAAATTCACGCTAAGCAGCCTTAACGTGAGTTCTCGAACACTTCTTTTCTCATTATTCGGCGCTTCATCAATCAGCCATGAAATCATGTCAACCTATATTTGGTGAGCCTCTCTTACTGTCCATGGAGTGAGTTGCACCTCACCGGTTTCCCTGGCCAATCATCGCCATTTTCGTCGTACATACGGAACCGCTCCTCGAGGATTGGGCGAAGGAGCTTCATTGCTTGTCGGACACTTCGAGCTGTCGGGTTGAATAATGCTGCAATTATGCTATAAATAGAATGAGGATCTATAATCAGCCTTCCTATATGGCTCTTTTGTGAAACACTCACGGGTGCAAAACAGCGGGCGTATCGTTCATCATGTATACCGTCTTCATAATGTCGACAGTGAAATTAGTACTCAGATCAGTATACACTGGGTCTCTGCCTACGAGTAGACAAATGTGTTTGGTTCGTTAATTGTGCAAAGCAAGCCAGGACTTACAAAGAGGGACGCCAACGAAGATCCTGTTGCTGGCTCTGCATACAAGGCTCCTTACTGTATCCAACGCAAGGATGGCGACCCAGTCTAAAACGAGCGCCATGTTATTTACTGCAGCTTGGGTATCGATAAGGACCGCTTTCATACCGTCATTCTTCGTCGGGATAAGGTCATTAAATGCATGCACAATCTCGTCCCGAATGTCGTCGAAAAGCACTCCCAAAGAACGGGTTAGCTGGTTACGGACGGTTGTGAGATGATATGGATTTCTCGTTAGTTTCAATCCGAATGTCCAACGCAATGCAAAGTCCTGTGGAAATGCACAACTCAGTATGCAACGCGTGCGACGAAAGGGGACGACACTATACCACAGCTACCGCCTCATCGAAAGAAGCCGTACTGTCTGGAGCCTTCCTGATCTCTTCGATAAGATCTCGTCTGTTGATTATAATGGTGTTCCGATTCATTTCGGGAATCTTGAATGTTCCGTGATCGTACTGGATGTTTTGTTAGTTAAATTGAGACCAGTTACATGTACAGATTTTAGGTTAAGAACATGCCTTCTCGTACGCCCGCTTGAGTATGGACTTGGTATTTGCGATGAAATCGTATGCGTCGACATACGATGAGAGAACTCCAGAGGATCCTTCGAGAGGTACGTTAACCTATGTGTATAGAACGCTTAGCTAGGCTTTAAGTAAGTGCAGGGACTTACTTCAGACTTCCCACTCTTGAAGAATCTGGACAGAGAGACGACCGCGATACACATCACTGCCATAAGGAGGGTATAGTACTGAACATGGTCCTCAACCTTAGCGAGTTTCAACGCTGAGTTCATTTGAACCAAGAGCGGTCTCACGTCGGGGGAGAAATTCATAGTTCCAGACTTCGTAGGAGTTTCTCAAGAGTCGCAGAGTCGAATGAAGAACCAGCATTTGGAAAGCCTTGTTTTATACAATACCTGTCGTGAGAGTTCCGCCCAGACTTCATTGTCACTTCAGTGCCTCGTTTTTCGCAATCGCTTACTGCTTACAAACTATGACTTTATACACCTATGGTCAGATGTCATGTTCGGGTCCCTTTGCATCCGATGAGCTCAGAGGGCTTTGCAAGAAGAGACATCGAACGATAGCCCGTTTATTCGAGAGAAGAGAAGTCTTCCTCACAACCAATGAAATATCAAAAGGGCAGCGATTCAAGGAGATCTCGCACGAAGGTATAAGCAGTATTACATAAGAACCGGAGTGCACAGCCGAATCCCGTCATTGTGCGAAAGAAGCAGGAAAGCGACAAGGCGCCGAGTTGAATGTTCAGAATGAGGAGAGAGACATATTTGATTATTTCGATCTTTGCACCGTTTTGTTGTCACGTGGAGCCGGCTTATGTTTCCGCGGTGGTGTCCGAGACGTCGATCACTTGCCGAGCGACCTTCGAGTCCCTTTTCTGCTCCGGACGCGACGCCTAGCTACTCGCTGAAGAAATGTTGCCTTCTCGTCTTTTCAAGTTCAAAAACATGGGAATCCCACCTCCTTTACGCAGTCTTTTGGTTATACATCCTTCCCTCTCATCCAGCATAGCCGTCCAATTACGATTTCGATTACAACTCGCCGCACGCCCTCTTTTGACATATGCACCCGCTTCAATTACTCGATCTACTTCACGATCACGACGTTTGCACTCTTCGGCGTATAATTCGTCTGAGTCAAGCTCGAGCCTTACTTCTCCATCTTCTGCTGAAGTGAATGCAGCTGACTCTCAAGAGCCTCGATTACAGTTAACTTTCACGTGTACTGTTACCGGGTGCACCGAGCGCTCAACGCATGGCTTTACAAAACGCGCATACGAGCGTGGAATCGTCATCGTAACCTGTCCAAAGTGCAAAAATAGGTACGTGATATGTCACGATGTACGCTTTTAAATAAGTCAGAGCCTTTACTTTGACTCTCTAGACATCTCATTGCGGATCATCTTGGCTGGTTCAAATCGACGGAAGGGACAGCGGACGGAAGCTTAAAAACAATCGAAGACATCATGCGCGCAAAGGGAGAGATAGTCTCGCGCGGTCGGATAGACGCTGGTGGTGTGGTTGAATATGTGGAATGACTCTTCACTGTCTTTTATCTATTCCCTCAATTTGGTAAGTAAACAATATTGGGACTGGCTCCAAGCAAGCAACTAAAACGCATCATTCACATATAGATCATCTTGATATATGTACAACATTGCATTCTGTACGCCCCACTCAGTCATCAGCATCTTTTTCTAATGCAAGCTTTCGTACCATACAATGATGCTACATTTATGGAAGTGGGTAGCAATCACACAAAACGCGTTATGGCTTCGTCGAAGAGAAATAATCCGTCAATTTTACTTTCTGTCCAGCATCCGTCGTTTTCTTCCTCACTGACTTGTTTTGGTTATTTGATGGGTCTGGCTTTACTCCGATTTCCATCGCCCGCACGAATTTCTCGAAGTCATTCTGCAGCAGAAGCTGATTATCATTATGCAAAACAGTGGACAGCAATAGAACGTACGGTCGGGATGATGCCACCAGTTGCTTCCTTGTGTCCTGTCGCAAAGTCACCGCCAACACGCGTGAGAAAGCCCTCATCCGGAACCTTTCTCGCATAATCCTTTAATACCTTGATCAAGTTTGGTCGCTCTGTCTCTGGCAGCTTCCTGAGTCCTGAGATGATACGGCACGAAAAGTTCGTATACGTTCCAGATGGATGGTACGCATCATTTGCAACCATGACAAGTTGAAGATCCCGAGCACGAAGGTATCCTGCCCAACGTGTGGCGATTACGGGATGTATTTGATATCCGCTGTGGATGCGCAGCAACGCCACGCACCCGTCTTTTGAAAACTGCGGTGCTACGTGTGTGCAACGTTCGACTTCTGCATTCACTCGAGCGCGGGCTGCGAGGAAGACTCGGTTCCGGGAAATATCTTCTAAGGACTTGGCTTTTAGGACAGCCTCCCATGCATCATGCACTGTGCAAGCTTTAGCTTCCGACTGTCGCTTGTCTAAAATATCACGCACCTTGATATTCTGTAGTTCGTCTCGGAGCGTTCATCATACTCACTGCATTTGACAGGGCCTTCTTTGTCACCTTCTTAACTACATCCCCGAGGTGAGATGGCCATGGTGGCTCATTCCACTTCACAACATTCGGACCTAAGTCTCCAAATACACCCAGCAGAGCGGGCACTGCACACTCGTCACGTATACTCGGGTGGAGAGGCAAACAGATGAGGTACGTGAGCAATGAGGAAGTGACGATCGGAGGAGAGTGACAAGCAGATACGACAAGTGAACCTTCGGGGAACTCATCGCTCTCGTGATGGTCAATTATGAGCGTGGACACATATTTACCATCCGGCGTGACTGGTGAAACAAGGGATGGTCCACCTCGCGAACCTTGATCCATGACAATGATTCTCGTAGCGCCATATCCCTCCATTTTCTCGCGTTCCGAGTCCTGGAAGACAGAAGCTGATTTTGCAAGCATGTGCACCCTGATGCAATCCTTGGGAAGACCTAGAGAGGTGAGCGTGTGATGCATGATTTTGCCTGATGAAAGCCCATCCGCTCCATTGAGACAAGCATTATTCTCGTCAATATCTAACTGTAGAGTTCACTAAACGCACATACCATCTTTGTCCGGAACAAGCAGTGTCAGGTGCTTCTCGGACACGCATACCTTGATAAATTCCCTTGCATGATCCATTTGCTCAAGAGGAGCTGGCCAATTAGGATACGCTTCTATTTCGGAAACTTCTGAAGCACTAGTACACCTGTGTTTCTTTCTCCGAATAAAATCATGTTTGTCTGCAGTGTTCTTGCGTTTTGCTGCCATAGTTGAGTGAGCTAGACGCAAACGCGAATAACTTCCTCGAAACAAATTCGGTCGTGCGTTGTGTACTAAAAAGAAACAAAGCATAAATATTAAAACAAGATGTTTCATTTCAATGAGCAATTGTATTCGGGGCTGAACTACTAGTATGACATCACTGATGCGATTTTCGAGACAAACGGCAGATCGGGGGTAAACGATCGATCGAAGTGCGAGTCAGTGCGGACCAGAAGAACTGAGCTCCGCCAACTCCGATTCTGCTAAGACGCGACTGCCTCACGTGCAACCACCCACCAATGCTTCTCACACTTTCTTTCCGAGTTTCTTTCTTTTTATCGGTCATCTTAGAGAGTGGCCATTTCTGAAGAACCATATTGCCCGGACAAGAATGGACCCGACACCATCCACCTCAAAGCGCGTGTTCCCGCCTCTTTACAAATCATCACAGGACAGTTGTGAGGACAGGCTTGTCTTTTTCCATTTATTAGAACGATTAAAGGTTTGTAGGTCCGGTCTAATCAAAATGAGAAACCACCAGTACTGAACGTTAGAATAACATTGCCACAGACTCAGAAAAGGACTGGTTGGGTAGACCATGGGGTAAGTCTCTGCTAAACAAGGTTCTCCAAGGCTGAGAACATTAAATACTGAGTCAACTATGTTTTAAAAGATTCCAGATGCAGAAAGGTTACTACGCCATACTATCATGTCGTACTTTCAGGAAATACTCAAAAGCTTATGCATAGTATCTCCGATCACATGTATCGAATGGCGATACTCGCTATGTGTTCTGGCGACACCACACTTGACAACACCAAGTAAGCTATATGCCCCTTATCAAAATGACTGCCAGCTCCATTAATGTCCAACCATCTACCTTTGATTAGATGTATTCTGATGTGTCTTGTGCACGACCTAGCAGAAGCACAAGGTCTTTGCTTACTTTGATCCTTGGCTTATAGGGCTATCTAAGTTTACCATCTCACGTTTTTGTCGTAGTTGGTGATATTGCTCCTCGAGAAGGTATCCCAAAGGAAGAGAAGAAAAGACTCGAAGATGTACTTGTTCTTAATTTCTATCGTTTGGGTATGTCATATTTTTGAAGTGACATACATACCATCAAATAGGAAGCGATGCACAACTTTGTGCATGTCATGTTACATTCAACTCCGGCCGCTCTACGCATTGAGGCTCTTTGGAAGGTCCGTCTGCTCCATTGCTTCCCATGATCCGAGCCTTCTTGCATTCCAATTACGTCATTTGCCCAACACTGCATTTACTTCCAGGAATACGAAGAGGGAGAGACGGCAGAAGCGAGATTTGTCAAAGGTACGATACAGAAATGTCTTGAATAAGTTTCATCGACTGACTCAAAACTATCCACAAGACCTGGATCGATTCGAGATGGCTTCCCAAGGTAAGAAATCCAACGATCCTTGGCAGTAACCGGGCACAAGTTAATCTTGCGATTAACTTTTAGCACTTGAATACGAGCGTCGACACGAAAGCCAGCAGCTCGATGTATTTTTCGAGAGCAGCATTCCAAAATTAAGACACTCAGAAGTTCAACAATGGGGTGCGGATCTCATGGCTGAACGGGCTAAGCTTCACGAGGAGCGTCCAAGGAGCAGTGGAAGTTCTAACCGTACGGGATAGAGCTCAATGTTTGCTCTGCACGACGAGACGCTTCCGTAGTCTAGAGGATCTCAAACAACAGTCAGTGGAGCTATGCGATATACTTAGATGCGAAATTCGAATAATATACAAGATTAGTATAAAATTCACTGATCCCGGAATAGTACAAGAAAGCGACATCAATAGCTAATCAACCTTCGTCCGGCTTATCTTGCTTGGCAGAAGAAGGAACCAGGGCGGAGGGAACAGGTGCAGAGGGAGTAGATGCAGGAGGTCCTCGATCGACCCATATTCGAATTGAAAGGTCGCTGTCAAACGATGCAGATGCAATCATATTCTGGGTGGGGTGTGTCTAGTTGATAGGAATTCAGCAAATGACGGAGATATACTTCAGCAAAATAAATGCGGCTGACTGCAACAGACACAACGACATCTACAATTCATTACCCTGTTAGCTCCCAATAAACAACCAGAGAACCAATCAAGCGTACCTTCATGTCCTTCCAACACCTGAACAATCTCTCGTGACTGCAGGTCCCAAAGATACACACGATGATCCTCACTGCCCGATACGATCCATTTACCTCCAGTAACACTAAAGCACGCACAAATAGAGTATAATCGGTTCGTATGCCCTTTGTACGTCTTGAGACAACGCGAGGTCTGGTAATCCCATAGTCGAATCGCACTGTCATGTGCCGTCGAGAGGATATATTTTGAATTGGGGGAAAATTGGACATGTTGGCTGGAATGGGACGATAAATGAGTCCAAGTCGTGATCACAAGGGGAAATGTATTCACCAAAGTGCTTCAGCACTTGCCTCCGTTAGTGTTTTGAGACATTGGCCTGTCGTGGTATTCCAAATTTTACTGCTTCTGATTAGCACTCGGATTACAAGATGCAGATGCGAGACGGACTCACATAAGGCCATCCAAAGAACATGAGACGATTAAGCTTGCATCGCGATTGAAGTGTACTGCGGTGACATAGTCTAAGTGCGCATTCAATGTTTTCATGCATTTCCCTAAGAAGTCTCTCAGTCGGTCGTGCACCTTCGCACGAAAAGCGGTGGATCAAACCATTAGCAGCCTTCCATAACTTGATGTCTCCATCTATGCAACCAGATACAATAAGGGTAGATGTATTATTATAGTTTACGCAGAATACGGAGTCACTGTGTCCTTTCAATATGCGTGTAGTGAGACCCTAAATAAAGATTAAAAGCGTATTTCATGCAGAGTTAACGTTCAACTGACGTACGGAATCTACATCCCAAATTCGAATTGTGCGGTCATCCGAAGCAGAGGCTAAATGCACACTATCCGAAGACCAGGAAATATCTGAGTTCCCTTTGGTATGTCCCACCAGATTGCGGATGAGTTCTCCAGTCGCGGGAGACCAAATTTTAATGAGCATATCATTTGCTACATTCAGGTCCAGAGTCTGATAGGCTTTGGGTGGGGAGGAATGGCGGACTCACAAGTTGAAGCAAGAAGAGTGCCGTCTGGACTGAACTTGACAGACGAAATAGAGTCTGTATGACCCCTCATGGTATGCTTAAGCTCATAGTGTGGACCGTTTCGGGTGCGAACGACAACTGGCTGTGAAGGTTGCGCAACAGCTGCTGGCGGAGGTCCTTGAGCCTTCTCCGGGATCTCCGGGTCCTCTTCAGTTGAGGAATCGTCAGACTCGCTGGACGTGTCCTCCATGAAATGCTTTTGTTCGACCGTTGTGTCCGCAGCCATGACCGGGTTGTAACAAGTCAGAAGTCTATGCGAGTACGAGTGGCAAAAGACACACGCTCGCCGCTCGGTACCGCAGCGTCGATCACTCAACTGTTCAAGGCAGAGGCAGCAATTCGTTTTTTTCGTTCTACTCGTCGTTTCTCTCTTTCTCATCATATGTCCGTTCAACAACTATCCCTAAAAGCGAAATTGTTCTTGAATGCATTCAACCACGCTAATGCTGCTACTTTCCTCGCAGCGGCACACACTCCAGAGTCCATTCCAAAGCTCCATGGCCTTCCAGAAGTTCGTGGCCTTTGCATAAATGGTCACCGCGATTGCTTTCTAGCTCACTCGTGCACTTCCTAGGTCATCGTAACTGGTTTGTCATCGCATGCTAGTATAATTGCTGCTGAGCTAAACCAAGTATTTTATGTCTGGAGGCAGAGCTAATGTCGGCAAGTCATCGTTCCTGAATGCTGTCATAGGTCGCACAAGTCTTGTTCATTCGAGCAAAGGCGCTGTATGGTCATTCATTTATGACTGAAATGGAGCGCCATTGAAACATGATGATGCAGGGTCGGACACGCTCTCTTAACTTCTTTCGCGTTGGACGTGAACCAGGAACTCTTGTCCTAGTTGACGCTCCAGGCTATGGGTCACGCGGTAAAGCGGAATGGGGTGCGTTATGGGAGCACTACATCGATACCAGAAAGCAGTGCGTCTCTTTATCCTTATTATCAGGACTTTTTGTCTTAACTTCTAATGCTTAGGCTTCGCGGGATTTTCTTATTGATTAATGCACCACACAGAATGACCGAGTTCGATCGTACAATGCTCAAGGATCTTAATGCACGACTATCGATCGGTTCAACCTCATCGTCTCATCCCGGGCCAAAACGTATTCCAGTCTTACAACCCGTATTCACCAAAATAGACCGCCTAGGAGGCCATGAAGTAGGACACAGACACAGGCGACTTTTAGAAGAAGTGAAAGAGATTGCTCCAATCGCAGCCCCTCCTATCTTATCGTCTGTGGTCTCAAATCTCGGAATGGACATCGGTGTATCTGCCGCGAGAATGGCAATTGCTAACGCTTGTGCTGGGAAATGACCAGCGTGGTCAATGTTATTTATGTCCATGTCTACCCGGAAGGGTTTTTTATGTTCGTGGTTGCCTTGTTGGTTTCTACCATTGTTGGTGGGCACGTTCTTCGATTTTCAAAAGGAGTGTGCTCAAGATCATTGTTGTTTTAGCATATCGTGCCTTCACTGTACTATACGCCATAAACTTCGGAACAAATAAAGTTTCCTAATTTCCTATAGTATCGACATTGTGACTCAACCACTTAAGCGAGCGTGAACAAATGACTCGACGACTAGCTGCTGACTCTCATGTCTGTAATCGACTTGTTCTCGCTCTCACTGTTCCCTGCTACGGAGGACCAGATTGTCGAAGGAAGAAAGCGCTGGCACAAGCAATGGTCGGCTCATTTGACTTTAGAAGAACACCTCAATCGATTTGCTCGCCTAGATATGGATGAACATTGTCGGGATGGCAAGCTTTCGACTTGGTAATATTCTGCATGTATCACCTGGTCTGCAACGATACTGAAATTGCTTAATACAGGGTGATTGCTCCGCGAGACGACCCAAGGACATTGACGTTCAAGTGTTGCTCCGAAGTGTGAGTGTTATAAAGGAATCGTAAACTCCGAAACAGCTTGGCTGACAGTTCATTTACTTCATTTTTAATTATCAAGATTCCGGCGAAAGGCCATTGTAAAGCGACCAGATACAGACATGACCGAGGAAGTCATTGCATATGCCGTTACAGCCGTCTACACACCGCCAGAGTATCGAGGGCGGGGGTACGCTCGTCATATGATGAGGCTCCTCCATTGGGTTCTCGCTCTGCGGGAATCCTTGCCACCATTCCCGTCCAACTGGGGTGATCCACCTCCAAAGGTTCCCGGATTCAATGATGCCCAGTTCTCTGTATTGTACAGTTACATTGGGCGACACTTCTATGCATCTGCGGGACCTGATGAGAACAGTGAGGGATGGCTTGTTTGCAACGCCTGTTGGACAACCTGGGATTTGGCTCATACTCTGACTGAAATCAGAAAAGAGGGTAGCTGTGAGCGAGGCTCAGAATGGCTTGATGAAGAAGGCTGCAACCGAGTTTGGCAGGAAGACGCTCAGCTCATGCAAACATTCCTGGACTTGCCTCCAGAATTTGCAACAAAACGGACAGTGTTTGCATTCCTTCCGACGGATGGTGTGGCATTGAGTCATCTCAGAAGAACTCCGTGCTTTGATGCTGGACAACCCTATCCAACTCCAACCAAGTGGGGTGTCGAGCTGCATTCAAATCCGGCCACCCTAAGCAGTCTGGTGTTCGCAACCTGGGAGCCCAAGTTTCGTCCTTCACCAACTACCCTAAACATCACCCGTCTTCGTGCAACAAAGGAGACCTTTCCAAAGCTGCTCCAGCTGATCTTTGTCGCTGCGCGTGAAATGGGAATGGAGCGCGTCAAGGTTTGGAACTTACCAAATGAATTCCGAGATGATGCCAGTGCGACGGGAGGAGTGACAGCAGAGAGAAATGATGGCCTGAGTTGTTTCAAATGGTATGGACCTGAGTCAAGGGAAGATCTTCACTGGGTATATAACGAAAAGTTTGTGTTCAAAATTCACGTCGAGAGAAGAATAGTTTGAGCTAACATAAGCTGCTTATTAGGTATTGCTGGACTTAGCAGCATCTGTTTAGTGAACTTCGTTCGTCATAATATAACACATGGAACCACAGGAGATGTCAATTTTCTGCTTATCAAACTGTGCTGAGGTTGTATACCGTTACGCCTTATGATAGATGGTCTCGAGTAGAAACCAAGAAGCTAGCATAAATGCGAACTTGTCTCAATCCGCTGATTCGCATATACTGTGGAACAACATGTGTAAGCGCTTGACTTGATGGATGCATTTGAGAAGGATATTGAATCAGAGTGAGCAGTACAATACTTCGTTCTAGAGTTTTGGTACTCTGATGAATAGACTTGCTGAAAATTCAATCAATGACCAGGAGAGATGCCATTAGCAATCTTACTAGTGATATAATGAGCCCAATTCACTAGATGGATGTACATTAGGATGTATTCGACTCGCTTTGTCAGTGCAACACTAGATGTGCGAATTTAGATTCAACAGTTGCAAATATTGAAATGTGTCGAATGACGCCTCCACAAATCGCGTGCACGTGATAATCACAGCTGCATGACCTCATTCGTGCGTCGTTGTCTTGTAGAGTAGATGTTGCTCATTATGATCCGAATCCTTGTTCCCTCTATTTCTGCCAACAACAAGTATGTCCTCTATCGTTGATGCTACCCGTGAACGTACTGTACATGTCGCTGAAGAGTCCAGACGAGCTTTCTATTCTCGCTCTTACCTCTACCCTCCGCTAGGGGTCCTCTATCTTGCCCGTCGTCCGACTTTATGGCCTCCTGTTCTCTCGCGACTTTTACCCTGCCTTGGACTCAGTGTCGCTGTTCTAGTACCCATGTTTATCTTCACTTATATACCGCAAGCTGCCGTCCTGTCGTTTACTGATGGACCGCTTGCTGGACCTATTAGTGCAGTTGTTCTCGTGCTGTCGGAGTCGTCTATAATCATCAACACGCTTGCAAGGGCCTTCCTACTCGAACAGGCACTGTACGATGTATTCGACGCAACGCTTGTATGTGAAGGTCAAGAAGCACTTGTTTCTCGGGGCAGAGAGGTGCGTCCTGGCAAGAAATCCGAGGGGGCAAAGAAGCTTGGGAAGATGCTCACGAAGCCGCTGCAAAAGTGAATAATCTTACTTTTCATGATGAAGTCGTGCTGACTCTCGGTTGAGATTCTCTCCCGCTGGAATTGCACAATATCTGTTTATGCTTCCGCTCAACCTGATCCCTGTTGTCGGAACGGCCGTCTTCTTGATCCTTCAAGGTCGAAAAATAGCCCCGAGCTACCATGCACGATATTATCAGCTCAAGGAATTCGATGACGCCCGCAGAGAGTACTTCATAAAGGAAAACAAAGGTGGTTATGTCGCGTCAGTGCTGCTTCGAATTACTCAGTGAAAAGCCGAGGGACAAAAGCTAAACTGTTTTACTTGTTTAGATTTGGTACGATGGCTATGATCATGAATCTCATTCCCGTCGCATCGATATTCTTCACTTTCACCTCGACCGTAGGTGCTGCGCTTTGGGCTTCTGAAATGGAAAAGAAAGCCAAATATCCGGGGCAGACGGTAGACATTACGGGAGAGGAAGCTGGAAATGCTCAAGGCAGGAAAGGAATTTAATCCTTCATCGCAATTTTCTGTCGTTCTAAAGAAACACCCGCATTTTTGGGTTCCGTAGAACTCTTTTCACTTCTTGACATGTTAGTCTATTTTGTACGACCTCGCCATCTATAGGGTATATAGCATATTTCCAATTGTACGTGAGAAAACGCGTCATTTAACATTTCAAACTCCGAAACGCGTCAGGGACGCATCTGACACGTGCAGCGCGTGTATGGAATCTCTATTGAAAAATTATCAGCACTAAAAGTGTCTCTAAATCATTCATCATGGCATCTCAGCCTCCGATCGGTGAGTTCACAGACAAATTTGAGAATAGAAATGAGTCTTAAATGAGATCTGCAAAGCTTTGTTGTCTGTGTATGATAAGACAGGTCTGCTCGAGTTAGCAGAAGGCCTTCAAAAAGCTGGAGTGCAGCTCCTTGGTTCTGGCGGGACAGCAAAGAAAATCAGAGATGCTGGCATTCCAATAAAGTACGTTCGCCTCTCCGTGGTAAATTTTCTTAGCTCAGATGAAGAGCAGGGATGTATCGGATATTACGAAGGCACCGGAGATGCTTGGTGGACGAGTGAAGACATTGCATCCTGCAGTTCACGGTGGTACGCATATACTCAACTCTTATAAGATGCTTCAGTGTCTGACAGACTGATATCCATCTAGGTATTCTTGCACGCTCCATCCCCTCTGACGAACAAGACCTCTCAGCACAGGGTATTGCACCCATCTCTATCGTCGTCTGCAACCTCTACCCCTTCGCTCAGACTATCGCCGCGCCAAACTGCACGCTCGCAGGCGCAGTAGAGGAAATTGATATCGGAGGTGTCACACTTCTTCGTGCAGCTGCCAAGAACCATTCACGTGTCGCAGTGCTTTCAGATCCGTCTGATTATGCGCCATTCCTTGATGCACTCACGGCTGGAACAGCACTCGCTGAGAAAGAGGGCCAGAAGCTAAGGAGTAAGCTTGCGTTGAAGGCATTTGAGATGACGGCTACGTATGACGATGCTATTTCGGGGTACTTCCGGGAGCAATACGCGAGTCCCGGAGAGGTTCTTGTAGGACCTGTGCAGCGTATTCCACTTCGGTATGGTGCGAATCCACACCAGGCTCCAGCTCAGGCGTATGTCAAGGAGGGCGAGCTTCCTTTCAAGGGTATGTTCTTGATTGCGTGAAGTATCGATGACGCATATAGTCTAACAGGTACTTAGCCCTTGTCGGTTCACTGGGGTACATAAATCTCCTCGATGCACTCAATTCCTATGCGCTTGTGTCAGAATTGCAGGAAGCCCTCGCTCTTCCCGCTGCCGCATCTTTCAAGCATGTCTCACCTGCAGGTGCAGCTGTAGGCATAGAACTGAACGACACGGAAAAACAAGTTTATGGCGTTGATGATTTGAAAGAGCCACTGACGCCTCTCGCGTGTGCTTATGCTCGCGCACGAGGTAATCACCCTTCACGATAATCTTAAAATAAGGAAAGGCTTATCTCATGAATCTGTAGGTGCAGACCGCATGTCCTCATTCGGCGACTTCATCGCCCTCTCCGCTCCTTGCGACCTCGCAACCGCGCGTATCATCTCACGCGAAGTCTCCGACGGTGTCATCGCACCGGGCTATGCTGGCGAGGCCCTCGAGGTCCTCGCAAAGAAGAAAGGCGGGAAATACTGCGTTTTGCAGATTAATCCAAATTACAAACCGGGAGAGATTGAAACACGTCAAGTGTATGGCGTTCATCTACAGCAGCGTCGGAACGATGCAAAGATCGATCCGGGGTTGTTTAAGAATATCGTTTCCAAGAACAAAGAGGTAAGTTTTTCATCCCGCAAATAATTACAAAGTTTTGTTGCTGTGAACTGATTATATGCGTACGTTTTTACTTTACTTAGCTCCCAGAATCAGCAAGCACAGACCTAATCGTCGCAACCCTCGCACTCAAGTACACACAATCCAACAGCGTTGCCTACGCCCTACGCGGCGCAATCATCGGTCTCGGCGCCGGCCAGCAATCCCGAATCCACTGTACTCGTCTCGCAGGGACGAAAGCTGACTTATGGTGGCTCCGTCACCATCCACGTATCCTCTCCCTCCCCTTCAAGCCCGGAGTCAAACGCGCCGAGAAAGCCAACGCGATCGACCTGTTCGTCGGTGGTGAAACACTCGAAGGCGGTGAACGCGCTCAGTGGGAAGGACTCTTTACGGAAGTGCCGAAAGAGCTGAGTAAAGAGGAGAGAGAGGAACATTTGAAGAAGATGGACGGTGTAGCGTGCTCGAGTGATGCGTTCTTCCCGTTCCCGGATAATGTGCATCGAGCAAGGAGGAGTGGAGTGAAGTACCTCGCTGCTCCCTCTGGCAGCGTGATGGATGAAGAATGTATCAAGGCAGCGGATGAGCATGGGATTGTATTTGCTCATACGAACCTTAGGCTGTTCCATCATTAGACAGTGGCGCGGTTCTCCGTAGTCTGGAAATAGTTTGAGGAACCAAAACGCATAAAATGTATCTTTAGGATTTCGTCTGGGCGGACGTGAATGATCAGAATATAAGATTAGATTCATTTATTCTTTTGTGCAATAACTGTCATGCAATTGTAGTCCTCGCTGATGCTGTGAGCTGTTTCATGTGTTGATTCAATGTATAATTTTTTTTTTTCAAGCTAGCGACTTACGCTCCCCTTACACCATTTATCGTGCAAAAAGGGTCCAGCAACAATTAATTGACAAACGTGCAATCTAATGATGTTACAAACGATACAAAGGTCTGGATTACTGCGATAATATCAAAGGTTTGGGGAAACCGTCCACTTCTTCTTATACTACTACTTCATAGGAGGGGCTTTAGCAAGATCTACAGGGAACAGATAAGATGGTCAGCGACGAACGAATAAGAAGAGGTCGTCATAAGTCACGAATAAATATCTATCTCACCTTTAGCAAGCTCTTGATCCGCTGCCGATAGCCCCGAATCATGCGCCTCGAGGAACGCATCAACTTCATCCATAACCTCATCATCATCCCCACCAATCCCAAAGTTCTCGTCCCCTTCCTCATCGTCGTCATCCTCATCCTTCGCATCGTCAATCGCGAAAGCCGGACGCTCCATCAGTGCTGCGTTCGCAGCCGTAATATGCGGTAATGGCGAAAGTAGTTCTGTCGATGTCGATGAAGACGGAGGAGGCGGAACTTCCTTGTTGATGTCGAGCGAAGAGGAGGAGGACGGTGCGAGTGTGGAGGTGGTGGCGGTTTCGGTTGTTGTGAGACTTGAGCGGGACGTTGAGCGACGCACGGATGGGGTGAGCAGGGATTCGCGTGCTTTTGGTTCTTGTAATTGCTGCTGTCGACCAATCGATGGCTTGTGAATAACCTATTTACCAAACGAAGAATGCCAGTTAACGACCAATACACGATCGACGGACTTCGAGGAGGTATTCTTACCTGGTGCCTTCCAATGGTCTTCCCAATTTCATCCGTGAACCGGTTAAAGATTTTCTTGTTGTCGTCCGTGACGATGCTCGAGATAAGACCACCAAGGAAGCCACTGTTCGACTGTGGAAGAGGTACTTCGACTGAGAGGTTCTCAAGTTGGAATGATGCAGATAGGTCAGTTTGGAAGAAAGATTCGAGAATCTCGTCAGCGAGAACAACCATCCGGAACCTTTGATTTCGTACGAATTAGTTTGCCATGTTAATTAGTCGTATAGGAAAAATGTATGATACTCACGTAGCAAGGTTCAAATAAGGCTGGTTGTTCGCAATGGGCGGAGTCTTTGTTTCATCTTCGCCCTCGACCCTTGGTAACAACGCGTCGCCATACTCAAATGCATTCGTCATGAACCGGCTCACAGCTCCCAAATAAGCATCGCCAACTTCAAATCGGAAGATGAACTGAAGTTAACACATTAATGTCAGTTTTGTTGTTAGAATAGATATATATGCAAGAGAACTGACCAGCAGTGATTCGGATAAATTTAGCAATTCGTCTTTCGTCAAAGAGCCGTCCTTGTCCTTGTCATGCAGATTGAAGAACCATTCGATGTTCTCCATGAGGTCGTTGAACATGACGCCATCCAGACCATCTACAATATCCTAGTAATTGTAGAGTAAATATCAAACCACCATTCGTTACAAAATTCTCACCTGTAGCGACAGCGTACCACGACATGAACTATCCCAGAAGAAAAAGAGACGATCAATGAGCTCGTGATCCGCAATTTCTCGATCAATGCGTTCCTTTCACCGATGTCAGTCATGAAAGGAAAGTAAATTAAATAATCTGGATCCTTACCTGGAACCCATTCAAAATAATCTTATCATCCCTCGCCCAAGTACATATCTCACTCAAGAACAACTTAAACGTCTTCAACCCAATCCTCGTCTCCTGCTTCTGCTGTTCCTCGCTCAACTCCGTATTCAAAAGCATAGTCGGAATCTTCTCATTAACAACAGCAGGCTCAATGCAAATCGCCTTGAACAGCGCATCATAGATCAATCCTAATTGTTCCTTGTTGAAACGTCCTGTTCGTCTAAGACTGCGAAGCGCCGAGCGCTTTGCAAAGGATTCGATGCTTCGGATAATCTCGCCGCGGAATTTTCGTCGTTCGGATTGGATGGTCTCGTCGGTGATGACGGAGAACTCGCGGAAAGCGACGAGTAAGAGCTCTTGGAAGCGTGTGATAGCCCGCATACGTGGGTCGGATGACTCTGGATGAGCAGAGTCGCCGAGTGAAGCGAAGTAGTCGCGCATCAAGCTATACTCTATTAAGTTTCCTGTACTTTATCTGTGAAGAGTTGTCGTACCTAATGAATTGACCATCATCTTGTATCTCAAGCAAGGCCTCTCCGTTGATTTTCAGTATAGCTATGCCAAATCAGCTAAAATATTAAAAACAAATTCACCAATCATTCTTACCAAGCCTATTTAAAAATGAGTCAGACAACACAGACTTCTTTGAAAATTGAATCGACATACCCGATCTGGAACAATACTTTCGGACCCATACAGAAGAAGCAGTCCACAATCCGGAATGCGAAGATCATAGGCATGCTATTGATGTATCTATAGGCAGGAATTCATTAGCGATTAAGTTTCAAACTTCTCCCAAACGGAATAACATACAAACTCAAAAACCAAGGCAAAGACGCGACAGACAATTGAACGTCGACTGCATGGAAATGATCATGGATCATGGGCAGGCATCTCTGCACCAGCGACTCGAATACACGTTGGTCTAGAAGAGTCCCGTGCATTGATGGGCTGTAGTATCCGGGAAGAAGCCTTACGCAGAGGACTTCGAGTAACCAGAATGCTTGCTCCTCGGACATGTATCTTTGAAGGCATTTGGTTAAGCGTGAATTCTCAATCAGAGTGGCTAAAAGATGTGCGTACATTAAAATCGCAGCTGCGAGAATATTCATAGCCTAACGAGATACAGATCATTGTCAGCCATAGGTAAAGTCGAGACACACAAAAGTGTACGTACCTGACAATATCCAAGCTCCGGATTTCTGAAGCTATATGCAGTTAACACGCGTCGTAAAGTCGATATACCAACCTATGTCAATTCCATTAGAGCCTTTCATAACAGTCTCATTAACGGTTGGAAAACACACCTCGCTCTGATACGCCGAATACTCTGGCAAGCTCCTATGCAAATCCTTCTCAATATCATCCATACTCGCCGTGGTCCTATCCTTGTTGTCATCAAGAATCTTCTGGTACAGTCCTGGATTAGCGAAACGGAGGTATAGAGATCCGGAAAGTGTTTCCCATATTTCGCCCCGAAGGCGATTTGGCAGGCCGACTTGGACTAGACGCGTGAATTGAGGGTATCGAAGGAGTGAGAGGCTCCTCCCGTGGGCTACAAGATGGTATAGGTAATTGTAGACAGATGTTATTGAATTTCTAGCTCACATCGGAGGTACTGTGTCCAGAGTTTAATCTTCGAAGCCTCCCGGAGCCTGGTAGACAAAAATACGTAAGTTGAGGTTCTTTTCTTTTTACAAGGCAGGAGCGCACGCACTTCTTAGGATCACCAGGGAACTTAAACTTTAACCCAAGCCCTCCATGGAACTTTGGTTCTCCATCCTGAACTTTAACATCTCCAGCACCACCAGTATCGCTCTGCGGAGACTGACTCGCATCCGCAGCGGCTTTCTCCTGATCGACATCAGGCGCACCACCAGCAGACAATAACTCCTCCGAATAACACGTCTTGACGAAGGCTTTCATCGCTTTCATCTGGCCGCGCTCGAGTTGTTTCTTTAGTGCGTCGCGGAGTAGGGCGCAGAAGAGGTCTGCGGTTGGACGGAGAGCCGTCAATTGTATGACCTGGTTGAATTACACAACATACAAGTTAATACGTATTACCCTGTCAAAAGCTTGAAAGGATACATGTAGTTAATGAAGAACATACGATTTTCATCCCGTGCCATACCAGCAGACTGAGTGCAAAGACACCCGTGCGCGTATTAAGCCGCTCAACACGACGTACGATACACAACGGGAGCGTAAAGCGTACGCTCTTCCGATCAAGCGACGCGAACGTTAAGAATGGTGGAAGTAGGTACAACTTCCCAGCCTATCGTAACAAATATTTAGCTTGAAACTCGATACACCCCATCGAAGCATCAAAAGGCAAAGAATGACACGCACATATGAATCCTCCACACCCTCCTCCCCAAGACTCAACACGGCATTGATCTCCATCTCTCCGCGTTCTTCCGGTGTCGTCGCGGGCACCCCTCCCAAATTCAATTTCTCCCCAGCCTTCCCATTCGTACCATTCTTCGAGGACGAACCATTCGATACTGATTCAACGTCATCAGGTGGAAGAGAGAAGAAGATACGCGTGAGCTCCTCGCGTGTTGGCTCTCGGAAGTTACGCAGGACTGTTGAGATGGTGGCCATTGCGCGTCAACTACAAGCCTTAGACAGACAGGTCTGGTGTAGAGGGGTAAACTTAGCTACCCTGTGTAGTAGTGATGAGGCGAGGTGTCAATTGCAGTACCGTTGGGCGCGTGCTAGACAACGCAGAGTACAGCAATGTACGTACGAAGCCTTCAAGCCAAGTTACGTGAACGACTTCGACGGCAGTGCTCAAGACACAAAACGGTAGTCTCAACTGAACTGGGCCCCTACTGTCTCGCAGTAGGTCTCAGGTCGTTGTCAAAGAACCAAGCGCGCCAAGTGTCTCTACGTACAGAGTCAGCGCTGGACAACAGAGCTGTGCTCAGGCAAACAGCTGATCGCCGGAATCAACGAAATCCACTCCGCCTATGCACTACTAGTACTCCGCTTATTTCAGACATCACAAATACCAACTCACTAATACATTATTTATTACTCGTACCCAAATGCGAAATCGTCTACACCAGTATAAAGACAAACAACGAAAAATAATACAGACCGTGGAAGAAAGAAAAGCTACACTACATAATAAATTAAACAGCGTCGACTCCGTAGTCCCGAACATCAAGAATGAAGAAAGGGCATGACGGTCATAGCGGGCATAGCGGATATAGCAACAATACCATAGGATTGCGGATTTTAGAAAGTAACCGAAAATAAAAGTCTACCTGTGGGTCATAGCAATGCGATGCGTATTAATAAAATAAAGCTTGCAGAACGACGAAAAATAAAATAGCCAAAAAGTCGGGATTGAGAGAATCTAGGAAAGGAAGAATCGTCTCATTGCTTGTCGAGCGCCAGACCGCGTTTTTGGAGGTATGCGGCACGAGCACGTTCCATCGAGTCGCGGATTGACGGGCTTTCAGCTTCGTATGTCCTAGAGAGAAAGGAAGTCGAACCAGCACTGGATTCAAACGCGGAGTCTGTCGATTGATTGGGTATTGACATGGGACTCGCGGTCAAGTCATCGGAATGAAAGCGAGAATGTGAGAGAGCGGTACGGCGAGGAGTCGATGATGCAGGGACACTATATGCGCAAGAGCGTTTAGGATGACTCATTGGGATTTCCCGCCGGGAGGAAGAAGTAAAGGACGAAAGCTCTTCCGAATCTTCCTCCACCCAATTTCCGCTGCCATCGTCAATTTCATCCTCGGGTGCCTCGCTTTCAACGACTATTTCCGTTCCGAGCGCACGCTTCCCTTCCTCAATAAGCTGAGCAAGTCTATCGCCTATCCAGTCCATCTGTCGCTTTGTTAGTGACAACTCCTCGGAATTTTAGCTGATGCACATACCTCGTCTAACTCGTCCACTTTTGCGCTGGAGTTACGTACGGAGGAAAAACCGTCTTGCTGAGCATAGGGATAGACTCTCGGGGAAACCTCCCTGTCTTTCCTAGCAGAGTTCGCCTTTCTGGTAACCTTTTGTCGATGACGAACGGAGCCTGTATGCCGTTTATGTGAAGGGGTACCATGCGCCTTGTTTGCGCGAGAAACGGTCGATCGAGTCGTCTCTGACCCCGATTCCGATATACCGCGCTGACAATCGCGTTAGCCAAATTGTTAATAACCAGAAATAAGTCGACTCACTCGGGTAGGCGCCCATTCTTCTTCGTATGGAGGAGGCGGTGATTGCACTTGCTCAGTCTCCTTCCCTCTGTCCTTCCACCTAGATCGATAATTAGTAATTGGGTAGACAAATAGTTTGAGTAGAAGCTCACATTCTAAACACTGTGAGACCAACGGCCGCGCCAACTAGGGCAGTATTGAAGGCGGCGGAAATGACTGTCTCGGTAAGACCCTTGCGCCTCTTCGAAGGCGGGAGTTCTGGTAAAACAAGGACTATGAACACCAGGATACATATGGACAATAGCGATAAAGGAAAGTTGGAAACGATGATAACGAAAAGAGCGTAGTTGAGTAGCATGGTAGTAGGCCAAAGGAATGTGGATAAAGGGTATGTGTACGCAGCATTCATACAAAGCAAATAGACGTGCGGCATGGTGTACAAACACCGTCGACAATTGGATGATGTCAACCGAGATATGAAAGTTATCTAAGCGAGAACAACGTGGACGTAGAACACTCACCAACTTCAACGTCGTCGCCTTTGATCTGTGCGTTCGCCATGTCTGGACGCTTTGGCACAATGTCGAATATGCCAGTGGTGGAGGGAGCGATGATGGTGGCTTGGGAAGGTTCAGGAGAAGAAGGCTGCCATCCCCTCTTGCGAACTAGCCGGGCAGGAGGCGGGCCAGACGGTGGACGATGTCTCCGATAAGCAGGGGCAGGGCCCGAGCTAGTCTGAGCACTACTCTCATCATAATTCCGTTTCAGGCGTTTAGTGTCGGTCTGAGCCTGGCTGCATTGCTCGTGACTGCCAATCTCGGCCTCGGAGGAGGCTGGTGCCGACGAAGCAAACGGGTTAGATAAGCCGGGGACGTTGAAGAGGAAAGTGAATGGAAAATAGGTCATTTCTGGCTCATGGAAGGTCGTTGATCACTTGGAAGCGAGCTTAAGTTTCACTGAACGACTGTAATGGACATCGAGCAGGAAGAGTGTCGGGCCGAAACGCGTTTATTGAACCGTCACGTGCTTCTGACGCGGTCTCGTGTCCACCTCCCGTGCCTGAGACTCACTCTCAATACTACAGCTCACGGCTTTAAAAGCGTTGCTATTCATAATTTCTCTAAACTATTTCATGCATAACAAGGCAGAAACTGAGTAGCTCCTTAAGGGTCTCAACTGTCTCCTGACTCCTGAGTACCGCCCAAGTGTGGCTGAAACAAGGTGTCCATCGGCATCTCAAAGACTCAATTCTCATTGTCAAATCAGCCGGGATTACAGTTCTCTTAAATCATATCTGCGTTACTATACTTCGCCCCCTCGTCACCTTTCGTAATATCTCGAGTATCAACCATTGATTATATCCGCAAAGAACTTAATCGTCATCTCTGGATCGTCCCAATGTGGCTGAATAGAAACCCGTAAATGCACCGGCCCACGGAGAATTGCAAATGTACTCACGAAATGGTTCACTCCAGGCATCATGAAGAACCTCAAAGGCCTTCCAACAATTCCCTGGTCATCCGCCTTCTCCCGCGCCGCTTGCAGACCCCACATGCAATCAATACAAGCCCATATCGAATTCTCACACCAAACAACATCAACCCCGCACCGCGGCAAATACTTAGCGAGCTCATCATTGAATAGTGCCCGTCTGATCCGTTCAGCGTAGATAGCAGGACTTCCTGTGCGGGCGCCAATTTCACTGCGTGCAACAGCCTCGTAACACGTCGTTTCACGTAGCTCTTCAGGTGACATGCGTGAAGTTGTACTCCTCTTAGAGCCAGGCCCTTCGACTGGATAGACTTGTAGATCCTCAAATTTGCGCGAAGTGAGACTCTTGTGGGTATAGTATGAGGAGACCCATTCGCTGAAGCTGTTCGCACGTTCTTCAAGTGATAGAGTTTTGTCTGTGAGAACTCCAAAGCCCGCGGTGTTGGATGGAAGACCAAGTATCCAGCGTGGGGCGTCTTGGAGAAAGTAAAATCATGAGGTCAGTTTAAACGCCCGTTCACTGCTGGTAATTATTACTTACCAAACATTACATGGGATCTTAGATATTGCGAAATGATCTCCCTCGTATCTATCGGGATGGCGTCAATGTAGGACAACAGCGGCAGAGTGTAGCTGTTTCCAGAAGACCATGCCAAAAGGACAACTCCACCGCGTTTCCAATCAGACGATGCCTTGGGAACATCCTCATTCTCCACAAATGTCTTGATAAACTGCGCGAACTCCACGGCCCTTGCTTTCGCAAATTGATCATGCGTTTCAGCATTGTCGACCCTAATCTTCTCGAGGTCTTCTTCTGTATAGGGCGTTGATCCAGGATAATCGCGCCTATTTACCAGAACAAGACGGATTTGGTGTTGAGGGGCAAGTGGGAGGAGACGTCTAAAGCACTCTGAGTGTATATTTGTAAGCACAACTATTAAAAAAATGTATTGATAGGGACACTTACCTCCATGAAAAGCAGTCCCATGAACAATAATCAAAGTCGTGTACAGATCTCCTGTTTTAGCTGGGGGACCCGATTCCTCATAGAAGAGACTATCTCCCTGGTCGTTGACAGCGATGAGCGGCATGTTGAAAGTGCCACTCTACCCATGGGAAGTCCAAGAAGTTCAAATGCACTGTGCCATTCACTAACGAGGCATCCAGCTCATTAGTATTCGAGTGTGAGAGATGGTGAACCATTTGTGGATGTGTACACATCCCCAGACAGAGAATATTACTCTCAAGCGTGATCTAATAGGAGACGATAAGTACAAGACAGAGTACCCGTAGTTCGTGACAACAATGAGCGGATGTAAACAGCCAGAAGCAGCATTGCAAGTTCCGCGCCGTCGATCACTTCGAAATGTCAGCGAGGGCATCTGTTTCGCATAAGCTTGTGCAATGTGCTTTGGAGATTCTAAACTTTGCTGCCAAACTCTGTCCGATGTTTACCGGGAAAGCTGCTACCCAATTACATATCTCAAAGGGCAAATCTTATCGGCCAAGATCACGGACAGGTCGGTTTAAATAATGATTATTAGAAAAGGACCGGAAAACACGCCTTTTGTCAAGTGCGTCCCCATGATGCCATGCTGTGAGTTCATCTTCTTTTACATGATTTGAATTGCGAATTCAAGGAAGGCCTATGACGACTCAGAACGGCTTCCGGGATACGGGGAGTAAACCTTAGGAATTTGCCATGAGCGCCTAATCATTGCTCGGAACATGGTTAACGCTATTATATCGATATTAACTGGTTCCAACATTTTATATGACTCAATTCTTTGTCCAATTGATCTCCTGGAAAAAAGTATTACTAAACTATATAATCTCAGCAATTCGCTATGCATATCTACTGTAGTAAGTACTATCCAATCCGAACACTTCTTCCCTTCCCCCCTGTCATGACTGATATTCCAGGTAGTGTAGTGAGTTGAAAGCTTGCAGACAAGCATGAGACATCTTTCGAGTACCTTGCTATCCGAAGTGTTGATCCTTTGAATCATTTACTTTACCGAACTTACCCCCTCATCACCTTTCCTAGTACAGTATTTCGTATATCAATCATTTATAGTATCTGCAAAGAACTTAATTGTCATCTCCGGTTCGTCCTAATGTGGCTACATAGGAATCCATAAATTCACAAACTCTCGACAGGGAATTCGCGAATATACTCACGAAATGGTTCACTCCAGGCATCATGAAGAACCTCAAAGGCCTTCCAACAATGCCCTGCTTATCTGCCTTCTCCCGAGCCGCTTGAAGTCCCCACGTGTTATCAATACAAGGCCATGCCGAATACTCGCACCAAACGACATTAACACTGCACCGCGGCAAATACTTAGCAAGCTCGTCATCAAATAGAGCCCGTCTGATCCGTTCAGCGTAGATAGCTGGATTTCCTGTACGGGCGCCGATTTCACTGCGTGCAACAGCCTCATAGCATGTCGTCTCGCGTAGCTCTTCAGGTGACATGCGTGAAGTTGTACTCTTCTTAGAGCGAGGTCCTTCAACCGGATAGACCTGTAGATCCTCAAATTTACGCGAAGTGAGACTCTTGTGGGTATAGTACGAAGATACAAATTCGCTGAAGCTGTTCGCTCGTCCTTCTAAAGATACGGATTTGTTGGTGAGAACTCCGAAACCGGCGGTGTTGGGTGTAAGGCCGAGGATCCAACTTGGGGCGTCTTAGTGAAATAGAATTATGACAATTATGACAATACTTTTAATGCTGTTGACACAAAACAACTTACCAAAAATCACATGGGATCTTAGGTATTGCGAGAGTATCTCCCTCGTATCTCCCGGGACGGAGTCAATGTAAGATAGCAGCGGAAGAGTATAACTGTTTCCAGAAGACCAGGCCAAAAGGACAACTCCACCACGTTTCCAATCGGCCGATGCCTTGGGAACGTTCTCCTTCTCTACGAAAGTCCTGATGAACCGTGCAAACTCCGCAGCTCTAGCTTTCGCAAATTCGGCATGTGTTTCGGCGCTGTCGACCCTGATCTTATCAATGTCTTCTTCTGTATAGGGTGTTGACCCAGGATAATCGCGCCTATTTACCAGTACAAGTCGGATTTGGTGATGAGGAGCAAGTGGGAGGAGGCGCTTGAAGCATTCTAAGGGTTTATTCGTAAGCACTAATATGAGTGGAACCGTGTATAGTAGCACTCACGTCCATGAAAAGCAGTCCCGTGAACGATAATCAAAGTCGTGTAAAGATCATCTGAATTAGCTGGAGTGCCTGATTCTTCATAGGAGAGACTATCTCCCTGTTCATTAACTGCGATGAGTGGCATGTTGAGAGTGCAACACTACCCATGGGAGGTCGAAGCATTTCAAATGCATTGTGTTACGCACTAACGGGGCAGTCGGCTCATTAGTATTTGAGTGTGAGAGAAAGTGACCTAATTGTGCGTGAATACACGTCGTCTGGCAGAGAGTGTTACTCCAGAAGGTAGCCTATGGGAGATAAGAAGCATATGAGCAGAGAAGTTGTGAATCATGGCCACTGTAAGTAGATATGTGTACAGTGTACACTGTGAACGCACAAATGCAGGAGCAGCCCTTCGCGGCGTCGATCACATCCAAATAGAGTAAATTGGCAATGGGCATTCCTGGCCAGAATCTGGCCCATCTGATAAAATAATAATGCTGTGCTACTAATCGCATAATATTAGCAGCCTGCTGATAAGCAGACCACTTTACATAAGTTGGTACTGTTCACTCGAAACCGTAGGGATCTATTCTCTTGACTAAATTCTTGGCTTTAGGCATCAAGAAGGGGATTGGATGTAAGATGAAACGCGTAAGGTATACCGTATATATATCATGTAAAAAAGAATGTTACATGCGCCAGTAATTGTGCAAATTAACATTATTGAATGTCCTCAGCAAGCGCCTTGAAATTTAATCCATACGATAAAGTTTTGCATAGCCATCCATCAATTATATAAACTGGCTACATGTGAGATCGGTCAAGACTTATTAAAGTTTGGGCGGGACTTGATTGACGTTGACGTTTGAGCGTCAAAAACGCCGCTGCCAGTTTACTCTAATGCCGAGTACGGAAGTGCAAAATCTGTTCCACTTAAGGTCTGGTCGAGGGTCCAAGATCTCGACCTCTGTTGCTAAGCTCTGTCCGATATTTCCGATTCTGTCAAATGTTTAACGGAGAAAAACTACTACCCAGTTGCATGTTTCACAGGGCTAATTTTATCAGCCGAGATCACGGACAAATCGGGACACATAACAGTCATTAGGAAAGCACTCAAAGCCATGCGTTTCACCCCGTGAATTCCCATGATGCCCATTTTGTGGATTCTTCATCTTCCTTTCGTGTGGACTGAATTACGGATTCAGAGAAGGCCAATGGCGATCCGGGATGGCTTGCAGAACACGAGGACTACACCATTGGAACGTGTTATGAGTGGCTAACTACTTTCTTGGAAAGTAGTTAATGCTATTACGATGATAAAAATTTGTGCCAACGTTTTACGTGACTCAGATCTTTGACTTCGCCTCTATTGATCTCCGGAAAATGAATTTCTAAAACCACGGAATTCCGGTAATTTGCTATGCTTATATATATAGTTGTGATCGCTAACTAGCTCAAACATTTTTCTCCCCCCCCTCTCCCTTATCATGGCTGATACTCCAGGCAGTGCTGCGAGTCGAACGCTCGCGGGCGAGCACGAGCATGAGACACCCTACGAGCATGAAACACCTTTCGAGCACCTTGCAATCCAACGTGTTAATTCTGTCCATGAAATTGTTGATGCGCGACTGAGCTTGGATTCGCGACCGTCTCCTCGAGAACTTGAGGAAAGCTTTTCACAGATCGTAGTCAGAGCCTTGTCTATAGAGCTTGAGCGTTCCCACGACCAGCACAGGAAGCAGTCAAAGGAGCAGCAATCAAAGGAGCCCCAATCAAAGGAGCCCCAAGGAGATGACAACCTCAAGAAAGAGAAAGATGCTAGTGCCGCTATAAACACCCGTTCCACTGAATCGGAGGAAATACTATATGTAGGTATCTTTGAACCTTGGGGAATAGTACATCCTTGACAGCAGCACAGGTTGATTGGGAGGAAAGGGATCCTCGCAACCCGGAGAATTACTCACGGGCACGAAAATGGGCCATCACCATCGTTGCTTCTGGCTTAACGGGACTTGTTGGTAGGCGCGCCATCAAACTGCTTCTTTTGATATATATGCCCTAATCTTCCCCATTACTTAGCGGCCGCGGCTTCTACCTACTCGATAGGAAGTGCCTCAATGATCCGGGACTTGAATTGTACACAACTTCAAGCAAGTGTCGGGCTCAGTGTGTATGCACTAGGATTTGCTGTCGTGCCTCTCGTCCTTGCCCCACTTAGCGAAGAACTCGGTCGCCAGCCGCTCTATGTCGTTACAACGTTTATCCTGCTCTTGTCACATATCGGTGTAGCCCTGTCAGTAGTCTCCTTCGTGAAATTTGATGTGCCTTGATTAATGCCATACCCGGAAAAACCAGAGCTAAAAATATTCAGACGGTCATTGTCTTACGATTCATCGCCGGAGCCGCGGGTTCTACTGGCTCAACGATGGTCGGAGGTACCGTAGCGGATATTTGGGCTCCACATGAGTAGATACATCCGCTAGTATAATTGAAGACAGCCGCTGACAGTAGTCATCCAGACGAGGTCTGCCAATGGCAGTATTTTCGATAGCTGCCGTAAGTTCCACAGGTACTGGCCCTGTATTCGCTGGCTGGATCGAAATGAATAGACATCTGGAGTGGCGTTGGATACAATGGATCCATTTAATGTGAGTATTTGGGACGAACAAAGGAGCTTTTAGTCAACCGTCAACCTAATTTATCGCATTAACAGGGTGACAGGCGTGATGTTTGTAGCTGTGGTCTTGATCATGAAGGAAACGCGATCATCAGTGCTTTTGACGAGGCTTGCAAGGAAGATTCGGAAAGAGACTGGGGACAATCGCTATCGGGCTCGCATTGAAGATGAACGAGGAAGCTTGCGCTCTTTGATCCTGGTTTCCTGTACCAGGCCTGTCCGTTAGTGTTGCGCCAGTTAAGTCCTTCCCGAAGCGCCGTTCTGACAGTTTCGATAGATCTGTTAGTCACAGAACCTGTCGTTACCTCATTTAGCGTAAGCAAACCTAATGTGTTGCATAATGCCCATTGCTTACCATGCCATGCAGTTATGGGCCGGCTTCGCGTGGGGCATTCTATATGTATTTCTCGAGTTAGTACTCCTTCGCAACAAACGCATATTCGATCGTTAACAGTCGGTACAGGTCAATTGCACCAGCATTTGAGCAGCTACACCACTTCAACATCGGAGAAGTCGGTACTGTATATGTAACGATCCTGTATGTCATCCACTCTTTGAGCTATAAAAAGGACATCGGCTGACATTTTCGGGGAAGAATCGGATCGGTCTTTGGATATTTTACGAACGTTTTCTACCAGGAGAAAATATACGCGTTAGTACCATAAATCCGATTGCTCGATAATTTCTCACATTGAATTTATGCTATTCGACTATAGAAAGAAATTTGAGTCCCGAGGACACGAGGCACGATTGTACTCCTCGTGTGCGGCAGGTGTACTCTTTCCTGCGTCAATGTTTATATATGCCTGGACGTCCCTGGCACATGTACACTGGATCGCAATGTGCATCGCGATCACCGTAAGTCACATTTTTTTGCATATTTATGGCTGTTGACTAGGGTTATGATTCGTTTAGCTATGCATATGGTCAATCTTTATGATTTATCTCGCAGTCTTTACATACCTTGCCGATTGGTAAGACTAATCAACTCCATTTGTTGGACTGAACACTTACCATCGGAACGCAGTTACGGTCCATTTGCGTCCTCTGCTTTGGCAGGACAGAGTCTGAGCCGTAGGTCTATTCGGCTATGCTCTTCTACTGGCCTGACACGCCTCTTTCTAGGCAACCTGGCAGCAACAATTTTTCCGCTTTTCACAATACAGATGTACAATGCACTCACGTTCAAATGGGCGAATACGCTATTTGCCTGTCTTGCCTTGCTTATGATGCCTATCCCATTTATCGTACGTCTTGTTGTTTTCCTTGATACCTTTACCCACTTGTAAACGTGTTGCTACTTCTAGCTCTTCCGATGGGGTCCTCAGATCCGCGCGCGAAGCAAGTTTGCAAGTAAAGTGCCCGCGTTTGGCTCATAATGAGCCTAGGGAACTTGTTAAGTTCGGCTAGTCGCGCGCAAGTCGGTGGCACATAAGATATCAACAGTCCTGGATCACCTACATTGACCTCGATTATTTCATTAATTCCGTAGGCAGCAAGCACAAACCATAGAAAATACAACATTCATTCCAATATTCATTCCAACGATCATTTCCCTCGCTCTCGGTTTTGCATTTATCTCACTTTCATCGGTAGCATACAGCAGCATAGGATATAGAATTGTGGTTTCATTAGCATCAAATATTACGCGCTCGTTCTTGAAGTATTCCATTAAAGAAAGTTCTTGTCGACACGGAGAACACACGATAATCAGCCAGTCAGATTGTTGTCCAGGTGTCGTGCAGATGCTGTGGTGGTCGAGATACAACTGATACAACTGATAGAAAATGCTTCCGAGACGAGACGCGTTTAATTTCACGTGATGGGGCGTCATCTATTCTTAGCGTAAACTTTGGTAGTCCCAAGCTCCGTCTCCCTCGAGGCTCATCTTCAAACCGCGATACCCACTCTCCTTTATACCAGCATTTAGCACAAACCAACGATGACAGCAAACGTACTCCAAGCACCCTTTGAGCTTCTTCTAAATGGCTATGAATACAGTGATGGACTCGATGCTAGTTCTCCACCATCTTCGCCGTGCAGCCTCTATGCGGTTGACTCTTCTCCGCCGTCCTCGCCGGCCAACTTCACACTCGATCTTGACGCGTCGGACGAGGAAATCCTCAATACTGATGCGAAAACTGAGGTCGGAGGATCAACGAACGCGTCGCCCGCTTGTGTCCGACGCGTGGACACAAAAGGTAAGGGAAGGGACACAGCAGAACTCGAGACCTCACCCGCGCATCCGTACGCAGCATCAACGCGTGCAGTAAAACGTCCTCCAGAATACGGAAAGGATACGACGCGTCCCAAAGTGAAGCGTCACAGGGGCGATTCGGATCCAGAGCGGGATGTGTTTAGCATGCGGCAGCACGCGAGGCTCCATGAACGCGACAGTTACATGCAGAGTATCATTCCACCCATAGGCAGATATCCAGACGGCAGAAGCGAACCTATATCTCCGGGGGTCATAGATGGACTCTCCAAATCATCTCATGATCCAGAGCACATGCTTTGGGAAGAGACACTTGCGCAAGCGGTGGACTCAGCTGAGTGCAAGATTGATCTCAGGTGAGCCTTGTCCCTTGGAATTTCCTTTCTATTGACTAATCGAACAACTCAATTGACAAACGCAGCGGTCAGGGTTTGACATATATACCGTCCAAGATTGCCGACTTGTCAAAGCTTGTCGTCATCCACGATAACATATCTTCAGGTCGTGAATTGGTTCCACGTCGGACTTGTTCAAAATCGACGAATTCAGTTGTCTTCGGGGCGGGAAAGCTTGGTCAACGTGAGGATGAGGTCCACTTGTTCCTTGCAAGAAACAGCATTGCGATGTTGCCGAACGAGCTTTTCAACCTTAATGCGCTTGTAGTGCTGAGTCTTCGTAAGTCTTCACGATGTTGATGTACCTTGAACCTTTTTTCACTCCAAACGTATCAGGCGGCAACTGTCTCACAGAAATCCCACCTCTCATTGGCCAACTGCATAACCTACGGGAGCTGAACGTCGCAAACAATAATTTGCGCTTTTTACCTTCCGAAATCTTGAACTTGAAACTGGATAAACTTGCTGTTGATCCAAATCCGTTTGAGGAGAACCCATACGTTGAGTCGGAACCTTGCAAGAATCGATGGTTCGGTCCGACTGAGCGGAAATTTACACTTGTGCCTCTACTCGAGCTTGCGTTGCGTGTTCTTCTTGCTCCGAGTGCCGAGCTGTATGGCCTTTGCGACCCGACTTCGATTGTTTCTGGAACAAGGCGGCAGGAAACGATCCTAGAGCATTGTTATGATTTACCAATTCAATCGGACCATTCGATTTCCCCTGGCCTACGTGAAACATTGTCCTCATGCGTTCCAGGAAGTGTTGCGTCATTGCAATCATCAAACGCAGCGCCGTCCAATTCACCAGAAACACGACAAACTGATCTTTGCACCGCACGACGTCCTTGCCTTTCGGTATGTCCATCTTCACATCATCTTGATGTTCAAGGGGAGAATTATTGTAGACCGGTCTTCGTGACGCACGCTGAGGAACGACTTTCATGGGAGAAGCGCGTAGCGGGATGCAAAGTTGGTGGAGAAGCTGGTATTCCTGTACGATGGCGAGGGTGTAGTGCTGGATGCTTGGAACGACTTGAGCAGATGACTGCCAACGGTACTTCGTTCTCAAGCGTGGTAGGTGAAGACGACTGGTCGGTTGGTTTGGACATTGACAGCAAAGGCAATGCTGTTGGAATGGATTGGGCTCGTGTTCCTTCACTTTCTTTGAGCACTTCATCCAAGGAAGACTTTAAAACATTTGATTCAGCGGATATTGACCTTGATGACTGATTATTGGGCTCTTAAACCAGTGATGTGCGCAAAATAGGACAGTTTGAGACATGATTAAATCACATTGATTGTGTATGTTTGTTTCCTCCTGTAAGTCTCGTGACCCTTGTGATGACCCTTAGGAATTTAATAGAAAAAGAAGTCATGCAACTCTTTAATGATCCAATGGCATCTACTCACTGCATCATGTTGTTGTAGAAAGGCACTTTGCCCTCTACCGATTGTGAAAGAGAAGTACAGACAAGAGGACGACTGGTACCTATTCTTAGCTCGGCACGAGTACGCGTCTACGGCTCACGCGTCAAATCAGTTCCGTTTACGAAATGCCTTTTACTCCATGTTGGTCAGGATCCAGCTTTTTGACGCTCTGTTCTATATTGGGTCTGTCATCGCAGAGGAGCATACGATGATCAGAAGATAAAAGCTCCCTGCCCTCACATGGCTCTTTATTCCTCCCCTACTGCTAGCTTGCTTGATCTCATAATTGCCTTGAAGTATGTCACTTTGCAAGGATTGCATTACCGGTAAGTATACAGCCTGGTTCAAGTATTGCTCCCAAATCTGATCTGCATGCTACCGAAATATCGATAAGGTGTTACGCACGAGGGCGAGCCTGTGGGTAAGTCTTGAAAGCACGGCACTCTGTCAAGTATATGCTTAAAAGTACATTGAAGGTAAAATTGAAGAGATAAATGGCATCAAAACCTATGTATCCCTTCCTCCCGCCGGGTTGGTACACATCTTCTATATTGATTAGTATCTTGTCTATTGAATATTACTTTTAGAAAGGAATATGACAAGACGAAGGCAATTCTTTTCTTGACTGACGGGTTCGGCCTCGAACTTGTCAATAACAAGGTGAATATTCATTTCTCTATTCACTTGAAGCCTATCAAGTTCTTATGCATTTTTAAATAAACAGTTGTTGGTATGTCCGACTCTACCTGCGAATCCTCTGGGAAACTGATGCCGTCTTATTTAGGTCGATGACTTTGCAAAGAACGGTTTCCAGGTAAAGCAAAATTCACTTGTATCCTATTCACGCTAATTGCACGCTTAAACAGACTTACATGCCTGACCTCTTTAATGGGGACCCAGTTGTTACGATCGAAAATGTATGATGTCGCCGATTCATGCCCTTGCATGTTAGAGTTACTGACACACATTGTCCGGAAAGTTTGACTTTGCAACATGGATTGCGAAACACGGACGCGAACAAACAAGACCGATTATTGACGATCTTGTTACTGCACTCAAGGAGCGTGGAATAAAGAACTTCGCGGCTACCGGTTATTGCTTTGGAGGACGCTATACGTTTGATCTCGCTTTTGACCATGTCATCAAAGCTGCCGCCGTTTCCCACCCGTCACTCCTTCAAGTACCCGAGGACCTAGAGAAATTTAAGATATCTAGTGTTCCATTACTTATCAATTCCTGCGAAGTGAGCATCTTGATATTTATCATATGAAATTCCTTACCTGAATGTTGTTATGTAAAGGTTGACTCACAGTATCCCCCTGAGAGTCAAAAACTCGGTGACGATATTCTTGGTGATGGAAATACCGAGACAGAGAAATACAAGCGTGCTTATTTCCCGGGCTGCGTTCATGGATTTGCTGTTCGTGGCGACCTTAGCAAACCGGAAGTCAAGGCGGGTAAAGAACAGTCGTTCGTGAACACTGTTGATTGGTTCAAGAAGCACCTGTGAAGAAACGACAAGCACGGTAACTACATGTGCCGCAGCTGCTACAGATCTCCCAGAAATACAATTTCTGACGAAGGTGTTGTTGCTGAATACAAACAGTCAAAGGAGATATTTGCAAAATGAAATTGACAGTCATCATGGAACATATGCATGTTCTAATAAAAACTAAAAAGAAGCGAAAAGAAAATTGTCAAAGAATTGCAAAGCAAATAATAGGCAGCAAATATGTTCATGCACGTGACCTGTAGTCTCATGAACGAGATATCTTGTTCAAGTTGTTGCCAATCCCTCACTTGTACCGAACGATGTACTCGCCCGGTGTAGTGCTGGTGGAGGTAAGACTATTATCTGGTTGTTCCATCTCGATTTCTGATCTAAATGGTCATCGATCAGTGGGCTGCCCGGCCTGCAGCTAGGCTTTAGTCGTTTTCTTATTGGCTAACGAAAAGGTCACGGCCTGTTTATCCCATAATATAAATACGCATCCTTTGGAAGATGTTGCTTGTCATTCAAACCTTTCCTTATCATCTGCTTACAACTGCATTCAAGATTGCCACCCCAATCGTATCGGCTCTGCGACTTCGAGGACGTATTGTTGTCACCAGACCCATAGCTTCCCAGCCATTATCTACCTTTTCGTTTCGTACCAGTACTTCTTCGATTCGAGTGTCCCAACCAGCAAAGGCTAGAATAAGGCAGAATCCGTCGCAGACCAGCGCCTCAAGCTATTGCATCCATCTGCTTCACACTTAGCAACCATGTCCATGTCTAATGAGTGTTTTAGTGGTACGTCGCTGATAATAAGAGCTTCACGTCCGTATCTTGACCAACGGTGGGTGCTTTAGGTGTTACCCATGAAGGAGAGCCTACAGGTAAGCTCTATGCTATACGAGTCCATCCTGGGACTGAACACTGGCTCGATTCAGGAACTGTTGAAGACATCAATGGAGTACAGACATATGTCGCCTTGCCTCCAGCTGGGTTAGTATGTTCTTCATATTACTTCTTTTTGCATCTATTCACTATTCCGATTTATTGAGTAGCAAGGACTACGATAAGACAAAGGCCGTCCTCGTCCTAACTGATGTTTTCGGCATCCCACTTGTTAATAACCGGGTGAGTATTCCATCGAAAGCCTCTCACATACATGCATTGCTGACAGTTCTGCCTAGCTTCTTGTGAGTTTCATATTATCAACAAACGCTATTCTCTCTCTATATATGACATCCATTTTATACAGGCGGATGATTTTGCGAAAAATGGCCTTCAGGTAGTTCGCTATTGTTGCTTATATTGTATCAATGAGGCCTATCACAGTTAAAAGACATACATTCCTGACATCTTTAACGGAGATGCGAGGAAGCTCAACGTCCCAGTACGTCCATCATACTACCATATATTCGTTAATTCACTAGTGTATGCTCGATACAGGTGGATCGTGAGAAATGGCTCGCCAACCATGGGCGTGAGCAGACTCGGCCACCCATCGACAAGATCATAGCTGGACTCAAGGATCGTGGCGTGGAGAAAATAGCAGCGACGGGATATTGCTTCGGTGCCCGATACGTGTTTGATTTGGCCTTCGACAATATGATCAAGGTTGCTGCTGTCGCCCATCCGTCGCGTCTCGAAGTACCTGATGACTTAAATAAATTCAAAGCAAGTGGCATACCTCTCCTCATTAATTCATGCGAAGTAAGCATTTTCATGAAATGGTGGCCATATTCGTCTCACGCATGATCAGGTCGACCCTACATATCCGCAAGAGAGTCAAAAGATCGGCGATGACATCCTTGGTGGTGGACAGACGCAGACGGAAACATATTGGCGTGCTTACTTCGACGGCTGCGAGCATGGATTCGCGGTTCGTGGGGATCTTAGTAATCCTGCAGTTAAGAAAGGTAAAGAGCAAGCGTTCGCGAACACTGTCGAATGGTTCAATAAGCATCTTTGAGCGGTTGAAAGGAAGGAAATGGCGTAATATGAGAATCTGTAGCTTTTTTTATCGCGACCGTGAGAATGTACTTATGAGGTCATTTTTATCGGATCGGGTAATAAAACTTATCATTTAGGGAGTTTGAGGCAGATGTACGGCCCATTAAGCATTGCCATTGTACCTATTCAACTGCAAGGAATGAAGAAAATACCACTTGATAGCGATCCTATCGGACAATGTTAATAGTTTGACCGATCACTTATTTGTCGTGCACGTAAAGTTTCGGTGAGAGCCTGGATTCCAATATTGGCGAGGAGCGCGCACGTTGCCGACTGCTGAGAAAGATCTCGAATATAAGTATGGCGCGCATATACACACATGTAATCCCAGCCCCTCATCGTTGCGATATCCTAGCACTTCTCACAACATGTCGCTTTGCAAGGACTGTGTTACCGGTATGCCAATTAATCTCACAACTACTCTTGCATCTACATTCTACCACTAACAAATCAACAATTTGAGGCGTCACCCACGAAGGCGAGCCTACAGGTGAGTTTTGACATCTAAGCTACGCAGGCGACAGATTTTCTGACTAATGATCTAAGGTACCATTGAGCAAATCAATGGCGTCAAGACATATGTTGCTCTCCCACCGGCTGGGTTAGTGTATAAATGCCATCCAGACATGGAGACTGAGTTGATTGTGCATACTAGGAAGTATGAAACTTCAAAGGCGGTTCTCTTCCTACCAGATGTGTTTGGTCTAGAGCTTGTCAATGCCCGTGTAAGCCAATTCTTGTCATGAGCTGTCAACAGTTCCTGATCAGTAAATTTTAGCTTTTGGTAGGTAGTATTATTCTCCTTTCGTCAATATGATATCGAGATTATTCTCTGTCCAGGCGGATGACTTTGCAAAGAACGGTTACCAGGTGAGTAGTGAAGTTGTGTCGTCTGATCTATCATTGACAGTGCATACTTATTAGACATATATTCCGGACTATCTCAATAGCGACCCTATTACTAGTCTGGATGGCTCGGTGAGAATATTCGCAGAGCAGATCTTTTATTGAGCACTGAACTTCGTACACTTCGCATTCAGGTTGACTTCCAGGCCTGGTTTGCAAATCATGGTCCTGAACAAACAAGGCCGTCACTCGACAAAGTCATTGCTGGACTTAAAGAGCGTGGTATCAAGGAATTCGGTGCTACAGGCTACTGCTTCGGTGCTCGTTATGTGTTTGACCTGGCTTTCGACAACGGTATCAAGGTTGGCGTTGTGTCCCATCCGTCCCTCTTGAAGGTGCCAGAGGATCTTGAGAAGTTCAAGGCAACCGGAGTACCCTTGCTCATTAACTCTTGTGAGGTGAGTGAATTAGACTACGCGTATTGAAGAGCAATGCTCAGGCACTTTCGTATAGGTTGACCAAATGTACCCGCCTGAGAGTCAGAAGATCGGTGATGACATCCTTGGTGGCGGCAAGACGGAGACGGAAAAGTACAAGCGCGAATATTTCGCGGGGTGCGTGCATGGTTTCGCAGTCCGTGGAGATCTCAGCAAGCCAGAAGTAAAGGCCGGAAAGGAGGGGTCGTTCTTGAATGCAATTCAGTGGTTCCACAAGTTCCTGTGAAAATTCGAACAACTTTCCGTGTAAATTAAATATGTTGAGTAAAGATCATGAATACCTATCTTAAATACGTTTCCAAGTAGGTTTGTTCTGCATACCGAGATGGTTCTAGATTAAGCAAGAGACAGCCCAAGTGCAAACGCCTAGTCTAACCATCTGAATCTAATCACTTGAAAATTATTCACGAATAGACAATGCGAGAAAGGCTCCGAGTAGACCGACGGGTTGAAGTTCATGTGCGTCCGATTGCAGCGGACGCAAGTGTCAAGAGATTTACTAATTGCATTAGAGAATCCCAGTCCTAATATCAGATGTCGAGGATACACAGAATAGAGGAGCATTGGCGTGACATAGTACCGCTCCGGTGGTCGCTTTTGTATGGCGTCATTAAAGCAGCAGCTATGTCTTGTCCATTAATCTTTACGGTGGTCGAGGATCTCAAGTAGCTCATTGCTACGGATGCACTAGTTCTCATGACTCGTATGAGGTAAACCACGCTTGCCTTCTAAGTCTAAGATACTCGGTGTTCACGCTGCTGGGGCTCACGCTGCTATTGGAAGGATGTCTTCATGCGCCCGCGATAAAACCAGAAGACTGGTTTGACATTTTGTTCTCGTCAGTGGCAAGATGGAAACGGAGAGGCACAAGCAAGCACAGTTTCCCGGATGTACTCAATCCGTCCTCAGAACCGGAAGTAAAGACAAGCCTTCCTTAATGCAGTTGAATGGTTCCCCAAACGCCTGTGAAGCATCTTTCAATATGCATATAAATAAATTCTTGAAGACGTCCGAGTCGGCATTCCTGAGATTAATCGGGACCTAATGGAAGCACAGAGGCGAGCATCTTCCTAGCTGGCGCGATCTATATGGACGTGCCTGTAGTGCCTCCCAAGTGCTTAGGCGAACTCCAGATTACATAGACGTGAGAGAACACGCAACAAACGCTTTGCTGACAGGAGTCTCCAGTAGATAATCTAGGGGCGATCGAATTAGGTAACAACGTCAAGAGTGTGCCATTCTTCGTCCAATGACCTAGAAGAGTGCACGCCATTTCGCTAGAGCATCACCTAGAATGGAATATGACAGGACGAGGGATGTCATCCTCCTGACACTTTCATGTGACCTGTCAACAAGATTTAATAGTGTAAATGCTAATAGCACTCGCGAAGATCACAAGTTCGATCATCTGTTTGGACATTCGCAGGTGCAGGACGGATTTCTCAATGATAGCTTCGACGTTAAAGCGAGACTAAGGGTGGCTCTCTGGTATGTACCATTGGACCGGATATTTGAACGTCAAAAGACGGCTTAATGCCATTGGTGTAATAAGATACGCACTCGGGTTGTCGAATGATGAACCAGACGTCAACATGAATATCCAGGACGAGAGTGTTGTCCCCACTCTTACCTGGAAATTACTTCAGCAAACCAGTTGTTGGACAAGTATAAATGATGAAGGACTTCGTTGATTCATAAAGCGCGAATAAAGGACCAGCGGAAACAGGGCCTTGTTTGATGCGTCTACCCTCATCCAAGGCCTCAAGCGTATAAACCGGGGTGGATCCATAGACAGTCCCCTATACCTCAATGAGCAAGAACATGTTGAACTGATCGAGTGACAGAAGCTTCGTTGCATGCCAACTACTGCAGGACAGTTGTACTACGCTACTTTCCATGAAGTAGCTTAGACTGACCAACGCGAAGATACTGCTCCAAGAGGCAAGACTGCAAGAGAAATGCCTACAAATGCTATCACTTCGCTTATGCAGATATTTGCGAGCTGTGCAAAGTAGCCAGAACCTATGGTGGAGGTAAAATTAACAATAATTCGTTTGCCAGGCTCGTTGACATAAGCGAAAGTACAACTCCAGTTGGTTACAGCCTTCCTGGCAGTCGTGCTCCTCCGCTAAGTCTAATAGTCTCTCCGTTCATGTATCCACACTCGATCACAAATAATGCGGTTTGAGAAAATTCGTTCCCACTGCCAAAGCGTTTTGGGAAATTCAATTCCCGAACAAGACTAGTACGAGTCTTCTCGGGCATTCGGTCAGTCATGGCGCTAGCAAAGGCTGACGGGGCGATCGTATTTACTCGAATACCGTATCGAGCTGGTAGTCAAACTGTCAGTACTGTACAGAGCCTGACCAGAACAGTGTATGACGAACCAAGATCCCGTGCAAGAGGCAGGGTAGCACTAACAAGAGCTCCTTTGGTGGCTGCATAGGCAGCTTGTCCTGGCTGTCCTTCGAACTAGATCAAGATCATTAAATTGAACTCGGGATCTGACAAGGCAGGCAAAAGACACTCACTGCAGCTGCGCTGGCAACGAAAATTACCACACCTCGCTCTCCGTCATCACCCTCGGGTGGGACGTTGACGAGGTACTTGCAGACCAAACGAGTCAGGTTAAACGAGCCCGTAAGGTTGACCGCGACTGCAAAATTCCAGAGATCGAGTGAATGGGGGTTTCCTTGAGCGTCAATGATCTTCGCTGCTGTTGCAACTCCAGCACAATTGAGGACCCCGCCGAGTTGAGCACCGGACTTTTGTGCCCACGATATCGTGCTCTCGACTGCATCATTGACATCTTTTTCGTTTGTAATATTGGTCCTAAAGAATTTAACACGACTACTGTCTTTGGCAGAGAGTGCGGTGTTCTCTCGAAGATCCAAAATAGATACATATGCGCCAGCGTCCAAAAGGGTATGAGCCGTGGCGAGCCCAAGACCAGAGGACCTGCAACCAGATCAGTCTTATTACGAAGATCCATGAATTTGACATCGTCACCCTCCAGAAATTATGAACGTGCGGTTGTGCGGCTTCATGGATAGAGACAAGTTCAATGGTTGAATAATTAACGAACTGTTCCAGCAGTGAGCACTGGACAGCTACGGGCTACCAGTTAACTGGTTACTGGTTGGAGATGCTGTGGTACGTAACACATGGGGCATTTCACAATTTCTTACCTTAAGAAATAACTTACATAATGATAAACATTATTTGTAATTTAGTTTACCATTTTTGGTTGGCAGAAACTCTGAACAGAATTTAAAATTTTCATTATACAAAAACTAGAAATTAATTTTAACATTTCCCTATTTGTAAAATTTTTAAATAAATGGAGATAATAATTTAAAACATAATTTAAAGTTTTTCCTATAGCAAAATTATAAAATTTCTTTCAGGTTTAGTGACAAGAAAAATTTGAAATTTCTTTTATAATATTAAATTGAATAAAATATTAAAATAAATTTAAAATTTTACTTGAGAGAGAAATGCCATAAAGAATTTAAAATTATTTCAAAGTGGGCAGTCAGTGGGCAATCAATGGGCAATCAATGGGCAAGCAATGGGCAAGCAATGGGCAATCAGTGGGCGATCAACGGGCGACTACCAAATGAAGCAAAAATGTCTTCATTTGGTAGTTGCCTGTTGATCGCCCGTTGATCGCCCACTGATCGCCCATTGCTCGCCCATTGCTTGCCCATTGCTTGCCCACTGATTGCCCACTGACTGCCCACTTTGAAATAATTTTAAATTTTTTTGGCATTTCTTCTCTGGGTAAAATTTTAAATTTCTTTTAATATTTTATAAGATTTAATATTATAAATGAAATTCTAAATGTTTTTTGTCTTAAAATTTGAAAGAAAATTTATAATTTTGTTTTAAAAGAAACTTCAAATTATGTTTTAAATAATTATTCTCATTTATTTCAAGATTTCACAAATAAAGATATGCCAAAATTAATTTATAGTTTTTGTCTAAAGAAATTTTTAAATGTTGTTTACAATTTCTATCAACCAAAAATGGTAAATTAAATTATGAATTATATTTAACATTATGTAAGTTATTTTTTAAGGCAAGAAATTGTGAAATGCCTGATGTGTAAGCATTGCGAGAGTGAAGTCTCGTGACCTAAACTTATCCAATCGCAATGGCGCGCTGAGCAATCTCACGCGACGTGTACTCACTACTCATTGACCTCAACGTCCACTATGTTCAGTCAAGCATTTCGCTCTTCGGTATGCAATGACTTTTCATAGCCTTTATAGCAAAGGCTCATGTTGAAATGCTGATTTAGCTATCTTCGTCTCTTCGAGCGACTTCAGGCTTTGCACGCGCATCGCAACCTGTTAGGTTGGGAACTACTTTGCAGCGTTACCTTTCGCAGGATGCGCGGTCAAAGCTCCAGGCAGCCGTCAAAGAGCGACCTCTGGTGGTGTTCATGAAAGGCACGCCAGAACTTCCTCAGTGTGGGTTTTCTCGCGCTGTCATCCAGCTACTCGATATCAACGGCGTGCCTTCGGACAAGCTGAAGACATATGATGTGCTGGAGGACCAAGACTTGAGAAATGAGATTAAAGAATTTTCGTGAGTCTATCCGTCTTCATTCCAATACATCGGTGAAGTATAATTGATTCGTGACTGCGCTGTGTACAGTGAGTGGCCGACGATCCCTCAAGTATACGTCAACGGTGAGTTCGTCGGTGGATGCGACATCATTCTTGGCAGTGAGTAACTTCCTTAGTTGATAGAAAACACTTTGGAGCTGATTTCTCCGTAGTGCACCAGTCTGGAGAACTCGAGTCTTTACTCCGAAAACATAATATCGTCCCAAAAACGGAAGAGGCGGAGCAGTCCGCTGCATGACAGAAGCTACTACTTTGAACCCCGGTCCGACTGCAATCACCGTCATAGATGACATACAATGTACGTTTAATGGATAGGACAGATAGCAATTTGCACCCACCTGCAAAAAAGAGTTGCTTCGGATGTCCAATTAAGTTGGAAGGCATCAGTCGAATGAAACATCTTTGCAAGATTACTCATTACTTTGGCAATGGGTGAAGTTCTCTGAAGTGCCAATGGACGTGCAAGTTGATGTGCAATGACTACTTTGTCATTTCTTCTGGCTGTCCTCGTGTTTGCTGCCGCGCTGGCTACTCTGCAAGTCGTCATAATAGAAGCTTCTGCTGGACGTCCCCGAGGAGTACAAAATACCCGGTGAGATCTTGGAGACAATGCACGCCGCTTCTCTGTTACGCTCCTTCCGGCGTGGCGTTCATCGCTCATTACACTCATTCCTGACAACCTTCATTACAATGTTCAATTTTTGCCGCCCTGGAGCTTCCATTCAACTTATCTGCAATGCCAACTCGGCTCACAAAGACAGAACGTCTCACTTTGATGGCTTCACCGTGAAGTCGGATGCCGCAATTCCCGCTCCATCTGTTCTTGGGACCATTCAGAAAAGCGTACCTTCTCTGTGCGAAAAGACCTTTAGGTTCAAGCCTTCATTTGCTGTTGCGAAGTCAGTCCCTTTAACCATCCTTTTATATGTGTGTTCTCACGAAAAGTAGTGCGGATGTTCAAACCATATTTAGTCATCTAGGCCAAATAGACAATCCCATGTGCTATGATAGGTGCGAATCCGGGATGATTTCATAGTCTTATTTCATATTCTATGTGCCTTACCGATTCGACAATGTATTATAGACGCTTCATTCCCGCCGATAATGGGGGCACATTGGCCCTTGACTTTGCTTCTACTCCGTGGCTAAAGAGTAGTGCTCCAATCGCTATCATTATACCCGGTCTCTTGGGCTGCTCGCAGGATGCATATGTCAATTCTGCAGCTAGGGAGCTATCCAGACTCAAGGATGGGTCAGTGAGGGGATATAGAGTTGTCGTCATGAACCCAAGAGGCAGTGCGTATCCCTGCTGTGCCCCCATGAGACATTGTTCTGAGAATGTATGTACTGCGTAGCTCCCGGGAACCCTCTGACGAGCCCTCATCTTACTCACGCTGGTTCAACCGATGACATGAGAACGTGCGTTGTCTTTATAGCTGTGGAACTTCTTGTACTTACCTGGCTTGTTTTCTTCAGAGTCGTTTCGTATATTCGCAAAAACTATCCAGATTCAAAGGGTCTTTTTGCTTTGGGTGAATAGATTTAACTCTATGTCATAGGTTACCCGCTAAGCTTGCTACAGGTTTCTCGATGGGTGGCGGGCTTCTTTCAAATTACATGGCTGAAGAAGGTGCAACTTGTCCACTTGATGCTGGCTTCTGCATTTCCACTGTCTGGGATTTCTTATCATGTCACGAACGGATGGAAGAGGAACATTTCTTTCGTCGGATATGCTACAGTTACTCCTGCGGCACGCGTCTAACGAGCGTTGTTCGCGAACACGAAAAGCTCTTCAGAGATGCAAATTCTAAGGGGCTGGATCAGTTATTGTCACAACGAAGAGTATGCATGAGCATGTTCAACAACACGTTTATGTCGTATCTTGCTGGTTATCCAAACACGCCTGCGTTTTCTGCTGGCACGAGTCCGCTCTACCGCGTTGGCAACATACGCCGTCCTTGCGTGCTGTTGAATGCGCGTGATGACCCATTTTATGGCGGATGGTATATGGCAGACGTGGAGAGGGCTGTTCGCGACGGTGGGCACGAGAATCTGGTCCTCGCGATTACTGAGAAAGGTGGACATGTGGGGTGGATCCAAAAGACTAAGGATGGGAGATGGGAACAATGGTTCATGCATCCTGTGCGGGAGTTCTTTGATGCTATATCAGAAGCCGCGAAATCTGATTCAGACACGAAAAATTCCTAACTCTTGAACCGAGGGCGGTAAAATGTACAACTATGGACACGAACTTTGCAGACCTCATAGATCATTCTTTATATATGCAGGTACATTCCTTAATAAACACTTTCTCTAACTAACACCAGCAAAACCTAGCCACGACAATTGAGTATTCTTATGCCTGAGTCCGGTATAACAACACTCACTTTTCATTATACACCCATTTGAGGTCCTCATTCTTCTCCGGACCATACCACTTGAATGCATTAAGGTGTTCGTCTCTTTCCTCTTTCCTACCTCCAGATTGCTCAGCGACCTCTTCGAGATCGCTTGGCAAGTTCCAAATCTCTACACGTTTCATATCACTTTCACGAGCGGCTGAGAACAGACAGGACAGGATGGTGGGGAATGTCTCCTTCGTCGCGCGAATGCGAGTCACTATCAATGTTGGTGGCGGCGGTCGCACATCGAGTGACCATGTCGCAAAACAAAGAGATTCCTCAGAGCTATCCTTAGGCGGAAGTTCGACGCCCCATTTATCCGGTATAGCATATGGTTGCCCAGGAGCAAAGAACTCCGTTCTAAATATCATAAACATTGCAACACCCTCATTGGGAAGGAATCCAAATGTGACGCGTTCTGGGTCCGAAGGAAAAGACTTTCGTATCAATTCTGTATCGCGTTCTATCACCTCTTTGCAGCTATCTTCGTTCAGCCATCGTACCGATGAGATTGGTTCTAAATCTTTCGGAACGTCCCAAATTGTTGAATACGGTTCACGTACAATCCAGCCCTTGGTGTCTTCACTGGGTCCAGCTGAAGCATAGAAATCAGGTCCAATGTCGCTATATAGCGCAGAAAACACGCCGTTGTTGCATCCTGGGCGCTCAGGAGGAGGAGTGCCCCAGCTTGAAGGGAAAGGCGGTAGGGACGCATGTGGTGCTATGACCCAGTGGAGGAAGCTCATCAAACGACGGGCGTAGCCCTTTCCGCGATTATTTGGCGGAGTAAACACAGATGCAATCCCATAGCCATAGACTTCTTCCGAGCTTGTTGATCCAGGTCTTTTGACTAGTGATCTCCGGCGGTAACTTATGAAAAGATCCGATAAGCATTGACTCGTACGTGAGAAACTGGCGTAGACACTGTACACTCACGTCTCACAAGAGCTCTTGAAATCTAAAGTCGTAGGATTTTCCCGAGGAGCCAAAACCCTAATGTATAGTAAAATGCATTTAGAAAGTAAATTCCTAGGATGTTCATGTATCGCTCTGACCAGGTAGTGAATTTATCGCCTTGAGCATGCTCAGCAATATCAAGTCGAGATTCTCGAGCAAAATAGCCCTCAAGCGTAAGACCTCTGCCCCATTGAGGATAAGTACGCTTCCTCGACTCCAAGATCTGTTCTTTTGTAGCTGGAAAGAGCGAAAGTGTTGACAGATCCTCAAGGGACATTTTGAAGTTGTACAGTTGCCAAAAATACCCACGCGTTTATTATTCGAAAGAATCAAAGATCATCAAACGCGTCCAATATATATTGATCATGCGTTGCGGCTACACGGTCACGAGGCTCAATCTCTGAGTCGAATTACTGACATCTTTCGCATCCTCCACTCCATATTCTGCAAATACTGATTGCACGGACGAACCAGACTGTGCCGAGATGTCAGGACAAGGGGGCCTGGAAATCATCTACGGTGTGCACAGTGATATGTCACGAATTTTCACTGAAGGCGAGGAACTCGAATGTGTTCAGGGCTCCAGGACCAGGAAACGTGGAAAGGTCAGCTAGAAGTTACTGTAATGATTAACAAGAGTGTTGATTTTTATCTGTATTAGCTCTTCCATAACACTGCTAACTTTGATTAGGTTGCAGGAATATTTTTTCTGACTTCTCGACCTTATTAGTCAGGGGATCTACCGCACCAGTTCCATCGTCTGCTGGTCCACCGACGTCGACCGCCATTACACAGATAATGACCTATCCGATGGGTTAGGAGCACGTATGTTCACAGAACTCAATATGCTAGCCACGGCAGATGACGAAGTGAATCACTTTAGAGCTGTCTCGCGGACACTGGATAATAACTCAATATGTGTTGCTGAAAAAATATACGACGCTGGATCAGAAGACGAGCTCAAAATTATTCCATGACAGCCGCCACAATCCGATATAGTACGGAAGGTTTACTCATCCTCTTGTGGTTTAAATGTAACCAAAGGCAGCTAGACTCTTCCAGTGACTCAGTGGCCAAAAACGGCTTAGGTGCTAGTGACCGAGAAACACACATGCCCGATTAAGTTGGAAATTGCCAGTTGAAGGAAATAACTTTGCAAGGCTACTCGTCGCTTTGGAAATGGACGAAGTTCTCTGAAATGCCGATGGATTCGAGATTTGATGCGCAACGACTACTTTGCTATTTCTCCTGATCGCCCTCGTATTTGCTACACCGCTGCTTACTCTGATCGCCCTCGGGTTTGCTACTTCGTTGCTTACTCTGCATTGTCATAATACAAGCTGAAGCCGAACTTGTTCGAGGATTACTAAAAACCTGGTAAAGACATGAAGACGGTACACGCCTCTGCCCTGTTGCGCTCGTTTCTGCGAGGCGTCCGCCGCTCGTTACACTTTTTCCTGTTACCTTTTATCACAATGTTCAATTTCTTCTACCCTCGAGGTCCCATTCAACTGATCTGCAATACTGGCTCGGCTCTCAACGACAGAAATCCTCCATCTGATGACCTCGCTGTGAGTTCAGATGCCGCAAGGCCTAGTCCATGCGTTCTCGACATTATTCAGAAAAGCGTACCTTCTCTGTGCGAAAATACCTTCAGGTTCAAGCCACCATTTGCCATTGCTAAGTCAGTTCCATTACCTTCGTCATGTGTGCTGGTTCTCACGAAAGATAGTGCGCATATTCAGACTCTACTCAATCACCTTGGCCAAAAAGATAATCTTATTCCCTATGACAGGTGCGTATTCGGGGCAATTTCACAGCATATGTTGCGCGCCTCACCGACGCGATCATCTACTCCGCGCAGACACTTCGTCCCAGCCGATAATGGCGGTACAATAGCTATTGACTTCGCTTCCACTCCGTGGCTGAATGGCAGTGCTCCGATCGTCATCATTTTGCCTGGTCTCCTAGGCAGTTGGCGCGATGCGTATGTCAAATCCGCCACTAGAGAGCTATCCAGGCTCAGTGATGGACCAGTGAAAGGCTACAGAGTAGTTGTTGTGAATTCAAGAGGCAGTGAGTGTTTTGGTAGTATCCTTCTTATACATTACCTTGAGAATGAATGCTCTGGCTAGCACCCGGAAACCCTCTGACGAGCCCCCATATCACGCATCCTGGTTCAACAGATGATATCAGAACGTGCGCCTTTATTACTATAGAAACTGCTGCCCCATCCCGTACTTACCTGACTTTATTCTTTTAAGAGCTATCTTGTATATCCGCAAGAGCTATCCAGATGCAAAGGGCCTTTTTGGCTTGGGTAAATATATTTAATTTCTGCAGTAGCTCGTATGCTCAGCTTGCTACAGGTTTCTCCATGGGTGGCTCTAGGCTTACAAATTACTTGGCGGAAGAAGGTACGACTTGTCCTCTTGATGCTGCATTCTGTATTTCCACCGTCTTCGATTACTTGTCATGTCACGTATGGATAGAAGAGGAACACCTTCTGCGTCGGATATTCTATAGTGGCTCCTGTGGTTCGCGTTTAACAAGGATGGTCCGCGAACACGAAAACCTCTTCAGAGATGCAAATTCTAAAGGACTTGATAGCTTATTGTCAAAGAGAATGGTTTACATGAGTACGTTCAATGACACGTTTATGTCATACCTTGCTGGTTATCCAGACACTCCCGAATTTTCCGCCGATACGAGTCCGATCTTCCACATTGGCAAAATACACCGTCCATGCGTGCTGTTGAATGCGCGAGATGACCCATTTTATGGCGGATGGTGTGTTGGAGACGTGGAAAGGGTTGTTCGCGCCAGCGGTCGAAAGAATCTAGTCCTAGCGATTACCGAACAAGGCGGACACGTGGGGTGGTTCCAGAAGGCAAAGGACGGAAGATGGGAACAATGGTTCGTTCATCCTGCACGGGAGTTCTTTGATGCTATATCGCAGGTCGGCAAATCTGATTCAGACGCCAAAACGTCATGACTGCTCTGCTTAACTGCTGCATCAATTTTATATAACAACAAACTTGAACTAAGCAGGGTTTTATGGATCATTCTTTAGGTAGCGCGTAGATTCCCAAATATAAACACTTTCTTTCGCACCAGCAAGACCTAGTCACAACCATTTAGTTTTAGTACGTGCAAGCCTAGTAGAACAATTCTTACCTTTCATTGTATACTCACTCGAGATCTCCGTTCTTTCTCTCGACCATTTATGATTTAAAGCTCGAAGTTGCACCGCCGCCAAAAACAACTCGTGGTGCGCGGGAATAAACGCGTCTAATAATTGATCACGTGCTGATGCTACGGTCGCGAAACCCGACGCGACTCCACGGCGGCTTACCTTTCACTTACAGTCAGATTGCTGGAACAACTTCCATTGTCCTCCATTCCCATTCCGCATTCCGAGGCGTGATCCTAATGGCATGGATGAGCCCGACTATGTCGAGACGTCAGATCAAGAGGAGTTGGAAATCATCCGCGGCATGCGCAGCGCAATGCCAACGACACCCATGGTTCTTTCACCGATGACATGGAGCCCGAATCTGCCCAGAAAACGTAGAAAGGTCGGATAGGCTTTAGTGTGAAAGTCAATAGTATTGATTTAATCTGTTATTAGTTCTCCCATAATGCCACTGAGTCTGACGATGTGGGTCGAATATCATCTGGCGTCTTATCTTCACTAGACAGCGGGTCTACCACACCTGTTCCACCATCTCCTGGTCCTGGTCTACCAACTTCGACTACCGTCTTAGATGATGGGTTATGTCATGGTGAAGAATCACTCGTGGACAATGGGCTCAATATATTGGCCACGGTGGATGACGAAGCCAACTACTCTAGAATCTTCTCGCAGACTCTGGATAATACTGCGATGGACGTTGCTTATGATGTGCATGACACTGAATCCGAAGACGAGCTTGATATTATCTCACGAAAGCTGTCACAATCCGATGCAGGACGCACAGCTTACTCACCCTCTCGTGTTTTGGGCTTAGCCAAAAACCATTCGGACCCTTCCAACAGCCCAACGGTCGATAACGGCTTGGGTGTCAGTGAACGAAAAACACATGGGCGATCTCACGATCCACGTATTTCTTTACTTTCATCGCAACTCGAAGACGAACTGAACCACGAAAGTACAAGTCTGGATAATGTTACTTCAGACCCGTTTTCTCCGCAGCCGGCAAGGCCATCAGCAGAACGGCCTAGATTCTCAAGCTCGCCTCCGTCGTCACCTCGGGCGCCCTCTTTGAACCCTAGCGTGCCGCAAGGTTCTCGTTACGCCTCTCCTGGTCATGTGGGTATCGTTCAGCCACAATCAAGCACGGGTAATCAGGATATCGGGAACTCGTCGCGACCGGCCGGCATTAGGGAGAGCATTTTGCAGGCTACCAACGGTGAAGATGATGATATAAATCCTCGCCGATACTCCCTACGAGCCCGCCAAGCCCGACAATTGAATCCATATGAATATGATAAACGATTGTACAAACAACAGATGAAACGTCTCCCTGACGCAATCGTCAAAGTAGTCAGCCCACGGAGACATACCCCTGGACGTACTCATAGGCACCGACATGGAAGCGAGGACAACGATTTTATCGTTTCCGAGAATGAGGATGAAACGCAGGGAACAGCAAGGAGAAATGAGAAGAACCGCGGAGCTTCTGAGACGTTACAGGAAGGCTATGATGACCAGGAAAAATCCATCACATGGCTTCCAAAGGCATTCAATATGAGTGATGATGAACTCTCACCACTACCTCCGGCTGTAGCAAGAAAATCTCCGGTGGTATCTGCGTCCGAGGATCTTAGCGAATCTCATAAATCTCTGCACAAGAAACTCCAAAGGTTCCCTCTGAAGGAAGCAAGATCACGGAGAGAAGAGCATGCCGGGCCTGCCAACGAAAGTGAGATAGAAACTCATGGCAAAAATACTTCAGCTATAACCTATGCGAGAAGGAAGGTTCGTATTTTTCTCATAAATATTACCAAACCCGTCGTATTAAAATGCAAATATTTTCCAGAAAACCAAATCGGTCTTCAGAGATCGTTCAAATAGTACTATCGGAGGGAATGCGGCCAGTTTGGAAGATGAAGCACGTCGCATTTCACCTTTCTCGGCTCACCAAGTCGACCAACAAAACGGGTTTGGAGACGCCATCTTGGAAGGCGAAGACGATGGATTCCTTCACGGTGATCAGAATGGAGACGCTCACATGGAGCCTGCTGGCATTACCATCTCGTCAGAGGACCAGTGCGACGAACTTGACGACGAGGATCTGGCAAGCAATGGTTACGCATCGCTCCGTCATGGTGATGTTTCGGGGCACAATAGTCCACGGCACGCACGTAGCAGTTCCGAGTCGACCTCAGTTTCTGATGAGGATGAACGGAAAGTAGAACTTGCTCGGCGTGATAGGAAACGGTTACGACAACTTCATCGAATGATGCCTGCAGTAATGGTTGCTCGCCTGAGTGAGCAAAACCCGTTTGCCAGAAGGAGGCCAGCTCGATCGCGTTCAAAATCAGCCATGAGTGCGGGGGACAACAGTGGAAATGATGAGCACAATTCACTGGCTCCAGGGAGATCGCGGATCTGGAAGCGTTCAAGTACTACGCGAACTGGTTACATTGAAGGAGATTCGGAGAGCTCTGATCTAGAGCCATTCGCCGGCAACAATCGTCCTGAGAACGTGGTAAATGTAGAATCGTCATCAGAGTCGGACAAATCCGTGACGAGCCCGTCTAGCACCGAGTCCAACGGCGACAGCCTGGAGCAGTCGGTTGCCGATGCAGGATACTTTGACTATGACTTTTCAAGGCAGCCCATGCGTTGGAAGGAAGAGCCCTTAATTGATCACATGTTGTGTCGGACACGTACGAAGCGACCCTCCTCAAGGAAGAGAGGCCAAACGCGTAATGCGGGCGTGCAGAACGATGTCGGCGCACATTGCCTTAGAAGCGGCGGACTGGAAGTCAACATACTGCCACCACGACTACGCCAGCGCTCTGGGAATGGCCACATCGCGCGAACCAAGCAAACAAGACTCCCTTTCGAGTCTAGTCCTAAATTCACGACATACGACTCGGACGAGGATGAAATCAATCTGGCAAGGGGGGAAACATATCCTAGAGGTACGGAGCACTACGTGGGCGCGACTCCTAAACCAAAGGAGCACGAACAAGCCAAGAAGATGACGAAGAAAGAGAAGCGAGAAGCCGCTCGGAAGAGCACATTACACACCTTCACGAGCCAAAGAAAAGGTATTGATAACGGTCGGAGGAAGGGCTTTATGCGTGTACAAATTGATATGGCTGATGATGGTCTGGAGCAAGCATTCAACCCACTACATCCGACCAAAACTGAGCAGAAATCGCGGCCTTTCATCAGAGCGGCGTCTGCTCCTAAACAACGTTTCTATCACCGGGGAAATGACGGCAGTAGTGGACAGCCTGCTCTAAAACAAACTTCCTTGCACGATTATTCCGTCGATGACGGTCCGACAACGGATATCTGTGAATGGTCGAATGCAGTGAGGCAACCCGGCGGGCGGTCGGCTACTTCTGTATGGCATGAAGACGCTAGGGTTCAGACTTGCACATTGGATGTGAATATCGCCGGGCCTACTCCCGGGCTGGCGTTTGGTGGCTCAACTTACCTTGGGAAACAGCTTCTTCCCAACTTGCTCGACTTTGTCAAAAACGGAATTCTCTCGCTTCCGAACCCATATACAGGCTTTGGCCTTATTGACCTTGATGCAAATATGTCCGTTGGCCGCCTTGTCGATTCTTTAGAGATAGCAAGTAACCTACTGTCTGAATGGCTCGACGATGATTCTGCTCAAGCAACGGATGAGGACAATGTACGCCGACATGAGCACATGATTCATTCGCTCTGTCATTTCACGGCTTGGGTCTATACTAATTACGAAGAGAGGGAGACTATCCACACAGCCGTCTCGTCCTGTGCTGCTCGGATCACGGAGAAGCTGCGCGAGAAGGTGGGAAGGTTTTCTATACAGGCATCCTGTCTTAACATACCTTGGCTTGCCGTAATATGGTTTGTTGTCGAGATCACGACAGTGCTGTTTGCGGCCGCTCGGAGACAGGCATTGTCACTGGATACCAGCTGCTGCAAAGAATCTCTGACACTCTTGATCAAGAGCCTGAAGGACTATGGAATGGGAAAAGCCCTGGACCCAATAGAGGCACGTGAAGTATCGAGCCCAACTGTGCCTTTACGCATCGCAGAGCTCTGGGTTTGCCTAATCCATTTGTTGCCCGAGATCAATGTTCTGTACCAGGAGCATTCAGGTAATGATAGCGTCTTTTGGTCACTTGTACTTCCAATAACCAAGGACGACAAGGAATCCACATTGAAGAGTGTGGAATTCAGTGAGCGACTGTGGAAGTTCATCTTTGGCCTATCCGCATTGTCGCACTTCTCTACCCATGGTATTGCTACCACTGATCCTCGTCTACCTCCATCGTGGGAGATCGTTGGCCTTGCTCTGGATGCTATCCGTCTTACTCATGACTCAGAAAGAGACTCGTTCGTGCCACGCGAGAGCCTGAAGCGTCGAGACAGGTACGTACGTATGGTCGTAGCACGTTGCTTCCTGCTCGGTACAAAGTGGAAATGGCCGCTGGCCGACGCACACGCGATGTTCAAGAGACTCGTTGACATTTTCAGAAGTCGAAATTTTTCGAACTTACTGGGAGAGGAATCGGAGTTCCCGGCGTTTCTGCGTTATCACGATCTAGCATTGTTGGACGAATTACGCACTAGCGACACAGCCTTCGGGCTGTATCTAAAACTCGTCATGAAAGCAAGCAAAAGCGACTCAAACGCCTCTAAGGACGATGCGCGTTCGAAAGCAAGGCAAGCGAAGCTGCTTTCGTTAGCAGTACCACTCAGTGGCGTCGCTTTCTCGAGGGCCCAGCCGCCTACCACGGACGAGTTATCGATGCTTATAAACCGCTTCAGCGCCATCATCATCGCTATCCTCGTCGATGGGAAAGAAACCCCTAACATTGATAAGCGTATAAGCCATGCGCGTCGGTTCATCAATTTTGTCGATGCGGATGACAGAAGCAGAGATATTTGTATTAAAGCAGCGATGTATATTGTCATCGCTGCAAACCATTTGTATCTTGGCCTTGATAGACCGCTGGCATGGCTTGGGGAGATGTGTCAGACGCTCCTAGACGAATTTCAGAGAGCGAGCGCGCCAGTTCAAGCGAAAGAACCGGGTGCGCGGAAGGCAGATAACAACCAAGGTCTTCGGCAAAGGATAGTTTTAAGTTTACATCTACTTCTGAGATGCGTAAGAAATATCTTAGACAAGCCTACGATGAGAATTGAGGAGTCGAATCCTCGATATCCTGATATTGGTTTGCTGTGTGGCCGTGAGTAGTGAGATCAGTTTCAAGCTCTGATACTAACTTATACCTTCAGCATGGATTAAGGTGTTCTCCATGAGGGAGCTTACCAATATGGTCACGACCCGGATCCAAATATTGCAACTCGTTCAATCCTTCCTTCAAGCGCGGGCAAAGGTCTTTCCATCTTCTCATCGCTTGGCGCACCCTCCGGGACCGGAGGAGAACTCGGAAAGCCAAGAAGCATACGGTGATTTCGGATTTGATGACGAGATTCTTGCTGCCCTGCCTATGGATGGTGAACAGGACGAGAACTCAAAGAAAGACAAGGAAGTGGCCAAGGTACGTTATTTAAATTTTGCATGTAAATTGTCATATGCTCAGATACTTTTAGGTCGTAAACGCGGACGTGATCCCCCACATATTTCGCCTACTCTTGCAGTATTTCAACGATCCGACCGCTTACCCCTCGGATGAAGGAAAGCTGGAAGACTTCTGGGCTAACGCTGATGATTGGATCGACTGCTGGGTTGGCTGTGCAGCCATTGTCGTGAGGAATGAAATAAGGGTACGTTTTTGCTTGTATTCTGTACTCATCATATATTCAAATCTACTTAGACCTGGGATGATTATTTGAACATCGGTTCACAGTCCTGGAGTGCAATCAGCGATTCATTCTTCCGTCGACGCGTTGCGGTTCGCTTCATGCACCAGCTTCTGAAGTGCGATCCAAAGGCGTACAATAAGGTCGGTTATCCTTCGCTTCCTTGAACGATTGGTGGTTGATCATGATCTCTTCTATCCCATTTCAGGATCGTGAAAGGCATTTCCTTGGTGTACTTCTTCAATCGCTTGTCTCGTTTAAGGTCACAATGGAGCATGAATATTCATCAATACTATTTTCCGTTGACGGACTTCGACATACAATGCTACGCGATGTACCAGTGACAAGAGCTGCAGGTAAAGACGGATTACACCTGACTCGCACGGACTTTCTACATGTACGAGAAGATATTATTACTCGTTAGTATCTCTATGTGAACAAAACCGACTGCTTCTGACCTCGGCGCAGGGATCTTTTCAAATCTCAACATGTGTCTACTTTCGAATGGTTCTGAGCGTGATAAAAACGTATTTGTTGAATGCGTGGTAGATATGCTATCATCGATGCAGGATATATGGAGGGTACGATTCAATAATGTGTCCCGTTTGCTAGTCGCAACTGAATGGCGCTATTTCAGAACCTCAGAACCCTCGAGGACCGTGACAAATACAGTGAACTCTGCCGCCACGTCTTCTCAAATATTAGGAAGCACGTACGGGTACAAGGTTTACCGCGTCTAGCAACATACCTCGCATGGGGAGCGTCGTTTGACAAGTTTGATATGTAGCTTTTCTTCACATGTTAAATTGTAGCGATAATGACTTTTGGAATAAAGTGTAAGACAAATGCGTCGTGTATCATCCTTTTTGAGTTACGTCGAGTGTGCAGTTATGGTATCGGTTGGCTCACGTGAGCTTGAGAAGTCTTGATCATGACCACCGATCGTCGCTAAGTATGGCTGACGCTGGCGATGTTGCGGGTCAGTCTCACCACGCGAGACAACCGTCGTACAACTCGTGCGATACGTCATACCCACGACTCCTTATAATGAGCTCCGTTTCTTTCTTGACCACTATCTTTGACCAGTGTAGCCCAGAATGGCGCCTGTGCATGCTCTCGACAAGTACTACCTTGGAATCACAATTCTCGTAACAACGGGTTACCAAGCCTTGGGTTTCTTCATAGCTTGGACTTTCCAGGTACCGAATGGCCTTCAAAATTTCCGTCTCTTTTTCTAATAGCCTCCCTAGTTTGACAAAATTACGGACTTCACTGGAGGTTTGCAGTTTTGATTTATTGTTAATTGCTGATGTATTAATCGGCTCAATAGGATCAAACTTCTTCATATTAGGTCCGTAATCAGTTCTGATAAACGCTTTTGATATATTCTGACAAGCTCTGAAGCTCTCCTGACTCTACTCATCGGAAATACGTTCTATGCCCGAAATATTGTTGCCAGCGTGCTGGTGATGGTCTGGGCCTCTCGTCTGGCAGGTTGGTGCTTCCGTTCTGCTGTGAGACTTCAATGCTTACTTGTTTCCAGGGTTCCTTCTCTTCCGCGTTTTGAAAACGGGGAGCGACTCTCGATTTGATGAGATACGCGCCCACTTCTTCAAGTTCATGGGTGTGTTCATTGCCGTCATGATTTACCCACGAATTACTCAATGCACTGCATTCCTTTCTTTAGGTTTCTGGATTGGCCAGATAGTCTGGGTGCGTCTAATCTCTATAACTACGCAGATTGTCATCTGTATCTCTGACTTTTCTTCAGGTCTGGACAGTCTCGATGCCACTGACAATTTTGAACTCGCCGGCTGTCTCCGACCGGTCCTTGGGCGGTTCAAATCCATCATTTGGCACGTCCAGAGATATCGCTGGAATCGTTCTATGGGCTCTCGGATGGGTGATTGAGTCCACCGCGGACATCCAGAAGGTCTGTCTCTAACAGAAGCATTTGATTATACGTATCATTAACACCGATCTCTTCAGTTCCGTTATAAATCGACAAAACCTCCAAAAGATGAGCCGCCTGCCGTAAGCCTCATTCCGGATTTCGTTTAAAAGTAGGCGGCTAATTTTCATCAGTTTGGCATTTGGAAATATTCTCGTCACCCTCCTTATTTCGGAGAGTAAGTGGTTTCAGAGTTTCATATCACCTCTTTTAGATTGAATTGGATACGATTCATTTCAATCTAGGATTATGTGTTGGTGGGGTATTTGGATCCTATGCCTTTCTCCGACCAGTGATGGAACGTTGCCCACGTCTGCCAAACAAGCGCAGTATGGTGCCATCATGTCACCAATTTTCACGACTCTGTGAGATCTCTTTTACTGCATAAAGTTTTCACACTAATTTGGTCTCTTTCAGGCTTCTGATGTTCGCCTCTGGCGTACCAACAGCGGAGAAGCCTACTGCGAAAAAGTATTATCTTCTATCGAATGGGATGCACGCCAAGGAGGAGCATCGGGAAGCGTGGAAGAAATACAAATTGTACCTCAAGTCCACTAGTGTACTTATCCCGTTGCCCCCAGCCCTATATCGCCGCCTACCGGAGATCATAAAGAAGACCGTTCTTCTCGACCTGCCTATGTATCAATTTGACGAGAAGACGGATGGACCAATGGCCATCGAGGAAGAGCGCAAGAAAGCGTCAGAGCAGGCGTAGTAATTAATAATAGGTCTTCCTAACCTAGCATTTACTTATGTATTCGATCAGAGCCGTTTTCAATACGATATGTACCGTACCAATTGCTGAACGTTGCGTTTGAACCCGAAATATTTATTGACGTCAAGTTGCCTGTCGATCAATTTCCCGAAAAAATTACGAATTAGGGTAATTTGCGCATACGCTTTAGTGTTTCCGTCCCGCGCCATCACCTCGTGCTGAGGCGCGTCGTCTCCATGCACGTCGACCCATCTCACCTGCCATGTCGGTGGACTTGACAGATCCAAATATCACCTCTGTTTATGACGACATTATCAAGAACAGAGACAAAGACTGGTACTGCTTAACTTACTGCGCTGCGAACTATATACGTCCTAGCTCATTTGTTTCTTTCTCACCAGGTTATTACTGACGTATGGCCAGTCAAGAGACAAGCTTTCGCTCCTGGAGAGTGGTATTGGGACATTTAACGACCTTTGCGGTGCTGTTCCTCGATCAGAAGACGTGTACTTTGGATTCTGCCGTGAAAGAGATGGCGATAATAACTACTTCGCGTTGATCGCCTTTGTGCCAGAAGGCGTGTCTGGTGTCAAGCGAGGTGAGTTACCATCCTTCAGATTCTGACTGCCCACCGGCTAGATTAACATCTGGTTCGTTGCGACGAAGCTAGGGCCCTGGTGCACTCTCGAGCTGTTGGATCACTCTTCAAGGTATATGCCTCACTACCATCATCGCTTGATACTCATATTTATTCTTCTCAGGCAGCAAATATTTCTATGAATGTCTCTAACCTCGACGTGGATAATACCTCAAAGCTTCGCGAACGTCTCCAGCTTGGGCCGTCCTATATACCTCGTCTAGCACCTAACGTTAATCATCCTGTACAGCGAAGCGCGTCTATGCCTACTGAACCACGCTCGTCACCAGAACCAGCGAAGAACAACATGAAGGGTCTCCCGCAGTCCCCACGGGCCCGGGTGGTTGCTTCAGAGAGCCAAGCACGAAAGCTGCCTTCATTAAGCCACGATTTACCTCGAATTCCGTCTGAATTCGACGAGGATCCGCCAGCTACTCCTCCGAAAGATATTAGCCAAGGACGATCTGCATCGGCTTTCGTAAAGAGCGCATCGACAGGATCTACATTTGATACTTCCCACCAGCGAGTGACTAGCTTCATGTCCGATGGGGATGAAGTCGTCATTAGTCCTGGTTCCCTGAACAACCGAGGAAGCAATGGATTCTCACTTCCTCGATCTCCTCCACGCGTTGTTAGTCCATCCGAGAGAGCGAGGCTGCGGCTTGAAGCGCAGAAAAAGCGAGAAGCTGAAGAGTTGCAAGCTCAACGAGAAGAGGCTGAACGTCAGGAACGTTTGAAACGACAAAAAGAGGAAACATTACGACAGGCTCAAGAAGAGGAGGAACGACGACGTGCAAGGTTGGAGGAAGAGAAGCAACGAGCTTTGGCTGAAAGAGCTCGTCGGGAGCGAGAGGCGCAATTAGAGGAGGAACATAGGCTCCAGGAGTTGGAAACCCGAAAGCGACAGGAAAAGGAACGGCGCATGCTTCAGGCGAAGCGTCTTGATGAGGAACGCCAGGAAGCCGAGAGGCGTGCTGCCGAAGCGGCTAAGAGACGGGAGGAGCAACGCCGTGCCTCAGATGTCATGAGGAAGCAGCGCATGAAGGAGATTCAGGCGAAGTTTGCACAGGCAGGCCGGCTTGGGTCGGCTCCCGCCTTACTCTCAGGTGCCGTAACCGTGCAAACGAGTGTGTCAAACAGCTGGAAGAGAAGGTTTTTTGAATTGAAGAGTGACTCGCTCATCTTCTATCGGGATTCTCAGGTGCGCTTCTAAGTTCTCCCATGCTAAAGTTTAGTACCCCGGAGTACCTTTACTTATTCGCACTTCCGAACTTTCAGGATAAGACGGTGGCCCTCGATGTCATGACGCTTACCGGAGGGCGAGTCCGTGCCATCAAAGAGCCTAACGAGGGTTATGATGAGCTTGAGGCAATACCGTACTCGTTCGTTGTGGAGTTTACGGATGGTGAGGGTCCCTGGTGCATGTTTTGTGACAGTTCAGAGGATAAGGTTAGCATCGTGTTTTCATTGCCTTGCACTGCATGGGGGTCTAATGATAGTCTGCACAGGACATCCTCATGAGCCTGCTTAGCCAGACTGCCGGACTGTCGTGATGGACGCTTGGATACCCAGACTTTGAATATCTATGTCTATGTTGTTTTGGATACCAGATTGTTTACTTTTAATGTCATGTTTTTGGGTGCTTTTCTATGCTATGCTATAAGACTGTTTGCTGTAGTTGAATGGGAGTGATGTGATTGGTCATTTAATACCTCTCTCGGCGCGGAGAGAGCCGTGTAGTCACGTGCATACCATCATTAGTCAGCGAGCTTGAGGACGAAAGCAGTTTTTTTCGTGGAGACGCGCTCATCCTCTCCTCTCCCACCAACATCCACGAACACTCAATCGTATACTTGATCCCCATTTCTTTTCTCTCCATAATTCCTCTTAGTATGTCAAATGGAATTGTAAACGGTACCGACGGTCTCGAGAGTCGCTTTGGTGAGCCCTCTGCACTCCTTTTCTCGCTCTTCTTCCCCGTCTAATCGTCTCTTTCAGCGTCTCTCGGCATCAATGGCACTCGATCTGCTTATGTCCCTCCTCATATGAGGAAAGCGCAGCAGGCTGCTCCCTCGCCCCCTCCGAGCAATACTGGGTATGTTGTGTTTTTCCTTGCGTCGTGAATGTCAAGCCTGATCCTCCATCTTGTCCCTGCAGGAACGGCTGGAACGCTCCGAACAACGCCCCTCCTTATCAACCGCGTGGCAACTACAGCGGCGGCTTAGGTGGCGGAAGAAACAACTATAGCCAAGGCTATGGCGGTCGCGGAGGCTGGGACTCTCCCAGAGATAACAGCGGCGGTAGAGGTGGCAGAGAAGACGGCCGCTGGGTTGATGGGAAACATATTCCTGGTCCCCGAAACCTCCGCATCGAGAAGGAGCTCTTTGGTGATGCCGAAGATCCCTCCAAGCAGCACACCGGAATCAACTTCGAGAAGTACGACGACATTCCCGTTGAGGCGACGGGCGCTGGCGTCCCCGAACCCATTACGGAGTTTACGAACCCACCTCTGGATCCCGTCCTCTTAGAAAACATCGCGTTCGCTCATTACACGACGCCGACTCCCGTTCAAAAGTATTCTATCCCAATTGTTGCTGCTAACAGGGACTTGATGGCGTGTGCTCAGGTGAGTAACATGAGAACTTGAGCCCTCTGAGAAATTTGATTTTGCTTATCAATATTATGATTTTACTCAGACTGGCTCCGGAAAAACTGGTGGATTCCTGTTTCCCATCCTTTCTGCATCATTTGTTGAAGGCCCTCGTGCGCCTCCTCTTGATATGGGCGGTGCGTACGGACGCCGCAAGGCTTTTCCTACCACGCTTATTCTGGCACCAACTCGCGAGTTGGTCAGTCAGATCCATGACGAAGCCCGCAAATTTGCCTACCGCTCTTGGGTCCGTACTGCTGTCGTCTACGGTGGTGCTGATATTGGGGCTCAGTTGAAGCAAATTGATCGTGGGTGTGACCTCCTGGCTGCCACGCCGGGACGTCTCGTTGATCTGATTGAACGTGGGCGCATCAGCCTTGCGAATATTCGCTATCTTGTCCTTGACGAGGCGGATCGTATGCTTGACATGGGTTTTGAACCTCAGATCCGTCGTATCGTTCAGGGTGAAGATATGCCTGATGTTCATAATCGTCAAACGCTTATGTTCAGCGCCACGTTCCCGCGCGACATCCAAATCCTAGCCAAGGACTTCCTCAAGGACTACGTTTTCCTTTCTGTTGGTCGTGTTGGCTCTACCTCGGAGAATATCACGCAGAAAATAGAATATGTTGAAGATCCGGATAAACGCTCCGTCCTTCTGGACATCCTCGCGTCTCAGCCAAGCGGACTTACCTTAATTTTCGTGGAAACGAAGAAAATGGCGGACATGCTTTCTGACTTCCTAATGGTAAACCAAATCCCTGCAACATCTATTCACGGCGACCGCAGCCAGCGCGAACGTGAAATGGCACTTGCGACATTCCGTCAAGGACGCACTCCGGTTTTAGTCGCCACTGCTGTTGCTGCCCGCGGACTCGATATTCCGCATGTCATGCACGTTATAAATTACGACTTGCCTTCTGACATTGATGATTACGTGCACCGTATTGGTCGTACTGGTCGTGCCGGAAACACCGGTATTGCGACTGCGTTCTTCAACCGTGGAAACCGCAACATTGTTCGCGACCTTGTTGAGCTGCTTCGTGAAGCAAACCAGGAGGTTCCGAGCTGGCTCGACGCCGTCGCCCGTGAGTCCTCGTTTGGTGGCGGAGCATACCGCGGACGCGGCGGTGGAGGCCGTGGTAGAGGCCGTGGGGGTACTCGTGACTACCGTACTGGAGGCGGAGGCGGAGGCGGCTATGGTGGCGGAGGCTTCGGCGGTCCTCGCATGAATGGCAGTGGTGGTATGGGCGGCGGATATGGTGGTCCCCAGTACGGCGGAGGAGGATACGGCGGCGGCCAAGGAAGCTGGTGGTAATTTATCCGCCGTTTTCCTTGAAGCCTGGGCAACTGGCCCTAATAATCAATCATATGGCGCAACGTCCATTCTATGCTTCCGAATTATGAGCCTATGGTCACTCCGTGGTGCCGCACACCATTCTATGCCTTCGTACTCTTTTCTCTTTAATTTCTTGGAACAATTCCGCATACTTATCACTTCTGCATTATTACCGCGCTGCTCTCGCACGATTATGACGATCGTCTCTACGCTTTCTTTCTTTCTGCAATCTGCTCATAGATGATATTTTTTGGCCCTAGATTATTCGTCTTCGCAATTCCCACCCATCCAAGCACTTCATCACTGTCGACTGATCTTTAGAGGGCGGGCCAGACCGCATCATCTGCACGAGCAGATAGTACCATACATATAAAATCCCCTGTAATTTGCATAGCGAGAGACATTTTGTGCTAGAGCATCGTGTATTGTAGTCTGTTTCCTTACTGCTGCTTGCCCTGCTCGCTGTACTGCGGGCGAATACCACTCTGTATTTGCTGCACTGTAAATGTAGAAAGAAGAGTGCTTAGTGATGTGTGCTCGATGGGGCAGATTAAGTCCACGCTGATCGGTGATCCTCGCCTCGTCCGCACACGTCGACGTCGCCAGCACCTGCCTCCTGGCTGCCTGCCCTCCATCCATCCCGAGGCCGCCATCATGGCCGACAATATCCTTCCACAGGCGGCGCACCACACTCGTGCGTCGCCCATCTTTGACGTCCCAGAGTTCCCTCCACTGCGGAGGGTCATCCCGCTCCCGAAGCGCAGGCGCACCCTCATCGATCCGACACCTGTCCACTCTCCACAAGGTGCTCAGCGCCAAGACAGAAGTGACAAGCAAGAGACTACGCCAGACGAACTTGCAAGCGCACTGTCGACTTCTATGGCTCTAAACTCATATTACATGCCTCTTTTCCATGGTGGAACAGACTTATTTAAAGACGACATCGATCCCCGCCACGTCAACCCTACTGAATTGCTGTCACAGACAAATAGCGTTCCTACTAGCTATAGTTTCAATGGGGGACGAGAGGAAGGGGATCGTGAGGAAGCAGGGTACATGGACCACCTAACCCAGCCTGGGAATACGAAAAAGCGCAAGGTGCCTGTTGCAACACACCCGCGTGGAGGAGACGACGCGGCTGCAGACGGCGTAGAGGATTCCGCTGATGGTACTTTCGCTGCAGACCGAGGCGTGGCAGAGCTCGTCAATGTCGTACCCCCTGTTCCGCCACCATTAGCCATTTCATCAAGGAAAGGTAGACTCAGCCGAGCTACGCGGGCGGGCCTGCAGCTCAAAGAAATATTGAAAAGCCGAAAGCGTCAATTGGCAGCTGTACTTGGAGCTTTGTCACACAATGATTCGTTTGCATTGGATCAAGCTCTTGCTACAAGTTATCCGATCGAAACGCATTTGAAGGGCAATGGCGGTCTCTATACTGATATCACACCAGTTCGCCTGTCTCGTCGACCTGAGCGAAGGAAGGCTCGTGCTATCTTGATAGCGAACAGCAAAAGGTTACCCGCATCTGCAGTAAATGAAAACGCCGGACTCCCTGAGGTTGACTTTTCGTTCGTCTTTGACAGTCCCAGTGAGTTCTACCCGCACATTGTCCGCATCCCTTCAATCTAAATTCGTGCTGCGTCAATTCAGCATCCGAACGCGTCCATGCAGCAAATGAGGAGGTTGCTTTCCTACAGAGTCGGTTTGAGGCCGAATATGCCAGACAACAGGCAAGAGCTGCCGAAGCAGCGCGGCAGGCCGCTCTCGTCGTCAGTCAGATGCAAAAGACAAAACGCAACGAACTCTCCCAGCAGCGAACCCGCATCGCTGGACAAATCACAAGTGCTAACGGCGACTCAACACAAACGAATTCGGAAAAGATGGTTACGAGCTCTAAATCCAAGTCAAAAAAGAAGAAGCGTTCTGCTTTGGCCAATGCCTCGAACCCGCACCATCTGCGCAATTACGTTCCCTCCCGCCTGCCTAATTCTGGCCCGCTGCATTCTACCCAGACGACTATCAACTCGCAGAACCACCTCGGCTCCCCTCCATTGCGTTTCTTATCTGCACAGCTCTCCCCTCGGGTTCGGTCGGCAGGCGGACCACCTCCAACGGCAAGCTTAACAAGCCCGGAAGACGAATGGATCTGTCCATTCTGCGAATATAGCCTTTTCTACGGTGATGAACACAACTATCGCCGAGCTGTACGTCAGCGAAAGAAAATTCTGTCACGCAGACGACGTGCGCTTGAGCGTGCGGCAGCTGCAGCCGCGGGGCGAAAGAAGGGCGTAACTTCTCCGGTAAAGGAGGAGTCAGTGGGTGACGACCTAACGGAGCCATATGACGTTTCATCTCCAGAAATACAGGCTGCCGCGAAACAGTACGGTGTTCGCGAGGAACAGGATAGAGACAGGGACAAGCGCGGAGAACGTGGGAGGGTGTAGGAGAGAGATGCTGGGTTGGGCTATGGACGGATTTTGTCTAATGACGTTCGCCTTTAACAATTCACTCACACGCATCAGGTTTCATGGACATTGATTGCACATGCACATGTTAAAAACTCTTCTTGCAAGCGTTTCGGTACAAATAATAATATTACATCATATGTTCTTAGATTTTTATGAAAATATAATTTGCATTTGCAATAAATGAGAGTTCACGCTGAATGAGAAAAGATGAGCCGCATTGAGGCAGAATGGACCGGGATTCTGTTGCCGAGACGGAGCCTGTGTGCTGGCCGTGCGGGAGTGACGGCAATCAAGTGCAAGTATATGAGCGATGGGTCTTCTGTGGGTTCCTTGCAATACATAACTGCTGGACCCATCCCTGGCCCGTGCATCCGTGCATCGGGCAGAAAGAAGACAGAAGGGAGAAGCTCGAGCGTGCGCGTCTCGAAGTGGTGTCCATCCTGACGACCGCCTTCCCCTGTCTCTCGTCCTGTAACGGAGAGGCCCTGCGACCTGTCCATTCCGCCCCGCGATCCTGCAAATTATGCCTATCTGGCATCGGATCTTTCCAGTGTCCTTTAGATATAATTCAAGGGTTTGCTGCCCTGCGCTAGCGCGAATCAAGCGTTCCGTAAACACTACCTACTACTCTCGCTCGACACATAATTTAAAGCTTTTCGGACCTCTCGGCGCCTGGTCCAATCTCTATCTCCTGCCATCGCCTTGCTCCTTGGGCTGCCTCTGGGACCCCTGCTGGGGAGCCGCGCGGGCCCATTGATACTTGCGTGGAAATAAATTGTAAGTGTTCCCGTTTTTGATAGCGGCTGATAAATACGTGAGGCACGACACGACATATATACTTGTTCTGCATGTGGCAACCAAGTAGTGTCTCAGTCTCTGAGAGCATCCGGAAGCGCCTTCCCTGCGTGACAGACCCCTGTCTAATTACCGCTTCTCCTCCCCCATCGGCGTCTCCTCTTCTTTTTTATTTTCAATGTGCTTGACTGAGTAGTATTCCGCTCTGACACCCAGCTGTTATTTTCTCCACGTGTGCGGGTGCCGTTATGTTGCAGAAATTATAACAGTGCCCAATTCCAAGCCATGTCTCCTTCTCCCTCCAGCGAACGATCGCACCAGTCGGGTGCACCACCTTACCCGGCGGGGCGCAGGACAATGTATGGCGCGTCGCAATCTGCCCGACAAACACAATATTCTTCCCTCGGCGACGCGCTAGGCGGTATGCGTCAGCCGCAGCAGTATCCAGGAAGCGGCCAAAGCTCCGAATACCCGCCTCCGCCGGTTTCCAGTGGTTCAGTTCCTCCTCCGCACCCACACATGTCCCCCGACGGAAGAACACAATTTACACCCTCCGGACTCCCGTCATACGACTACCCCTACCAAGCCGGTTCTTACGAGCCGATTAGTCAATACGGACATTCTTCATTACCGCCGATGCGCACCGGTTCGCCCGCGGCGTACACGGCACTAAATCAGTATAATCCTCACAATCCACCATACGCTCCGCCATACATTCAGGCGACTCCGTACGTCCTACCGGATGAAGACTGGGGCCAGTCGCCGCAGAGTTTTCAGCCGCCGGACGCGGTACCGCCAATGTTCGTTGCCGGTCGAAGCGACGTCGGTGCCAGTCCACAGGTCGATTCTCGATCATATTCACAACCTCAATATACTACTCCCCCGATAAATGTTCATCCAGAGGAACGTGGTTCATTCTCAAGCGAGCTGTCGCCCTCGTCGAAAGGCAAGGCGCGTGAGCTTGAGGGCGGACGCGTCTATCGATCACCTTCTAGTACATTCGTCCCGCCTACAGTGGATTATAAAGAGGTACCTGAGTCAGTCAATTTTTTTTCTTCGTCGCTGACAGTATTTTTCCCTCTCTCTTTTGTCTTGCAGTTAGTAAGCACGTATTGGCACCTGTACAGTGAATGTGCTGCCATCCCCCAGCGTGACGCACCAGGTAGCCCACATTCACTAGAGGCAATTGAGAATATGATTCGGACTGCCAAGGTTGGACTCCAATTGCTTCAACCAGGGTCCGCACCCGACATCACCGCCCAACACCGACGCACTAGCGAAGAATCGAGGAACAGCGCCGAGCTAGGAAACGTCTCACCCGATTTACCTGCCAAACGTCAGGTTAGTGTGATTTCTTGATCAAGAGAATTGTAATAAATGAGCTGAGCTGTATTGTAACATTCAGGCAGAGTCAGCGCCTGCCCCTGACGGGCAAAAGTGCCTTGGATGTGGAGCTACCGCGACTCCCGAATGGCGTCGAGGTCCACTTGGTACGCCAAAAATCTTATTCGAACCAACGTGTTTTCCGCCTGGCTTTTCCTGAAACAATTAAATTTATTTTTTATTTAGGTCCACGGACGTTGTGTAACGCTTGCGGTTTGGTTTACGCCAAAATGGTACGTGCGCCTGAGCCTCTTGTCAAGCGCTCGCCAATTTTGATATTCAAATGCAAATTCTATCAGATTAAGAAGCGAGGAAACGATGTTCGACCAAATACGGGTAGTACGACAAACCATACTCAACAACGCGGTGCGCCCTCTCAGTCAGCAGCTGACGAGGCGCCTTCACTTGATAGTCCAGAGGGGAACAGTGACGATGAACTATCTTACGGATCACAGGAGCCCCACTGATAATACAATTCCACCAACCTCTAAAGGTTTAATGCGCCTGTGCTATTTTCGATTTTTTCCCGTATATTCATACCTAATTTCTGGACGTAATCTGCGTAATTCTCTGGGTAAAGGCTATACACTCTTCGTTATTTTAGCACTGCGATTATCTGTACACCTTCGACATATTATTTCTGCCTCGCCTCGTGATGCTCCGCCGTGACTCGCGCTACGATCGTCGCATGGCTCTACCGTTTCTGGAATTGATCTTCAATGTTCAGCCCTAGACAACGGCGAGACGGACGGAACACGAAGCACCCGCACGCTCAAGGAAGGACCATCAATAACTTCTTAACTGATTACGGAATGACGTGCCGGATGCCACGACGAGAGGACCCTGCTTCTCATCTAACCCATCTAACCAGACAATCCGCACATTCAAACCATATCTCCTCGATCGCACGGCGGCAGTGTTGCGGGCAGACAGGCAAACATGTAGCATATGTATTTTTTCCTGAAACATGTCAGTACGCCCCCTCATTTACCTCTTTTGTTTACCAATTTCCGCAAAACGTGTTTGAGATGGCTGACAATTTCTCTCGGTTCACTTTGTTCTTTTATTTCTTAATTTAGAGTCTATACATAGTTTATCAAAACGTCTTACGTCTCTCTCGTTCTATTGTGTCGAGTCAGGTTCCTTCGTGTCTTCCATTACAGTATCACTGTTCGCTCGTTACTTTAAATCCAATCATAGCTCATCCGTGCGTACGGATTCGCAGGGACCAAATAGCTGGGATCGAATTGGATGCTATTATCTTGGCGCGCAGCGCTGTGTCTCCGTAACCTTACGTGTTTGGCATTACCATGATAATGGATTCTCGGATGTCCAAAGTGAGCAACTCGAAAAGACCTGACCTTACCTGTGGGAAAGGATGCACACGCAATTCACCCCCTTCGGAGAACTTCGATTGCCATTGGCAACCGGGCAAGAAGAAGGGAGCTCAACCAAGCAATGGATGGGTGCGACTTCGATTGATACTTACACAATGGTCAATTCAGTCCCTTGTCCGGTTCATTGATGGAGAGGGTCCATTATGTCGTACGCCCCGGAACAATTCTATACAAACCATTCCTTCATTACGTTTAAGTTTTGAAAACGAAACGCTTGGGACGGGAGCCAGCGGGTTTGAGGCGTCCCCCGTCCCTTACCCTGCCCTCGGGACATATATTGTATCCCGAAACTCAATATACGTACGTACATTATTGAAGTGTTTGTGCCTTTCTTTTGATTTTGTCTATATGTGTGTTCGCAGATATCAGTCGTTCATTACTCATTCATTTCACTCAATGAGACTTATGCCGAATTGAATTACGGTGGGTGAATCGGGTGGGGACCGTGCGTACCCGACTTGCCGTGTAGTCATATATAGATATGTTTGGCAAAGTATAGGTATGCTTCAATAATGATGGGAGAGATGCACTGGCTTGTATGTATGTATGTATATACCAGGCGAAGCTGATGGCGCTGTAACACGAGGCTCACATCAACGTCGTACATGGGCTTCTCTGGCTTCTGACTTCCCGATGGGCCCGGTCGCAATTTACTTCAAACTCATTGACTAAAAGTAGGTTTTATCACTTGCTCTTTACGGTGCTAGAGTGTTGTGATTGGAGGAGAGAGGGCCCTCTTATATATAAAAAGCATGCGCATAGTATATGGTTTGATGCAAGTCGCGGATAAAAACTAAGAAACCAGAGACCATCGTCCTAGCAGGCTTTTGAGCGGGACTCGGAGTTTTGTGCATGCAATTGGTTGTTAGGCTAGCCACTTGGATAGGGGCTTGGTAAGGTCGCTGTTTCCCCCAGACTTCCCGCCGGTATACGAACGCATCAAAGTATACCTTCCCCTACTTTTCCTGCTCTCTCCCCCACCACGATAAAGCCACCGAGGAGAAGCCACTTCGAGGAAGTCCATACCCATACTCGGACTGGGAGAAAAAGCAAGAAAAGGGAAAGGAAGGGAAGACAAGAACCAAGGAAGCCGATTTGCAAGATCTACCTGTCCACCCCTTTCTTTAAGTTCTTTCAATCCTTAAAAGCTTCGCGGCCATGTGCGCAGTACACATGCACATGCATGCGCATACTTCTTCTCGACTTTAGCTGAGAAGCACATAATTGCATATTACCTGCTTCGACCGTTCCCTTCTTCCTTTCCAATCTTCGACGTCTTGATAGCCTGATACCATCACCCGAGTTTCAAAACATGGGAATTTTCTTATTTCACACACGCTGCGGAGAAAAGGCGGGAGCATTTCATGGCGTTGTTCGTTACGAAGAAGCTGAGATAAAGATACACTGAGGTACATCTACGTTAACACCTGTCCGGACGCAAGCATGACGAGGAAACACAGATTGAAATACATGGCAAATTGGAAAAGAAAAAGTGGAAAGAATAACATTCATCGATTCGGTGGGGCTCCACCACGTCCCAACCCCTGCATTTGCTGATATTGCTGGAGTGTCATGTTTGCAGGCATAGTTGGCATCTGTTGCTGCCCGTTTGGTCCGACTTGGGGCATTCCTCGACCCATGCTTCGCTGAGTCTGGGCCTGGGCCTGGGCCCAAAGGAATTGCTGTTGCTGCTGTAGAGTCAACTGACCCATCTGACCCATCTGACCCATCTGGCCCATTTGGCCCATATGCATATAATTGAGAGGCATCTGGACGCCGGCGAAGTTTTGCTGTGTTCTGGGAGCTTGATCGTGCGCGGTCTGCTGGATTGTTTGGGTATTGCCACCTTGTGGATTCTGCTGTTGCTGCGGCGCCGGTGACACATGACCTTGCTGTTGCATCTGCGCTTGATGCATTGCCTGTGCGTGGGCCGCCTGCGCTTGTAGCGACCTATACATGGCCATACGTTGCTGCTGGTACTGGAGGACTGCCTGGGGATTCGCGCTCGCACCTGGTTGCATCATCATCGCCTGGCTGCCCGGGATCGGCTGCTGAGGTTGCTGGGGTTGCTGTTGGACTGGAGCTGGTGTCTGTCCTGCAACTGGCCGTGCGACAACTGGGTGACTTCCAACTAGCGGACTACCACGCATGACTTGGTTGCTTGTTGCTACCGGTGTGCTCTGCCTTGACATCATCGCTGCAGCTACAGCCGGCGGTACCATAGGGCTCCGTGCTAGCGCCGACGGAGGTGGTGCGGGCGAGGAACTTGGGTTGTTCACAGTAATAGGCGTGTTTCGACCACTCTGTGCCTGTCTCTGCGCTGCAATGGTCGCAGCTGCAGCCTGTGTCATGGCCATTGTTGGTCTACCGGTCTGGTAGAATTGTGCCATATTTGCAGGAATCTGTGCGAGACGCGGTTGAGCCTGTGCCTGTACCTGCGTTGGATGTGCAATTGGCTGTGGTGCGGGCTGCTGCGGTTGTGGTTGCGATGCTGGCTGCGGTTGTGTTTGCGGTTGAGATTGAACCGGAGTCTGCGTCGGTATTTGTGTTTGAGTCTGCGGTTGACTCTGATTTACCGGTTGTTGAGTCGGCAGCGAAGAGGTCGCAACAGCAGGAGTGCTAGGTTTAACAACTGTCGAAGGTCGGCGCCGACCAGGGGGAAGAGCAGGGTTGAGGAAATTGGCCGGAGGTAATGGGGGGTTGAACTGAGTCGGTTGAGGTCGAGTTGGCTGAGGAACTTGAGCTTGAGGCGGTTGGCTAACCGCGCTCGCCTGCGGCGGAGCGGCAGTTTGCGACGGTGGGCGTTGTGGGAGAGGCTGACTTGCGGATTGCTGTTGTTTTGAAGGCGACTGCCTATGGGCAGGATCAATAGCAGGTGGCGCCTGCGTCTGGGGGACTGTGGTGGGTGCGGGTTGTGGAATCGTGTTCGTATTTGTTTGTGAGTACGACGTGGTAAGTGTGGGTGCGATAGGCGCGACAGGCGCTGAAGGCTGATGAATTCAATTCGGTTAGCACTAGAATATTAGCGGCTTTATGGAATATTCTTACTTTTTCAGGTGCTTGTTGGCGAGTCAGGTTCTGCGGAGCCATAGTACCAGAAGATATGTTGTTTGGAACTGATGTAGTCGTCGCAGGCTGTGAGGTCTGCTGAGAGGCTGCCGCTGCACGCTTCTGTTCCATAACTGAGAGAATTTTATAACTATATTGAAAGATAGTGAGTATGGAGTTACAGAAACCAGTCAGGAAACGTACCTAGGATGAAATGGCTTATGCGTATTGCTAAATTGCGGATTCATGAACTGCATAATCTTCGCACGTTTGGCCTTCTCGGTTTCGTCTTCTTCGATGTCAACCATAGCAGTTGCCTTGCGTTTTAGTGAATTCGGAACGTTTGGCGTGGAGACACGGAGAATACTATTAACAACTCGTGTCAAAGACGGATCCGGATCCAGACATAACGGAGCCGAAGTACACAACTATATCATAGATAAGAGTTCTGGCAATTCGTCAGTCAATGGGTGGATAAGAGCATACCAGAATCTTTGATTCGACTAGTAGAGCATCCATATCTGACCATTTCGACCCCGTCTTCTCGTTCATGTTGCAAATGTCTGCCCATATTGTTTCAGCGTTAGGTCGCAGTACTACGCGCTGCTTATCTGGCTTCTCCAGTACTGGTTCCTTCGCCCTTGCAGGTCGGAAATCCAAGAGTTCAACAATTAAGCACCCTTTAAATCCAGTCGTGAACAAATATGTCTCCCAGCCCATCGCCACGATAATGACAACATACCATTATAATACTGTATACCTGCCTCGTCGAAAACTTTAATGAAGTCAGTAGGTATCCTGAAGGCCCGTATATCTTCCAGAATTGACTATATTGTTAAAGTCAGATACTGATATTTATGGTGTTAACTCGTTCCGCACCGAAACAGAATTATTATATGAGAACTTGGGTCCGTGATTGAGAGTCCAGTAGTCAGGATAGAGATTTGCTGAGAAAGACGGAGGGTGCTTCTCATGCACCTCGAGCAGTGCGATGTCATCGCGCATAATATTGTAACCACTCGTCTTCATCGTTGGTGGTGGTCGAGCGGAAGGTGAAAGCGCGAGTCACTGACGGTGGATGGACATGTGACTGACGCGGATTGGGCACGTGGTGGCTGTGTCAGCAGTGAGTGAGCGAAATTTCGATCCGAGGTACACTCCATTGAGTCCATTCTGCTCGTATCCGACGTGATGCAGAACGAACTGAAAGAGGTATTTGCATTGAAATGAATCACAGTAGGCTCAGAACTGACATGCAACTTGTGCAGCTTTTACAGTTCCTTCATGATAAAAACCCTCAAGTCCGTCAAATTGCACTCGCCAATCTAGTCGGACATACAACCAAGGGCTCGCTGAATAGGAATATATTCTTTGCTGGACTTGGAGCCGGGGGGCTGAGCAAGGATAACGAAAATGATTGTATCCGAGACTTGAAGCTACTTTGCCGTGATCAGTTGGTAAGTCTGCGCATATAGTGTATATTCCTCTAAATTTTATGTACAGGGGAATTTATAGGCGATTGCACACGATGCGTTTCGTGCTCTAGTCAACCTTTCAGATTCCTCAACCCTTGCAATAGCACTTTCTGAACCTAGCTTTCTGACATTTCTTGTGTCCTACATTCTCGTTAGTCCGGTTGATATATTGCATTTCTGAACTTTGTGCACTAAAGCGCCTTACAAAGAACCCCGCATCAATCCTAGCAGATCTTGCCTGCATGATGCTCTCAAATGTTACGACGACATCAGTAGCATGTTCAACTTTGTTATCTCTGAAGATACCGGTTATACCTCTACCGATTGGCTCGCCCCCGTATTATCCGACTCAGTCACGATCTGGGACAAGCCCATCTCCATCCCCGTACCCTTCTGGAGATTCAAAAGACGTACAAGCACTACCACTATTAGTCCAGGCATTTTCACAGAGTGGGACTTCTAGTGCACCTACGGAGCAACGGATACGCAAGGCGGATCTCCACTTTCTTTCCAGTGTGTTTGCAAATTTAAGTATGGTTAGTTCGTCTATGAACTTACTTATACCCAATTACTGAGTTCTTTCACCAAGTAAGGCCTCTTCTGGCCGTTCGTTCTTCCTTACTCCAAGACCTACCAACGTTCTTGCATCGGAAACTGTCGGTGAACTTGAATATCCCTTGCTACAACTTATCGCTTTCACCGAACACGCCGATACAATCAGACGGGGTGGAGTTGCCTCAACAATAAAGTACGTTTTCGCGAGGACTTCTGTCATTTAGCTCGTCGTTAATATTATAATAAGGAACTGTGCTTTCTATATCCCTGCACACAAAGCAATGCTCTACCCAGAGACAGAGGCAGTAGCGGTCCCCCCGTCAAACGTAGAGGCACCGGGAATGAACATTTTACCCTATATCTTGCTGCCATTGGCTGGTCCAGAAGAGTTTGATTTCGAGGTCAGTACTGGAATATCTTGTCGTCCACCTCTTCCTGGAAACAACTAATTGGATCGCTACGCTCAGGACCAGGAAAAACTCCCAGCAGCTCTCCAGCTTCTCCCAGATACGAAGAAGCGAGAACAGGATGCAGTCTTGCGTCGTACGCATGTCGAGACGTTGATTCTCTTCTGCACAACTCGATCCGGAAGAGACTACCTACGCAATAACGGTGTCTACGAGGTCGTTCGCACTTTGCACCTAGTTGAGCAGAATGAAATTGTAGGCATATCTAAATAGTATCTGTGTGAACAATCACTTAATAACGGTTAACGGTTAACTAAATCAGGTTAGAGAAAATATCGAGAGGCTGGTTAATTTATTGAAGGGTGATGAGAGACCATTGGAAGAAGTAGATAGCGACGGCTGGAGCCACGGTAAACTCGCATTGAACAACATGGATTCACCACAAGGTCCAGACGTAGGGGGGAATACCGATCAAGGCCGAGCGGAAGTCCGTAATACCGCTCCGCCGAGATCTCCGCCGGACGAAAACGACGAGGATAAAATCATAGAGATATAAGTCGGGTTTAAACATACGGTGATATCAGCTTGACTTTGCAAAACTTGTTTCTGTGGTGATGGGGTAGACAACGGAAAAGGAAAAGAAGCTCTACCTCTGCATCGCTTCACTAGAGAAGTTCCGACGAACGATGTTACGTTCTAACCTTGCAAGCAATCCAGAGTCTAGACTTCACCGATCGGACGAGTGAGTCCGCGGCACGATATGGAACGCAAGAAGCATATATGCAATACACCCGCATGATTCGTTTCGTAGGTGCGCCGTACATGTCGCGTCTATTGTACTCTGAGAGCAGCGGGTAAATGTGAATATGATCCCTTGCATCGTCGGAAACTACTTCTATCCGACTCCGACGGACGAATCTTTATTCATTTTGCACGGAGGCATCCATTCTTTCGCTTCTCGAACAGCATGCGGAACAGTACGGCAGACCCGCGAATGTTTCATTAAACAACCAGCTGACCTTGTGGTCATATATCTCTCATCTTCACGGCGAGGCTCCGCGCCGCGACAGACAATGTGTCTTTTCTTTCACACTGGCCAACCTGTTTTGACATTGAGCTGTGAGCCTCCTTGTCCACGCGACAGAAGTTAGAACAAGATGTCCGCCCTGGCTGTGGAACAATCAAGCCAGGGATTCTTAATGAGAAAAGCGAACTGGAAAGGTGGGCCTGGCGTATGTGCATTACCTCAGCTAAAATCTAAATGGCCGACCAGTTTGACTTTTGGTAGAAGGGGAAAAAAGGTTAGACATTCAAACTTTAGGCTTAACCGAACACGTGGCATACTGTACATACGTTTTTGGTGCATTCTACGAGTTAGGAAATACCTCCCTTTCTCGTCTTCGTATCAACATCCAGACTTCATCCCCACAACACCGGCGACTTGATTACTTCGATCGCCGGATAGCATATGCTGAAAACACCGACATCTTGAATCCCGGCTCCGTCGGAAGCAATCGAGTTTCTCGCAGTCAGCTCAATCTGCAAGAATTCCAGGAGCATGTGGAAACGCACAAGCTCTAGCGGACGACCAGGCGACTACCAGATCTGGCTCCTCGACTGCTAAGCCGTCGAGCCCATTCACGTTCTTGAGACGAATCTGTGCATCAACGAGAATATAAAATGTCAAGATTGATTCACATATCTAAAAAACCTCCAGCGCTTTCCATATACTTTGGCTTCAGAATTCGCTTAATTCTTTCCAATTCCGTCCACGGAAATATCAAAATGCATTACATTCTAGCGCTCTGTATTCTTATGGTCCCCAAAGTCATTGCTGCAGTCTGTCCGCCTATTGTATCTCTACCCGTGTATGCTGTGAGCCTAACCTATTCTAAAGGCCGGTATCAACTAAATCTAGCCTCTCTAACTTCTTTTCTTTTCCACCTTACATGCGTATTGAAAAGCCACCAGCACACGATAATCACGTTCCACCACTTTTGAACACCGTGCATGAATTAGCAGAATTGAAAGACATAGCAGACGAGTTGACACAAGCTGTATCATTGATGAGGCGCTTGGCTTTGATCGAAGTCCTGTTGTTAACTCTCGCAATGTCGTTGTTGCTAGCGCTGTCTCTGACGATGATCCCCTCGCCCAAATTCTCCAAGTATCCCCCATTTCTCTCTGGTACGCAACTTTGTTAATTATATTTTGCCATTTGGTAGTTATTGACCTATACTCATCAGGTACATGTCCATTGGCTAGAAGACGAGAGGGGCAGACATAATCTCAAAACTGTATCAGAAGCTCTGGATAGGTCAGGCTGATATATGCGTGCTATAGGGATGCTGATTCTAATTTTAACCACATAGTTTTGTAATTAGAAGACGGACCGAAAGCAGACAGTGGGTTCGGTGGATTATATCACAGAAAATTATCTATTCATATCTATTTTATCAACATGTCCGATCGTCAAAAATACAACACAAGCCATGGTCAGCTCTTTGTCATCACCGCGCAACCCTTCAATTGTTTCTCCCACAGAGTCTGGGTCTCAATATCCGTCTGCCGGATCTCACCGCATCCATCTTACTATGTCGTCTTTTGTAACTCAATCAGACGCTTCTGAAGTTTTCCGATTCGGAATTATCCCTCTGACAACTACTCAAACTCACACTGTATCCACCTGGACAGAAAGAGCAAGGAACTTAAACTCATGTAAACCCTGTGTTGGCAGTGTAAACTGGGATCAACAAGGAATACACACACGCTACATTTATGCAACGTATTGACTGTATCTAGAAGGCGTAGAAGGCCAATAGATTCCTGGGGAAGGGAATAAAAGTAAAGATGACTGCAGCACTGCTATCTTGTCTCACAAGATTGTGACAAGAGTAGACACCCCAAGCATGAAATTCCCACATGGGACACAATCCGAACTTGGTCGAGACGCTTTTATTCCACTGCCACTTATACTAGCTACACGGAATGACGAAAGAGGCGGATAGACATTTAGACAAATGTGATAGTACGCTATTGTCCAATGTCCAAGATGAAACGGGAATCAATGTCCGGAGATGGGATATGGGACACCCAGATTGCGAAATTCAGTTAAGAATTCACGAAATGGGATGGTGCATGAAACATGGAGTACAATACGAGGAGAATGGGGAAGACTGAATCGCGTCCGGCGGAAACAGGCGCAGGGGAGGGGGAAATTACGAAGGGCCGCGAGTTTTTTAGTACTCGACAGGGAGACGCCTGAAGTTTGCACTACGACGGAAGCCGATTGGAGATCTACATGCCAGCATAGTGTTAGCTAACTAAGAAATATAATGTATGAAGGTGAGCTCACCCAGACTTCTGATTCGATGTAACAATGACGGTCTTTGTGTTACCACCACCGTTCTTGGCGTTATTACCTGAAGCAGCATTTCCATTGGCATTTCCGTTTCCAGCTGCATTGCCACCAGCATTACCAGTTGCGTCACCAGAGGCGTTACCAGTAGCATCACCAGAGGCATTGCCATTGGCATCACCAGAAGCATTACCATTGGCATCACCAGTAGCGTTACCAGTCGCATCACCAGAAGCATTACCATTGGCATCACCAGTAGCGTTACCAGTCGCATCACCAGAAGCATTACCATTGGCATCACCAGTAGCGTTACCAGTCGCATCACCAGTAGCGTTACCAGTCGCATCACCAGAGGCATTACCAGTAGCGTTACCCGCAGCATTACCCGCAGCGTTACCGCCATTAGCAAGTCCCTGCAATCCGTTGAGGAGATCCGTCACAGAAGAGGTGTCATCCAGGCCTAAACAAATTGACAAGAATTATAATCTGCATTGCGAGGGCGGAGCGTGTGACCTTACCAAGAGAGGTCAGGAGGTCCCCGACAGTCGAGTCTGCGGTTATAGCGCCGCCAGTAGCTCCATCGGTAGAATTCGCGTTTGCATCACCGCTTGTTACGTTGCCTGCACCACTAACGTCGGTAGCAGTTGCCGTAGCAGCAGCGTCCGTAGCCTGCACAAACAAGCAATTAGCAAACCGATTGTAATCCTCACCGATAAATCAACTTACAGTAGCAGTAGCACCAGCACCACAGTCCACTGTGACAGTTACAGTCGAAGCAGCATCTGTAGCAGTGGCATTCGCGTCTGCACCTCCGTTACCGTTTGCGTTACCATTTGCGTCGGCGTTCTTGTTCTTTGCCAGTTTCTTAGCTTTCTTGGATGTCGCAGCGTCAGTCGCAGTAGCGGTGGCGTCGGTGGCAGTAGCAGTAGCTGCAGCATCAGTAGCGACAGCAGTATCTGTCACAGCAGCAGTGTCAGTTGCAGCTGCCGAGTCAGTAGCAGTAGCTACTGCGGTATCCGTAGCTGCAGCAGTGTCGGTGGCTGCTGCAGAATCCTAGAAAAGTGACATGGATAAGGTACAGTCTGATTGATATTGACAAAGAAAGCTTACAGTCGCAGCGCATACGGTCACCGTCGTAGCTGCAGCATTTCCATTCGCATTGCCATTCCCATTAGTATTGGAGTTTCCGTTGTCGGCATTCCCATTCGCATTACCGTTGGCGTCTCCATTTTGTGCGTTAGACTTGTTGCCATTCCTGGCCTACATTGACAATGAGTACGAGTCATTTCACATGAGAAATAAAACGATCCTACCTCTAGAGCAAACGCGGCCGGCTGCGGGGCAGCGACTGCTGAACCAGCTAATGCGAAGACAAGAGACACGAGAGCAATAGAGACGCGCATAGCGAGCAACTATCTACTTGAGTTCAAATATAGTGAAGTGGTAGTAGAACAAAGATCCGTCTCGAAAACGAAGGTAGAGATGAGAGAACGAGGAGCCGCACAGCGGAAACAAATGAGCTGATCACTGATCGAGCTGAGGAAAGTGCGAAGAGGGAAAGGCGGAAGAAAGGGGGAGTGAACGAAGAGCGGAAAGGCACTTTGAAAGAGGAGAATTGAGTTCGTGGAGTATTATATAGGAACACTAGCAGTACCCCAGATCAGAAATGCGTTGTTTAATTTCGCAGGTGAGACGCAAACGAAGATGCGTTGCAATCACATTTTGGAATGTGGGTAAGCGCTCTTGCAAATTGTTTCCAGGGCATGGAGCTGTTGCGAGACGACCAGAAAAAGGGCATAGTGGTCTTGTGTTCTACCTGTGTTCTAGATAGAGTACTGCAGGCTGGGCGAACGGAGCCTTTTTTTAGAACCTTGTTAAGCGGATCACGCAAGAGCAAGCCTGACAACAGGGTGCATCGAAAGTGGAGAGCCCATCACAACAGAAGACTTATGCCAAACAACGCGTACATTTTGACTGCGACGCGTCTATTAGTCAGCAACTTCGTCATCATTCAATCAGGTCTCTCAGCGCCCGTCACTGAAAACAGTCATCACGAACTTGTGTTGCGAGCCTCTTCTCGAAGGTATTCTTGGTATTCTGCTGTGCAACACGATCAAGCGCATCTAAGAAACTCCAATCTATGACTTTCGGAACTTTCCCTCTAGCTACAATGTTCAACAGTAACTCCCATGCGGCGTGCCATTTCAGGCCAGGTCCTCAGAGTCAAAGTGCTTCTTTTCCAATCTCTGGCGGTACACTGCTCGTCTATGTAATACCCGTGAGCAGCCCGCGCATTGCAATAAGTTGTGATATACGAACCTGCTGTTGCGCTTCAGACCGACGGCGCCATCAACTACTGATCCCGCAGCTCCTGTAACACCATCCACTACATTTCCAACAGTGTCACTAACCCCACCGAGGGTGTCACCAACAGCATTCGATCCAGTCACACCATCTGCAACATTTCCAACTGCACCAGTAGCGCCGTCGATGATACTTTCAACTGTTCCGGTCAGACCGCTCAGGAGGCCACCAACTGCGCCAGTGGAGCCCGTAGAGTCACCAGAATCAGGACTCGTGGAGTTGCCAGAGCTAGCGTCTTGCCTCTATAGAGCCAAAGCAAGGAATTGGCTTTTTATGTAGTTAAAAGTTCTTGTATCAAGGTTACTCACAGCAAGATGAACACTGTCTCGCTTGAGACCAGTGGCACCATCAACAACTGAGCCCGCTGCTCCCGCAACACCATCGACTACATTACCCACAGTATCGGTGACTCCTCCCAGAGTGTCACCGACCGCGTTAGAACCTGTAACACCATCTGCAACGTTCCCCACAGCCCCTGTAACACCGTCAACAACACTTCCAACGGTCCCTGTCACACCACTTAGGAGACCACCAACTGCGCCGGTGGAACCCGTCGAATCCGAAGTCGTGGTGTTCGTCGGGTCGGCTTCATCCCTCTTCAAGACCATAGGGTATGCATTTAGTCAGTGAGCACAGCAATGCATATGATCTGGATTACTCACGGCAAGGTGTATTTTTGTCCCTGATGAGGGGGCAGGTAAAGCGATCCCTATTCCAACAAGTGCCAAAAGCAGAGACACAGAAGCAAGACGCATCTTTCGGATCAGAAGATTTTTTTATTAAAGGAAAGGCAAGGGGACTTGGAACAACGGATGAAGTAGGCTAGGATAAGCTTTACTTTGAAAGAGAGGATAGGTTTAACCGCACAGCGGGCCTCGAAAGGAGTGAAAGGGATTGAAAGACGAAAACGAACGAAGGTAGAGTAAAGCTACGCAATCGGACTCCTGCTTTATACCAGAGCATTTCGGTATGAATATATCGCATAGCTCGGAGGCCGCATACATCTCTACAACCCTACTCGGCGCTGGCTTGGACGTATGAATCGGCTCCCGTCTCCCGCGATTACATGTAGCAAGTCAGCTGCTCCGAAATTCTTGGCCTCGTCGCGGAGCGACAATTCGCTTGCGAGCCGGTCGTCATCCGCTTCAGCTCGTCTTTCATTTGCTTGCTTCTAGCGTCTTTCATTGGAGATCCAATGGGGATATGTTTGCTGCGCACGATGTTTGCAATTTTTCAGAACTGTGGAGTCGGAAAATATAAGAAATGCTTCCGCGACGCGTGATAAATTCTCTACCGAAATTGCTCCAAAACGGGACGCGACCACGTGCTTTGCAGAGTAGATGGACAGTTATGGCAACCCTGATCAGTGAATCAACGCTTCATTGAACATGATTTGAAAGTGCAAGTTTCACAGCTTGGACACGACAAGAATGGATTCAACTTTCTATGTCTCGTGGAAATGATCCCTGAATATCTCCTGGTTATTTGACAATAACTTTCGCTATTTTACACCAGACAACAGCGCTTGCGGTGAACCGAGGTCAAAAGGCAGCCTTGTCGACACGCTCGATCATTACTCGCAGTCAGACATCGACGTTTGCTTCCAGGGAAGTTCAGCCTTCCATTCACAAACTGCTCATAATACCAACACAACCGAACCACAAATACAGGCTACTAATAATATCTTGAATGCGTGGAATCATAAAAAAATCCGGGGCGGCAATCATCCAACGTCGTGGCAGACCCGAGATTGTTTCTGCATTCCGAAATCAACTTGTATCATGGTAACAAATCGGATTGGTAAGAAACAAGACTCACATTTGACAAGGGGTCTATGATGGCTGATGGTGTCCCATGATCGGCTTGTCAGACGGTGCAGCATTTCTAGCGATGATATTGCTGTCGGCAGAGCCTGTGGCAGTCTGACCGTCCGTTGCGCTATCGACTGCGAGCTGGCGCTTGGTGACATGATTATTAGGTTCCTTCAGGATATAGGGCCTGTGTTGAATGCTCTGCATGACGGATGGACTACGTAACGGCGGATCTGTAGTCGTGGAGTTCTGTGCAGTTACAGCAAGCTGACGTGCAGAGAGACTGGCTGTCAAAGTGGGCAAACGGGCGGCACTAGCTATGCTGGCCAGAGCCAGGAACAGAACAAGGAAGGTAGCAGTGATGTGGTGCATAATCGATCGTCAAAGGCTACTAGTACTTTCAAAGGCGAGGGTACACAAGGTATTCGTCAATGGAGCATGGTGAGTCCGTTCATTTATACCCGTAGAATCAAGAAATAATATCTGCTCAACACCATTTGCTTCCTTACTTTAAACAAGGCTGCTCTGAGCTCTAGACCTTGCGTCTGACTTTTGTTATAAGATTCGCTGGTCAGATACTCAATTCTCCCTTACCCTCAATCTCATCTCGAGCCACATAAAATACAGAGCATATCCGTCGTAACCGGGATAATAACTAGTCCAATTCACAGTCAGCGACTTAGGCATATTGTAAAACTTCCGACTCGCCTTAACTGCTGATAAACTTGAGATTAACGCACGGAAATGTGGCGTTCTGTAGATATGAACTGAATACAACTTTAATTCTCCTCACGTCTTCTTGTGTTAGTTCCGCTAAACAAGGCCACTTTCCGCTAGATTCGGCCTGGATTCGAAGCAGTTCCGCTCACAGTACTAGTGTTTGTGGTTGGCCTAGTCAGTGTATGGCTGTTGGCAGAAGCAATTAACTGACCGATCCTTTCAGCTCTTTAGCATTCAAATCCATTGCTCATGGTTTCAGAATGAAATAGTGGTTTCAACTCTGCAACTTAGTAAGTGTTGCTATAAGTATTCGCCTTGCCTGGCGCTGACGAGCCATCCGTTCCTCCTCTTCTCGCGCTCTTTAGAGTTCCGTTTCCTTTAACACGTGGGATTCAAGGCGCCTCTTGTCTTCCTCCTCTCGACGACGGCGTAATGTCTGCTCCTTCTCTGTACGTGCACGGTCTTCACGCCTCCGCCGTTCCTCTTCTTCCTCTGCTTGCGCAAGCTCCTCTTCCCGTTGCTGTAACTCGTTCCGCCCGTGTTCAAGAGCCTCCTCCTTTTTGCGCAATTCCTCTTCCTTTCGAAGACGCTCGAGGGCTTCCTCTTGTTGAAGATGAATCCATACTTTGCGCTTAAGTTCATCCTTGAGGGCACGCAGTTCTTGCTCCTTCCTACGCTGCTCACGATCCTCCGGCTCTTTCTGCAAAAGCTCTTCACGAGCAAGGGCTTCCTCTCGTTTGTGTAGCACCCGTTGTTGGTGTTTAAGTTCATGCTCTAGGGCGAATATTTCTTCTTCCTTCCTGCGATGCTCATCGGTACGTTCCTCCACCTCCTTCCGAAAAGCTTCTTCCTGTTAATGAAGTGCCTGTGCTCGGCGGTTGAGTTCATCCTCAAAGACGTACAATTCTTCCTCCTTCCTGCGCTGCTCTGCTGCACGTTCCTCCTCCTCCTTCCGCTGTCGCTCAAGTGCCTCCTCCTTCTCACGCAATTGCTCTTCCTTCCGGCGACGTGCAAGTGCTTTCTCTCGTTGACGAATGAGCCATCCTCGGTGCTTAGGTTCATCCTCTTGGGCACGTAGCCCTTTCTCCTTCCTGTGCTGCTCAAAGCGTGTTCCTCTTCCAATTTCCGCAAAGCCTCTTCACGATCTTGTTCTTCCTCCCTCCTCTGAGCTTCCGCGATCTCACTCTTGAGACGCTTCAGTTCACCAACCTTCCGCATAAGATCGTTCTCCTTTCTTCGCTGCACCTCAAGCTCACTCTGCCTCTAGGTTTCCAGAATTCGCTGCTACTCTTCCAGCCTCATGTCCTTCTTCTGAAGCTCGAGTTGTTGAGTTTTCTCAGCGATTTCTCTCTCTTCTCGCAGTCGAAAGTGTTCCGCCATCTCGCATCTATGCAGATTGAGCTCTTCCTCCTGTGCAGCGATCTCACCCTCTCTCTACTGTCACAGTTCTGCTTCTGACTAACACTGTGCCTTGAGCACTCACTTCCAATTGGCAAAGTCATCCTCACTAGTGCGTTTCACTGTGGCTAGTTCCTCACGCAGTTCTCGGAGAGCCTTCTCTTGAGACTCGTGCTGTGCTTCAAGTAAATTATACAGTTCATAGTGCTGTTCCTTAATGAGGCATCTCTCATGCCCAGTCAACTCATTGTCAGACCTCTCTTTCCTTGTAAGAAGCTCAACCTCATGCTTTCAATATTGAATGTCTTGTTGTTGGCAATTAAGTGCTTCCTCATGTTCCCTTACTATATGTTCTGACAATGCTGATAATAATGACAAATTGCAAACACAATTGTTGAATGAATGAGTGCCAGGTGATTCAAGAGCAACTGATTCAAAAGAGTCCTTTACAGTGAGCAACCTCATAGCCTTGTAAGATAGGGTATTTGTTTGAGTACTATTCACTGTAGAGCCAGTATTACTGATTTCAATCAGCTAGTAGAATAGACTTGCACTAGGAATTACTATAGATTTTAGTAATAACAGAGGAGAGGGCTGTCTATAGCTACTAGCTAATAGAGAATGACACACACTAGTATTAGAGGGTGTTAGGGACAGTATTAGAGTGTAGGTTTCCTGGCTAGGCACAGACAGTAGTTGTAAGCTACTCAGTCCTAACATTAATATTAGTAAGGTAGTCTTAGGACTTTAGGTAGACTTTAGAATAGGTGTAGGTTGACCAGAAGTTTGAGTCTAATGTTGTAACAGTCCTTATGTAAGTAAACTAGTACTTGTATTACTATCATACTGTTAGTGTTAAGAGTATACATTTGTGCTAGTTGTAGAGATTGTATTAAATAAGGTGGTAGACAAATTTAAAGTTCTAGATAAACTTAGTAGAATATACATATAGAATGTTACAAGTATACTTGTCTTGTTCTCTAGAGGCTACTATACTACTATTAGATTATCAGTCAATAGGGTGTTTGTAAGATTGTAACTTGTGTAAAGAGGAGGAGTAAAAGTAGTAGTAGTAATACTTCTCTTCCTTTTCTATATTATACTAACTACTTAGAACATATATGATTTCTAAGACAGACTGAATCTTGTAGTTGTATAATGTAAAGAAGTAGCTGAAAGCAGATCTGGTTCTGTCTTATTAAGGCACAAAGGCCTAGTACACTATACTGTATATAGTCTAGAAGACTCTTTCTAATAGTATATTAATACTTCTAACTCTTTACTATCTGACTCACTACTAAGACTGAGTTTCCTGAGACAGTGTTTATACTTAATAAGGTCTCTCTCCTCTTCTTCAAGTAACTGCTTGATTTTTAGTTTTTGTGTTTAGTACTTTATACACTTCTTTGTTTAATTTATTAGGAGAGAAGAGACTAGTATATTATATATTAAGTTAACACTAAAACTCAGCTTTAGTCTGTTAGAGTAGTTTAACATACTGTACCTCCTAATTGTGTTACAGTTTCTTAAGAAGTGGTAGAAACCACTCTTCCTCATTATTAAATATTAAAGGATTGAAAAACATATATAAAAAGATAAGAGTTATATAAGAGTTCTAACTAGAGCTAGAGTCTGTACTAGAAGTGAGTTGTAGCTAGTAGATAGTTACTAACATTAACTGTCACAGTGTACACAGAAAAGGGAGTCAACCTGTAAGTAGTACTGTTAGAGCCTTTCTCTAATACTGTTAGGAATTGTAAAATACAATAACTAAGTTTGAAAAGCTTAACTCAAGACTTGGAACCAAGTAGTTTATATACAAAACTCTATTAGTTACAAGTCTAGAGATTAGCCAGATCAACTAGGCTACATTTGTTGTCCTACTTAGTAAGAACTCTAGCTTAGTATTATTAACCTCTAATCATTACTAATGAGTGATCAATCCATTAGTAGAGAGAGGGGACAGGAAGGAGTAAGTACTAAGCCAGTTAGGAAAAGGTAACAAAACCTATAAACAAGGTTGTTAACATGTCTTACAGACAATATAGTATTAGTAAACCAATAATACTAATTAGAGCAGAACAGATACATGTGTCAGATGTATGTATTAGATACACAATACAAGACATGTATTAGATAAAAAAACATATTCTAGATAACTGAGACATACAGACTGTTACAGTTCTCTACTCTTGTACCTTCAGTTCTAAGGGTTTTACACCCTTCTATACCAGAACTTGGGACTTCCATCCCTTAGAGGTACTGTCTATGAACTATATATGTGCTGACTCTTACTACTACCCTTCCTTACTTTATCATTCTATTCCTTTGACTACTCCTTCATTCTCTGTTCATTCTATAGTCTCTTACCCTTTATCCATCCCTTCATTCTTTGTACCTTTATCTTTGACATTCCTTTCTTTTATTCTTCATAGCTTATCATTCTTAGTAGCTCATACTCTCTGAGTACTCTTGTGTAGTTTAGTATATATAGGTGTACAAGATCAGACTAGTCCTGTAGTCTTGATCTTGTCTACTCTAAGTAGTCCTGTACTCTTAGGCTCACTCTATATACTCTACTCTTGTCTCACTCTCTCTCTCTACCTGTTCTGTAAGTTCTAACTATGTTCTAGTACTTACATTCTATATTTCTGTTGTGTAGAATAGTTATAGCCTAGGTCCCCTTACTAAGCTTTCAGGTCCCCTCTATACTGTCACTGACATCAGATTAAGACTACCCATTACTACCCTACAACTCTCTTATGTTTCAGGCATCAGTACTTACTATTGTATTAATCTCTTTCCTTTGTCCTAACCCTTTTACATTTTTAAATTTTAAACTTTCTAAACCTTTTTAAACTTTTGCCACCCTTCTTCTATTCATTACCCCTTTTAGTTTAGTATCAATTCCTTTGTAGTGTAAACATAGACTCTCCTACACTAACTGTCACCCCTACTGTCCTGCCAGATCAGTAGTTACAAGTAGAACTAGCTTAATACATACAAACCTCTATCTAAGAGGCCTTTACTAACTATATACCTCTAGCCTCTTCAGAACCTGTTCTGATTGTTCTAGAAGTCACAAACTGTTCTAGAAAGAAAGTGTATGTAGCCTACCCTTTAGACTTTAATAAGTAGTACTTTAAGGACTTCTAGTACTAAGTTGAACTATATGTAGCTACTACTTTGACCAATCTATTCTCAGATCTCAATTGTGTCCTATTTGTCCTCTCCTTCATAAAGGAAGGTAATACAGCTACCTAGGCTTAGAACTAGATTGAAGACTATTAGATCAGAAGCCTGATCTGACTTCAGAACAATAAGTTGTACTCAGAATTCATAGAGCAACTCTGTACTTCCTTTATTAATCCAAATGAGAAGTATAATGTACAGAACAAGCTTGTATCTCTGTGACAGAGCAAACATTCTACTAATGTCTTCTTTCAGGAGTTTAATATCTTAGCCTGGAAGGCAGGATTCATACTTGGGTTTAATAATGTTCTTATTAGAATGCTTGAAAAAGCTCTTTACTCAGAACTGGTTGATAAGATTCTCAGAATGACACTAGAACTAGTCACTTATACTGAGTAGAAGATACATACTATCTCCTTTGACTAAGCTATAGCTTAGATGTATTAAGTCTGTACAGAACACTTGTACATGTGTTTAGCTTTAACAGTTCTGAGCCCTCAGATTGATTCACTTATAATTTACAATCAATCTGTTCTAATAGACATTAGAGAAGCCTGAAAGTAAGAAGTATACTTTACCTGTAGAAAGTCAGAGCACTAGATTAAGGACTGCCTGTAGAAGTAACAGTATATCTGTTAGGTCATTAGAGTAATAATGAGTAACAAGTAGGATTTGTAGTAAGAAGTCTTTTCTACAAATCTAGAAGTCATTTTAGAACTCTTAGACTCTGACTATACACTCTAGGATTTTATAGAGGCTTAACAGTAAATGTAGTACTGAAAGGCTATAACTTAGATTTTTTAATA